GTTCAGCGTCCCGGAAAAGGGGCCTGCGCAAACCTTCTCATTGATGGATCGATCGATGCTTGCTCCCCATCCCTGGCCTACCCATCGGAAAACTGGAGGGAGGATGATCGATCGATCGCCGCTAATTTCACAAGACTTTGAACAACGTTGAGCACATACGTGTACTACGACTATCAAGTTACCACCCAGAAGGAATAGTTGAGACCCTCCAACCTGTACTTCGGACGACCAATGACTTCGTAATACCAAACTATTTCGAGTCTGTCAACATGCACGACGGCTCCGCCTGGCAATAGCCTCGAGCCCAGGAAGAAGCAATATGGGCTGCAGAATCCTCAACAGCATTCATCCAAGTCCCTTCCGGTGGCGGAGGTCAGGAAGCCCTCACCCGGATTCAGGTGGCTGGCGAGGCCTGGAAAGTATCTCGTTCTCGTATTCGTGACACGATCAGTCGAGACAAGAAAGTGAGCCTTCCCTCTGGGAACATGCTGAAGAGAGGCTATCAACAGCTCAGCCTTTACGGACGCCCAAAAAGTAGTCTCTTGTCGTCGCACTATTTATTATACAGCATACTACACCGGTATTGCCTCCGGAGTCCAGACAATAGAAATAGGCGATCACTAGGGCCTGCGACCAATGCCAGTGAGGAGTTACTCAATTGTCTTCCATTCCATTGTCATCGCCAATTGTTCAGCCAAGCAGGGGGCCATCATCTAGACCAGGTCAAGCCAGACCATCCCCCACCAGCGCCACGAGTGGGGACCTGAGCAGTTTCGCCGAATGCAAAAGATTGGAGACTCTTCCAGGGTTGGATCGTTGTGTCGGGATTTTCAACACAAGCGATGAATGTCTACACTAGACTCCGAAAGGAGACCGGGGGTTGGCTAATACAGTAGGGTATTATCATGAGTTGTCCATTCCGGCCATCGAATCAAATGAAACAAAGTAAATGTGTACGTTTTAATGGTCGATATATCGATAGAGTTTAAGACCTGGGAGCTCTTCGCCTGGCGGTTTCAGCCCTGCCGATCATCTCCTTCGGCCTCTCTTCCTGCCGGGCGGCTCCCAGGCAGTGCTAAGCCTCGACTTGTATGAGACTTTGGGAGATTGATGCGAACTCGAGAGTCGCGTGTGCCAGCAGTGGATGAAGCAGGAACAGGAGAGACGATCCATTCTGCTAATGTGAGCCAGTCTAGATTACAACGTACGAGCCTGGCAAGTCGTCTGTCCCGGAGGCGCGATGGCGATATCATGGTTGCCTTTGAGGGTGCAATCTCCTTCATCCCGCCAACTGAGCTCCCCCAAACGCTGGAGATGGAAGGAGTCGGAATCCGAGAACTATTGGCCCAAGAATACCCAAGAAACCAACCCAATAATGACAGCCGCAGTATAATAAACCAAAAGACATCATAAACCTAGAGATAATTGTTTTACCAGGTGTGTCCCGTGTCTGTGCTCCCATGTCCAAGCCACCTCGAGATCTGGATGATGCATCTGATCATACACCAGGTTTGTTTCTGCCAGGGGTCTTTGCGCCCTCCTCTTTCATCGACGAGAGATCGATACTAACCCGATTACGAAGTACCGCTTCTTACAACCCAGACGAAAATACCTGTGTATTCATGGGGCTCAATATCGCCTCCGTTTTGTCTCTGCTAGGACGGCAGTCCATTCTTGGTCGTCTCTTGCCGTCTTGTCGAAAAGGGACCGAGCTCGTGTGAGCGACCCGGGAGAATGAAAAGGGAAACTTTGCGATCATCACGCAATCCCGCAAATGGGCAGGGGACCGCAATGCGAGCTGCTGTGCTCATGTGCCAATCCTTCGCTCTTCAAACCTGAACTCGCGGAAGACCCTGTCGGCTTGTCGAGAGAAGGACGATGAAAAACAAGGAGATTGATAGCGAACCCAAACATGATCGTCAAAAAAGGTTTACTCGATCATGTTAAGCCTGCCACTTCGTTTTCTCTTGCCCTTCCACAAAGGAGCCAGAAAGCCGGTTTATTTCTTCATCTCCCACTCTAAAGCCAAGACTGTTACTTTGTCCTGCGAGGCCTCACAAACGTCGTTTCAATATCGATGCCATGATATTGCACCCGGATGGTTGCGATGTGAGCTAACCCGGCCGGTTGGAGCTGCTAGAGTGAGTAATAAGGCAACGATAACCGAGCATCTTTTTTTTGTTCTCGTCATCCTGCTTCATGGGCGCTTACTTACCTCGCGGCTTCTTCTCCGTAGGCGAGTGGGCGTGTCATGGATGCTTTACTGTCGCGTGAGCTCGCAGCATTCTACATGCCAATACGCCCCCGTCTATTAGCTGGGGAGACTTGCCGGGATTCCGAGTTGCCTGTGATGGAACACGATGAGTATCGATGTTATAAGGGAATTCCGTGACTGATTCCCCAGAAGATCAAGGGACATAGCCCGGAAGTATCGACTCCTTCGGCTCCTCATGGCATTCTCTTCTCCTCAGCTCCCGTCCTGGAAATAGGGTTGAGAGGGTCTGCTAAGCATCTGCGTTCTAGTCCCTTCCCATGTTTAGGGGAGCTGGGCCTTCACACCTTGTGTATCTCAAATCCGTTGGACCCCTTCCGAGATTGCTATCGAACAAGAACTTCAGATGCTCAATTCAGGCGTAGGGTATATCCGCCCAGGCAACAGAATGTCCCGTGGCTCTGTCTGACAGCGTGGCTTCCAGGCAAACTCTTCCGAGTATACCATACCAGACTTTGATCTGTATGAGCTTCGGGACCCTTCTTCACACTGCTAGTTGACAGCATCCCCAGTAGCGTAATGATGCAGACTCAGTCATCATGACTAACACTGACTCATTATTGAACAGCATCCTCACGAGAGCAATGCCGGGTTGCTTTCGCCATGTTGCAGGCTTTGGTGTTCTCTCTCAGCTCCTAAGCCATTCGAATATCGTTGATATGGAAAACAAGAATCGCACAAGCTTCAGATTCATGTGTGCTCGAGGGATCAAGCCCAATAACACTCGCGGAATAAAACTCCATGGGGATTAGAAAGATTTCTGTCGTTTATCGAAGACGCGGACTCGAGGCGCTTGGCGATATCTCTAGCTCTTCCATAGAATATCTAGAATACCGTCTTTCTAGCCGGAAGTATCGAATGATATCTCCATCATGTCATCTTGCTCCCTCTCCAGGTTTCCCTCTGATTTGGGGCGGAGCTCGATCTCGGCATGAGTCATCTTCTTCCTCAGGCGATTCGTGGTTCAGGCTTAGAGTTACATTATCTAGCAAATACGGGTTCAATCTGTAAAATGTACAGCTGTGAGGATCGATGAAGCTCACTTCTATGCTCGAGTCAGCAATGTGCTGTGTTGGTGGGGCGATGCGATGCGTAGAAACCCAAGATAATTTTTGCGGGGTGATGTTGCTACCCCTCCTTCCAGCAGCTTTCCCACCTCACATCATCTCTCATCACACTCCCCCTGCGGCTCGCCAACGTCCATCATCAACAACGAGAGAGGTCAATAGATATTTCCGCCCCTCGCTGTATCCAGAGAACACTTTTTACACTACATATTATCCATCATCTCCCAGAGTCAACGACCAGCAACAACAGCTGCTGGTTTCCCATCACACGACCTCTTCTACCCCACCACCATGTCCCGCCAAATAAACCAACCATCCAACCAAATCAAACTCACCAACGTCTCCCTCGTCCGCCTCAAAAAAGGCAAAAAACGCTTCGAAATCGCCTGCTACAAGAACAAAGTCCTCGAATGGCGCTCGGGAATCGAAACAGACCTCGACAACGTCCTTCAAATCCCCAACGTCTTCCTCAACGTGTCCAAGGGCCAGACGGCGCCGCGCGATGATCTGGACAAGGCGTTCGGCAAGGGCAAGTCCGTAGACGACATCGTGCTCGAGATCTTGAAGAAGGGCGAGATGCAGGTGGGCGAGAAGGAGAGGGCGGCGCAGTTGGAGAGGGTGCATAATGAGGTCGTGGGGATCGTGGCGAGTAAGCTGGTGGATCCGAGGACAAAGAGGGTGTATACAACGGGGATGATCGAGAAGGCGCTAGATATGCTTACGTCGAAGGCTCATGAGGATAGTAATGCGTCTGCTGCCGCTCCTGCTGCGGCGACCACTACGCCTGCATCTGGGTCGGGCACGCCGGCCGAGGAGGGTGCTCAGGAACAACCGGCTAAGCCGAAGCCTGTTTGGAGGGGTGTTGTGACGACGAAGAGCGCAAAGAGTCAGGCGCTTGAGGCTATGAAGGCTCTCATTGCCCATCAGCCCATCCCCGTTGCCAGGGCTAGGATGAGGCTGAGGATAAGCTGTCCTACGAACATCCTCAAGCAGGGTGTCAAGTCTGGTGGAAAGCCCAAGGACTCCGAGGGTGAGCACAAGGCACCCGGCACGGTCAAGGATATGATCTTGAGCTACATTGAGCAAGTCGAGTCACAAGATGTCGTGGGCTCTTCAGATTGGGAAGTGGTGGGCTTCGTTGAACCTGGTGCGTTCAAGGCGTTGTCGGACTTCATTGGCAACGAGACGAGGGGGCAGGGCAGAGTTGAGGTGCTGGACATGGCTGTTACACACGAGGATCAGGATTAATTATGACATTTTGATACCCTTTTTGACTCGTCAACTCCTCTCCAATACCCTCTAGGTGATAAGCGTCATGTTATCTCCGTGAAGCGAATATGCTTGCTTCGTTTGGTTGGTAAAGGGCCGTTGGGTTCTAATAAGACCACATAGGCACGCATATACATACACAGCTCTGTTTAACCTTACTCCAGAAACCCCGAATTCTCCTACCACTTGATAAAACCCTCCTGCACATCACTTTTATCGAGTGAGAAGAAAAAAAAGTAACGTGCGTAAATGTTCCCTATTTTTTTGTTTGCGCAAAGGACGTAAAATCTAGACGACAAAAAATCCATTGCGATGCAGTGGAGAGGAATCCGATCGTAATGCAAACAGTTTCATGACGCCTATCCCCCCGTAAACCGAGAAAGACCAATAGTTTAACCACCCCTCTTCTTGGAGACACCGACGGTACGACCACGACGACCGGTGGTCTTGGTGTGCTGTCCACGGACACGGAGACCCCAGTAGTGACGGAGACCACGGTGGGCTCGGATCTTCTTCAGGCGCTCGAGATCCTCACGGAGCTTGGAGTCGACGGCGTTGGAGACGATTTGGGAGTCCTTTCCGTCGACGATGTCCTTTTGTCTGTTGAGGAACCAGGTGGGGATCTTGTACTGGGTGGGGTTTTGCTGTGGTGGGAAAAAGTGTTAGCGGAGACGGAAACCTTTCTACTCGTCCTTGTCGTGGGATGGGTGGCTACTAACGAGGATGGTGACGATACGCTCAAGCTCCTCAGAGGTGAGCTCACCAGCACTAGAAAAGTTCTGTTAGACCCTTACTTCATCCTCCCGTCATTCTTATCGATCGATCGAGGTTCTCGTACCGCTTGGAGAGGTCGACATCGGCCTTCTTGAGGACAAGGTTGGAGTACTGTAATGGGAAAGTCAGTCATATGCCACATTTGAGAATTGCTCGTGATTGGGGAAGATCTTACGCGACGACCGACACCCTTGATCTTGGTCAAGGCAAACATGGTCTTCTGCTCTGTTGCCAAAGAGTTAGCAATTCCATCCGTCCCTGCAATAGATTGTCCCCCAAGCATCGACCACTACACGTTCAAAACTTCATGACTGGGAATCGCGACGTCGACGAAAAACAAAAAGGCGAGGGATTGGATTGGATTGGCGATTAAACTCACTTCCGTCGACATTGGTGTTGAGGAGACGCAGGATGAACTGGAAGTTCGACTTCTCGCCGGATACGAGCGACATGGTGGGCAACTGGTCTCTCGCGGAGTGTCGCCTAGTTGTGTGGTTGTGTTGTATGAAGCTGTCGTGAAAGAAATCTTCTGTAGGGTGGAGAGGCTGTGGTTTTGCGAGGGATGGCGGGATGCGGTGTGGGGACTAGGGCAGTAATCACGTGTCGTAATTTTTGTGCCGCATTTTATGGAGCAAGTCCAAACTCTGAGAAGTCACAACGCTCAAAATGTTGTCGCCGAAGTTAACATGCTTAGTCATTATGGAAGCGACTAGACTTGGCACTCGACTTGAAAAGGTCTCGGGTGGATTTATACTGTTTCCAACGCTGCAGTGCCACACCTAGAAGTGGCTGCAAGTTCAACAGTGACCGAAGAAGCTCCTGCATTTCTATCACACGACCAATTCATTTTGAGTTGCCAGGGTATATCGTCAAAGATGTAGAGAAGAAATAGAAAAAGTAACCTATTTCGTACATACAAAGCCTTCACTCGCCTCAACTCCAAGCCTCCTAAAACGCCTCGACCAAACCATCCGTCTCCTTCATCACAGCCCTGGTACGTCCTAGGACACAACAGCAGTTGGGTAGTTAAGTAAACTTAACCAAGAAGAACAAAAAGTAAGCTATACGGGAGCACAAGAACTCTACTGGTTACTTCGCTGTAGATGTCGTGGTCTCCGAGGTTGATGTTGCTGTTGACCCCGTCGTCGACGTCGCCGATGCCGTAGCAGTTCCCAAAAACCGAAGAAGCCATTGCGCTCGAAGCCCAGCCAGCTGAGCCGCCGCAATCTGCTGGAACGAGGTGAAGAAGGAACCGGCGAGGTTAACGAAGCTATTTCCGTTGGCAGCAAAAACCGCGCAGCTTTGGAAGAACGTGACAGGGTTCTCGACAAAGGCGGCCTGGTTGGCGAAGATGATGGACGCTGGATCCGGGAATACGAGGTCAAGTGTCGGGGCTTCCGTGCCGGAAGGGAGGATGACGCTCTGGTTGAGGGAGCCGAAGGGGGCGAGGGGGTCGAATGTGCTGAGGTCAAAGAAGGGGAGGCCCGTGGATCTTGAAGTGAGGGAGGAGCCTGTGGCGGTGGGTTGGATGGTCATGGTATCGATGTCGGAAACCATGATTACGATGTTCCGGTCGGATACGCCGTTGTCTGCTAGGAGCTGGTTGATAAGGTAGCGGTTGGTGCCGGCGCTTCCGTCTCTGCGGTCCAGGACATTGGTGACAGTCACGATGACGGTGTTCTGCAAAAGAGGGATATATTCGTGTTAGTGCACGTTCCTGTCTCTGTTCTCTCTATCCCCCAGAAGGAACGAGATACAATCTTACAACTTGGGTAAACCGGGATCTGAAGTGGTTAATTCGGATATTATTCTTGATAGTCTGTAGCTGAGCGACCAGCGCAAGTTGCGACTGGATCAGGGCACCGAACTGCCTCTCGGCAAGTTGGGTCAACTCGTCGATGACATCGAGATTGTTGTTCTGAATGACCGTGATGGTTGTCTGCTGGATGGGCGGCCCCAGGAGCAGGGGTTGGACGGCGCCGGTGAACGGGTCGAGGAACTGTCTCCTCTGGATCTTTCGCTCAGCTGGTCCAGCTACGCGAACGGCCGAGCGCTCGTCATGGCTTTGCGGTGCTGATGGGCCTTGTTAGCAGTTTGGTTTTCCCTTGCAACTCAAGATTAAATTACACCAACGGAGAGTTGGACTTACCTGCTGAAACCGAAGAAGCAATCCCTACTAGGGCAGCAAAAAGTGAAGAGATATACATGATGAATGAAAGAAACAACAACAAACGGAGAGAGAATTTATCTATGACAGGTCTACTCTGAAGACCCTATCCCCCTCTAGGTAGATGAAGGCATTAGACTTATATGAAGAAGTAGTGGGAGACGAAGACTGCTGCTAGAGCACGGGAAAGTCTACGCGACCATGATCTGTTATACAACTCGCATCTTATGATCTATACATCGCGACGAGAGACCTATCACTTATATACATTCTCGCTAGCCTCGAGTATCAAAATGAAAACTCGGGGAACCCTGCGCGGGGTGCCCTCTTTCAGTCAAAGAAATGAAGAAGGAGGGTTGCGGCTATTCCCCCAAACCTGCGCATATCATCGAATGCCGCTTCTCAAACTTTCTCTTCCCACCCTCCCCCCTCCACGGTGAAGGCTCTGCGGCCCCAAGATGACACTACGGTGAAAGAAGAGATGGCAAGATGGTGGGCGGGAAAAGATTGCATGTCACAGCTTCCCAAGCGTGTCAACCGCCGAGTTGGGCGAGTTGATACAAGTGCCAGGTCTTGTCAAAACCCACCCCAGGGGTCTAGAGAGACAGAGAGGCTCCTATATAGCCGCATTTGCCATGGCCCTTCTACTCGATGGTGTGAGTCAGGAACTGGGGAAGGAGGAGGGTAGAAAATGTGTCTCCTAGATGCCAGGGTGAACGACCTAATCCCAGTTCTGCATATTATCTCGAGTACCGGTTTGTCCAGGCTGAAAAGGTCGTCTGTTGCGGCATCAAAAGGTGTTCCAGGAATTTTCCGTAGATTTTTATGCACCCCTGAACCAAATCTGCGGTAAAAGTTGGAAGAATGTATAAGCCGCCATCGTCGAACCTCGTCCCACTCGACCTCCAGCTGAGACACTATCCGAAACGCCGCCCGCCCTCCTCATCCCACCCACAGCCACCCTCACGATACCCTCATCATCCAAGCCAAGAAACCTGTCCCAAGAAAGGCGGGAGAAGAAGAATTCCTTTCCCTCTCTTTTGCTACGTTAAGAGGGAATTCGAGCCTAACTATGCAACTTCAACCGAGATGAACTTGAGGGATATCACTCTTCAGAAGACTCCGGATATATACAAAAGATGCGTCGATCATCACCAAGGACCTGGAAGCTATGCTAGGCTGGGCACAGAGTCCGCGGGTTTCTTCTCCTCGAACAAAAAGACTTAGTATGTGTGACTGGAGGGGCTATGCGTCCTCGGTACGTGACGCATGCAGACATGAGAATCTGATACGAAAAGCGCAGCCTCATGACCCCAACTCTTGACACACAGACTTCTGCGTTTGACACCATGCCAAGCAACGCGGGACGCCGAAATGTCCAGACCAAAAAAGAGAACAAAGGGTTCTTCGGATGGCGGACCGGGAAATAGTGTGGTCTTACAAGTCAAGTTTGTAGAGAACGAAACCGTCAAGGCCAAAGGATGAGAGTTAAAGTGGACAAGGCGTAAGCTGCCGTGCCCTTATCTCGTCGAGTCTACAATTTACTACATCACAGATTCAGCCTTCGAAATCCATAGTGAACAGAGCATGTGTACAGAGTGTGTGTCTATTGTCTAGACTACCCATCTAAGTTATGATACCGACTTGAATTCAAACCTGCTTTCCCATTTTCAAACGCCAAAACATGAACCCTCAAGAAATCATCATCATTGCCGCTGAAAACGTTTTCCATAAGGCATCCCCCCTCGAATTCTAGTACTTAAAACAAATAACAAGAAGAGAAAAGAGAAAAAAACTCATCCCGTAGCCGAAAAGTCCTCCCTCACCCTTTAATCGTAAATATCCTCAGCCATCTCGCTGTCATCACCCATGATCTCATCAACAGCATCCTCCGCCTCATCGCTCATATTATCATAGTCAGGCTCCAAGCTGGTATCCCTATGATTAGGGAGGACCGTAATCTTTCCATCCTCAAGGCGCACCCTAGCTGTCTCGCCGTCCTTAATGGCGCCGCGAAGGATGTGAATGGCCAACTTGTTGAGCACCTCCTTCTCGATAAGACGGGACAGAGGCCTGGCACCGTAGACGGGCGAGTACCCGGCGCTGGCGAGGTAATCCTTTGCATCCTCGTCGACATCGATGTGCACCTTGCGGTTGTTGTCGTAGAGACGTTGCTGCACCTCGTGCATGCGCAGGTCGACAATCTTGCGGATTTCGTCCCGCGTGAGCCGATTGAAGATGACGATCGAGTTGATACGGTTGAGGAACTCGGGGAGGAAGTAGTTGCGGAGCGCGTTCATGACCAGTTCGCGCGTCGTGGCGTCGATCTTGCGGCTGCGGCTCGCCGACTTGGTGAGGTATTCGGCGCCGAGGTTGGATGTCATAACAACAATGCAGTTCTTGGCGTCGACGACACGGCCTTGGCCGTCAGTGATGCGGCCGTCGTCCATGAGCTGGAGCATGACCGTGAGGATTTCCTTGGCGGCCTTTTCCACCTCGTCGAATAGAAGGATGGAGAATGGCTTGCGGCGCAGTGCTTCGGTAAGTTGACCGCCCGCATCGTGGCCGACGTAGCCGGGAGGAGCACCGATGAGACGGCTGAGAGAGTGCCTCTCTTGGTACTCGGACATATCGAACCGGATCATGGCCCTGGGGTCGTCGAAGAGGAACTCGGCCAGAGCCTTGGTAAGAAGCGTTTTACCGGTACCCGAAGGACCGCAGAAGAGGAAGCTAGGCGGCTGGTTGGGGTTGCTGAGACCGGATCGCTGGAGCCTGATGGCGTTGGCGACAGACTCGACGGCTTCCTTCTGGCCGACGACGACTTGGCTGAGTTCCTTTTCCATGTTGACGAGCTTCTCGATTTCGGTGGTCTTCAACCTCGTAACCGGAATACCCGTCCATCGAGAGACGATCTCGTTGATGTTATCAACAGTGACAACATCAGTGACCATGGGGCCCTCGGCCTCGTCCGTCATCCTCAGAGAAGCGTCGGCGGCGGCCTTCTTCTCCTCCAATTTCTTGATGAGCATCTTCTGCTCAGGAATGGCACCGTATTTCAAGTCGGCTGCCTTGGCGTGGTCACCGTCGTATTCGGCGTCCTCCAACCTCTTGATGAACTCGTCGAGCTTGACCTTGGCGGCGTGGATCTCTTCACCACGCTTGATCTCGCTCTGGTACTTCTCCTTGAGCGGAGCGAGCTCTTCCTCGACGTTCTTGGCATCCTTGCGGGCCTCGGCGAGACGGACTTGCGAGGCCTCGTCCTTTTCCTTTTCAAGGGCCTTGATCTCAATAAGGTACTGCCTAAGCTTACGCTCGAGTGAGTCGATGATCTCGGGCTGGGATTCGCGAGCAACCTGGACGGCAGCGGCGGCTTCATCGACAAGGTCAATGGCTGAGTCGGGAAGACGACGAGTAGTGAGGTATCTAGCAGCAAGGTTCGCGGCAGCTACTAGGGCACCATCAAGAATGGTGACACGATGGTGGCGGTCGTATCGCTCCTTGAGGCCTCGGAGAATGGAAATGGTTTCCTGGACAGTCGGCTCCTTGACAAGAACTTGTTGGAAACGACGCTCGAAGGCGGCGTCTTTCTCGACGTACTTGCGGTATTCGGCGAGGGTCGTAGCACCGATACAGTGAAGCTGGCCACGGGCAAGCATGGGCTTAAGCAGATTGGCAGCGTCCATGCCACCCTCGCCAGCCGAGCCGGCACCCATGAGAAGGTGGATCTCGTCCACGAAGAGGACAATGGTATCCTTGGACTGCTCAATTTCCTTGAGCACGCCCTTCATCCTCTCCTCGAATTCACCTCGGTACTTGCTGCCGGCGACAAGAGCACCAACATCAAGGGAGAGAAGCTTGCAGTGCTTCAGATTATCTGGAACGTCGCGGTTTGCGATACGTTGGGCGAGACCCTCGACGACGGTAGTCTTACCGACACCGGGCTCACCAATGAGGACTGGGTTGTTCTTCGTTCGTCGACTGAGGATACGAATGACCCGGCGGATCTCTTCTTCTCGGCCAATGACGGGATCCATCTTCTTATCCCTAGCCATGGCTGTCATGTCGATGGTGAACTTGGCTAGGTTTTCGTGTTCCTCCTCGGTATCTGCCGTCTTGGAGTCGAGCCGCCTTGTTCCGCGGATCTCACGGACGGCGTCTTGTACTAGCTTGGCCTTCGGGATCATAGCCTCCTTCAGGCAAGTCTGAATATTCGGGTCCTCAGAGAGGGCAACAATGAGGTGGTCGACACCGATAAAGGTATCCTTCTGGAGCTTTTGAAGCTCATTGGCCTTCTTGAGAACCGCGTGGAAGGAAGGAGCGAGACTGACGTTCTCCGGGGGAGGGTCCTGGCTGGGCAGCCGAACTAGCATCTTCTTCAGTGCCCTGTCGAAAGCTTGCGAGTCGCCGTGAGCTCGCTCGATGACTTGGCGGAACATTGTGGTGGTGGCGCCGGGAACGGCATTCTGCTGATCCTTGGATTGGTCTGGAAGAGGCTCGAGAAGAGCGACTGCTAGATGGACGGGGAGTAGTTGGGAGTGAGCGTATTGCTCGGCCAAGGCCATGGCATCTTCCACGGCCTTTTGGCCTCGATTTGTGAATTCCATGCGCGCCGCCATGGTTTCAAACTGGTAGTGTTTCGACTTCTTTCGTGAATGTGGTCGAGAGCAGTCGTGTTAGGTAGGAAGGAAGGTTTAACTTGACGGCAGAACTCCTCGGGTGTGGTTTAGAGTTCTGCAGGGTATCAAAGAGAGTGAGGTATTATGTAGATAGATCGAGGATTATCCTTTGCTGTCTAGCAGAAAGGCAATTGACCTTTTTTTTGTTTCGTTTGCTTTGTGTTTCCTTGTGTGATGTGTGAGGGGGTGTGTAAAAAGGAAAGAAGATGTCAGGCAGAAGGCGGAATCAGGGAAATTTATTTATCTACGGGGACCAGCAGGATCAAAACCTAATCGACAGGAGAGAAGACCTTCCAATGTTCCCGAAGCTGATGGTGGGCTGACCTTGGTACGAGAAGAGTCCGGCAGAAACGAGTGGACTCTGGTGATTTTGGGAGACGATTCTCGACGGGGTGCGAACCTACCAGAAGCTACTAAGGCGACAGTGATGTCAGTGTGCTTTGGTGGGGTAAAGGAGCTCTGAGACAGCGGAGAACCCCGCCTATGACGCCCTATCTGGTCTTGGCTGGCTGGGCTGACGGTGCCCGAGATGACTAAGCTAGAATAGACTAATGTGATGCATACGGCTGTTACCAATTGTAAACATTTGTCAATGCAAAGGATCACGTGAGAGCATCGAAGTTCCTTCGCGGCAAGCTCCGTCTTGGCTCGAGAGGTTGACGTTGGGATGGGAAGTTTTTGAGCTGGACCGATCACGCCTGCGAAAGACGCAGCAGACCATCGTAAATCAGCAATTGAACACGACCTTGGCTGGGCTGCTGTACCCGCAACGACGCACGTCCTTCCCTCCCCCCTCACGATGAGCGCGGTACCATTAACGAGGCCATCTCTGGTCTCCCAGCTGTCGGTTGGCGTCTCCCGAATGAGCATACGGCAAGGCCACTACAAGGCACGCTATCGACAACCTAAGCCTGAGCTCACTGGTTACCCGGAGGGCTGGGGCGAGAAGATTTGGATCTTCCATGAGGTCAGGTCACATCAGGTTGTGTACTCGCACACGAAAGTACTAGATGTATGTTCTATTAAAATTCTTGCCGGGTCGTTGATGAGGTACGGGGAGGAACTAGAAGAAGGGAAAGGAAGAAAAAAAAAAAGTTCAGTCAACTAATCACCACTATCCTCTCTCCCGTCTCTAGGTATACAAAGCGATGAAGCAGCTCCCCTTCGCCGGGAAAAAGACCAAACCCGCCAAAATCCGAAAAGACCTCTGGCGCCACCTTGCCCTCGTACAATTCCCCGAAGGCAAGGGTGAAGTAGGCCGATCCGTCTTCGCCAAGCTACGCGAGTTCCGGAAACGTCACGAGCTCGAATGGGACGACGATATGTTCTTCGAGAAGCGCGAGGACGGCGGGAAGAGGGTGCTCACGCGCCAGGAGAGGGGAATGAAGATTCGCGAGCAGGTGCCTAACGCGGTGGCTGATCTTGCCGCCGTGCTGGCTGGTGTCGGGAAGTCGAACAAGATGTGGATAGAGGGCCAGCCAGAGGGAGTGCAAGACGCAGCCGAGAGCGCGGAGGCGCAGGACAAGCTGCACCAGGCTACGGTTTACTGGTCGAACGATAGATTCAAGGCCCACGCGGAGAGTTGGACACCAAACGTGACGCATGATCTTTTGGAATCTGTGGCGGAGACTCCGGCTCAAGTTCCAGCCGAGGGTGCTACGGCCGAAGGGCAATCTGCTTGAGCTAGGAGCGTGTAAATGAAAAGGCGGAGACCGTGGTTGGATAGGAGGGGAATTGGGGTGTGAGGAGAATGACCCTGCGGAATAAGAATCTGAGATCATCTCATGCCCTTTTTGCGCCGCTATGGTTGCAGCTGAGAGCAGATTCGTTCCGGCGGGGACAGGACTCTTACGGTTACCTTGTACCACCTATAATCGGGGACGAGAGGAGGAGAATCTGTACATGTACGACTAGAAACCAAATGTATAAGAGCACAAAACATCCTTGATTCTTGCTAGGGCGTCCCCTTTCCTGGTGACATTTGAGCCCTGCTATTTCCTATAAAGATGCAACAATGCTACCCGTTTACAAGAAACATAGACTGAAAATCTCTTCCGCTTCTCTTTTCGTTGGAAAGTCAAAATGCAACGCTTTTTACCCAGTCCTCACAGGAACCTTGAGGGCAAACTGCTTGAGATATTCATAGTCGGCAATGTTGGCCTCGACAGTCTTGCGAATGACCTTTTGCGCCTCCTCGCCGTACTTTTTCCTCCATTCCTCGTCTTCCGACTCGGAAGTGGAGTTTTTCTTCTCCTGGAAGTTAGCACTCGAATAAAAACTCCGAGGTAAGGATTAAGAAGAGGGTAAGAAACGAAAGGAGAAAAAAATTTTTAATAGAACAGAACCTACCTGGGCGTGAGTACGGGGTTTCAGCGACGAGCTACTAATAGCATCATTATGAAACCCATTCCACTTCTCAAAGGCCTCAGCGGCATGCACCGTATCATCCTCGCTCCAATTCAACATATTCGGCGAAAACGCAATGCCAACCCTCTCGCAATACGCCTTGATGGCACCCTCGGGGTTGTCAAGCATGTCATCCGCATCAAGAACGACTAGATTCTCCCTATCCACGACTCCCTCTGCGATGAGGTAGTCAAAGAGGCGGCGGAGCTCGTCGTAGCCGGCCTCATTGGGCATGAAATGGTCGAAGTTCGTTATTTGGTCGAGGGGCGGCACGGTGCAGCGGTAGTAGGAGGGAATGCTGCGGCGGGGGTGGCGGATGAGAAAGGTGAATTGGAAGCGGCGGAGGGAGTCGAGGGGGATGACGGTGGGGTTCTTGGGTTCTTCCGCAGCGGCGAGGGATGGGGGGATCTTGGCGGGTTTGCCGTCCGGCGGGAGGAGATAGTAGGCTATGTCTTTGATGAAGACTTGTTTCTTTCCCTGTGGGTTGCGTGTAAGTTATCGGCCGTTGGGCATCGGCGGCTTGGGGCCGGAGACGGGACGGAGAAATGGAATTAGGACGGAGCGTGGGGTGGCCAACGGTCAATAAAGCGCCGTCCGAACGAAGTCGCAAGAGTAGATCAGGATAAACCAAGGCCTGGAGCGGGAATATATCCCAGACGACATGTACCATCCCCGAATGCGCTTGCATCCGCCCATGCAGCATAGAAAAAAAAGATTCAACCAAGAGATTGGCCGGCAAATCAGGAACCAAGTAGGAACGACACGAAGAAAACATAGAGTCGAACCTCATCCACCAACTTCAGGACACTCCCGAGCACATCCGCATACGTCGTATTGGCAAAGCCCGACTTTGCGCGGTACGCTTCGTCATTCTCGAAGCGCTCGCTCATACGCTCGGGCCCAAAGTAGAACGCATCACCGAAGGGCTCGTGGACGCATTCGAGGGTATCTCGACATGTCATGAAGACCTGTTTCGCAGCCAAACATCAATGTTAGTGCACACTGTAGGCCCAAACAGAAAAATGAAAAGACTCATACCCTCTCGAAGGCTGTTGAGCAGGCGCGTGGGTGAGTGGCTGCAAAGATGGGTTTTGAGGTCATGATGAAGAGAGTCGGTGTCAGGAAAGAGTGATCAGAAAAAGAGATAAGAAAAAAAGTCCCAAAGAATTGAATCGGGAGGGAACAGAAGAGGGCAACCTTGACTTGAAGTTAACGGCTCAAGAGGTTATCAAACAAATTCAATTGGATATGATCGAAACTAGAGTCAGTGATACGAGTGTTTCTCTTCTCGAGCTGAGCTAGAAAGTGGAAGTATCGAAAGTCTTGCCCAGGGCGGGGGGTGGAGGGTGCTCTCGATATTTAGATTTCAGGAACCTTCACCCAAGCGGAACAAGCTAGCCAATCGAGCAAGACACATGGAGATGTTTAAATACTAGTGGCAGCTACAGTCTACCAAGTAGAACCGGGCAGAATGGACACTCCATCAAGGAGCATGGAGACGCCAAGTATACAACAATCGATACATCTCGAGGGGCGAAGGAGGAGTTGAGGACAATTGGAATTGGAGGTGAGGAGTTCCCCACAAGTTGTCCCACACCGTCTGCAGGATGATCAGGGACATGTGGTATTCTTACACTTGGAATCCCTGTTCTCTGATCCAATTGCAGCGTATTACTATTCAACTCATGTGCGAAAGGCGGGATGCTTGGCTGTTTGACGTTTGCAGTGAGCGAGGATGTGAGGAAAAGGTCGGAGTGGCTCCTTCCCTCGAAAAAACTTAGAATAATCAGGTACGTCATCGGTGGATGCCCTGCAGGTCAACTCAGGCAGGACCAACACACCCCACGGGCCCAGGAACCAATAAGCCCAGGGCCTGACCACTTCTCTACCCACGCTAGAGCTTACGAAGGATTAGCAGTGTACAACTGTATGTACATGCTTTAGGAAGTACAGTTCCGAAGTAAATATCCAGCTCAAAGCTATCACATTTATACTTTTTACGAAAGACTCTGGGAAGGAAGGTAGAGATCTAGTGGAAGAGGATCTACAAAGTACCCAGTACGCTTCGAGGTGCATGCCGCTTCGAGATCAGGACCAGGAAATCTTATCATAACCTCGGAAGTATCTCGCCTCGCGACCTATTAACCGATCCGGACAGGCGAACAGGAGGGGAAAACCAGGGAAAGATGGATAATTGAAGAGAGCGAGAAGAGGGAAAAGAAACAAAAGGCTTCCCCCACGAGATTTACGTCATTTAATGTTGGTCGCTCAATGCTCTTGAGCAAAACATTGATGTACAATCATTCTCCTGCGGGACGGGCTGGGGATGACCGAGATTTAATATAAAATCTACACTTCCATTGTGAAAAGATACGAGGCAACAACTCGGGGGAAAGCAAGGGGAAAGGGAAGACAAAAAGAAAAAGAAAAAAAAAAATCACAGGAACGACCTGCCAATTCCGGGATCACAGACGTGGGTTGTAGAATCTCTACATCCCCGGTGATACTCTTGTGCGTCGGACAAGGCTAGAAGTGTCAGTCATGCTCGCCTTATCACAGCTTCGAAGTGGTGGGATGTCATGGGATAATCAGCAGGAAAGCCAATATCCTAGTTCGTCGGGAGCTGCATCGGGAGTGAGGTATACTAATCCACAAGCTGAATGGTGTGTGTGGATGTGTCAAAACCCGAAGCAGGCTGTCCATTGGAGGCTTATGAAGTTTCGGTGTTGGGATGTGCATGCACATCGTCTGCGGGCAGGGTTTTTGGCATGTGAGGTGGGAAAACCTAGTCAGTTCATGGTGGCGACGATAACAGCTCTTTCGGAGCTCGAGGGCATGGGGGTTTTTGGATTGGAGCTCCTGAAGTCCTTACTTATTTGTAAACATTGACCTGCCATTTGATGCGAATCAGCTGAAAGGAGACAGGTGCATCATATTGGAGCTGTCAGCGATTGGGCAGATTTACTCGTCTCTTCCAATTTTTTTTCTAGCTGAGCTGTCTTGAGCCCCGACTATGGCTAGTTTGACTGTACCAACTACCGAGCCACCTAGAGCTTTGCGCTACCCTCTTAACTTCCACCAGGGCCTCTCTCACTCCCGGATCGAGATCATAGTGGCCCTCAATCTCGACAAAGAAGAGATACTGGAATGCCGTGATGAGACTAGGACGACTGTTAATCGTCGTCAAGTTCAGCTTTGCTTTCCTAAAGCAATCCAACACATCTGCCAGCGCTCCTGGCTCGTGGTGAGGCACTGTAAACGACACGAGAGACTTTGTCGTGCTCGAGCGAGGCAGCTTCCCCGTTTCTCCTTCTTCCTTTGCTTCCTTTTCTACTTCTCCGTCCGATATTGGTCTCGGCACTTTGAGCTCCGGCCTAGTAGTCTTCTTGATAATGAAAAAGCGCGTAGTGTTGTCCTCACGGTCCTCGATCGACTTGGCCAGGACGTCGACACCGTAGACTTTCGCCGCGATCTCGCTCGAGATGGCCGCCGACGTGCCCGTCTTATCCTCCTTAACCATCTCCGCCGCGCGGCTCGTCGAGCTCACATCGATAGTCTCAATACCCTTGAGATACGTCGATAGGAAAATCGAGCACTGGCCCCACGCCTGCGGATGCGAGTACAGCCTCGTAATGTGCTTCAGGCTACCCAGGGGTTTCGTCCGCGGCTTGAGCGGGTGAGGGTCCGCCAGCGTGGGCGTACAGGTGCCCGATCCGTCCCCACCATCGTCGAGTGTGGGCGAGCGGTTCCGCTGGCCGAGGAGGAAGTGGTGCACGTCAACGTAGGCCTCGCCGCAGACGAATATGTCGGGACAGGTCCGGTAGCGGTTGGCTAGGTTGTCGAGGGTGAAGATGACGGGGCCGTTGGTTGAGTTTTCGAAGGGGACGACGCCGAAGTCTGCGTCGCCCTTTTGGACCACCTCGAAGACTTCTATCTGGGGGGTTAGCTCGATGCGGGAAAAGGGACAAAGATTGTGAATGAATATACCGTCAATGTTCGTTGATGGCCTTAGATCGTACTTGTCTCCGGGAAAGGACTGTAGAGCAGCCTATACAAGCTGTGTCAGTCAGATTCTTGCATATGCGTATTACGGCAGCAGGATCCAACGCGGGCTGTAGGCCATGGATAGGAGCAACTAACCTGGTGAGTGTAAGACGAGATCGGACCGAGGAATGCTACTATAGGCGTCCTCGCTATGCCGTTCTCAGCCGCATTCACGGCGTCGGCGACGTTGACTTGTTCTTCTAGCATGGCCAAGGTTTTCCGAGTGAGGTTCTCAGCACAGGAAAATATGGTAGCAAGAAGACGGAACTATGGCCAAGGAGAGCCAAAAGCCGATAACGATAATTGGCAATAAAGGATGAAGTACGTCAGTTCAACTTCATGAGGCTACCCGACGAGATGCTCTGAACAGGCGGGTTAGCACGGCTGGATACATATTGATGAAGGTGTCGCATGAGGGGAGTAAGGTGAGATATGGCTGACTGTGAGAGAAGCGAGGTATTTCTCGACCAATGGCCGATAGATTGTTCTTTGCGACTCTCCGATTTCGGTATTGTATGTTCGGAGACAGATGGCCAGGCCTTCTCTCACGTTGAAGGATAGTCGCGATATCCAAGAGGGGTTTGGGCACTCCTCAATCGATGCCATGACGACAATTGAAAATTGCGCGAAGTGAGTTCCGAGCCTTGTTGGTTGTTGAGTGTGGGTGGGTATATTACTAACAAGCTTGAGGTGTGTCCATTGCGGAGGCTTGATAGGCAAATACGGCCGGCAAAGGCACTAACCCAACCTTGGGAAGACAGCTCGCCTTACTGGACGAGAACCTAAAGCTTGAGGCTCACCATCCAAGACCCTGAGCGACCGGTCAATTGTTCACGGGGTTCAAAGAGACGGAAGAGGCCAGTTTCGCCCTGAACAAAAGACAAGATGATTCCGATTGAAGACTGGGGTAAGAGACGGAGCTGAGATCAATGACATCAGGCATCTGCGAGCTGCCGTTCCCGTTCTTCTTCTGGGCCCGCTGTTTAATTGATATCGGCGGGATATGGCAATCAGAAGCACATACAAGTACGACAGTCTCACCACCCCGGCTGCTACCACTCCTGTGAAACACCTCGTATTCATCCACGAAGAAATATTCCTCGCGACATCGAATATCACGAGCGACGGGCTCCCGAGATCAAAGCGCATTTACGAACTGCCGCGGCTGCTGGGCTCCGTCTTGTCTCGGCACCGACCTCAATATTCATGTGCTTACGGGAGCGGAGGCCATCGGATTTGGGGTCCGTCTCCGTCTCCGGGTACTAGCTCTGCAGGGTCGCATCCCGGTCCTCAGGCCGTTTGGGTGCATCACAACCTGGCAGCCCTTCCTTCCTTGTGCTGCATGGTGAGATTGCGTGGTTTCGAGCAAGTTAGGTTAGAATCCGCGGACGCCGCGTCCAAAGAATGCCATCCTCTGTCTAAGCAAACGCGTACAAAGGAAAGGGAATGGATGAAGAAGAACCCGAACCTCAACCTCGGTCCAGCATGAAACATCTTCTCGAATGGTCGTAATCGTAATCTCCAGGTTCCAAATCCTTGCGCCCACGGTTTACGCGCGTTACGTCCGTTCGGTCATGCATTGCTGCATCACCGCTTCCCGGCGATGACGGGAAGCGTTATACTATGAGAGAGCAAGTTTCTCTTCGCGTGGGCGTTCAGCATGAAACTGTTATTTTATTTTTATCAAGAAACGGCGCTTGCGGGATGTGACTGGATTTCTATTTAAAAACAAACCAGAAATTCCGAAGAGGTGTTTCTCAGGGCGTTGAATCGTGTGGTAGGGCTGGTGTTTCATGTTGGCGCCCATCCCTGGATCGTAGCCCACGCCTGCTTCGGCGGGCTAATGTCCCAGAATACCGACGTAAGGCTTTCGTGGCTTGCCAGTGTACTAGTGTTTACAAACGTACGGGCATTACTAGATGCTTGTTCCCTGCGTGGCGCGAGGAGAGAGAAACAGGCTTGTTGCGTGAAAAAGAAAAGGATTTGCGTGTTTGCTCCTTCTGAGCCCAGGGAAAGGATACGGCAGGCGTCCATGTGAGACAAAGGTCGGAAAGCCTCACGCTAAAGTCCCACGGAAGCCGTACGATTTACAGAATTGACTAACTTGAACCACCTTACCTCCTTACCATTGAGAGAAATACGATCCGGTGTCTCACCGTAACAGAAAATGTGTGTCGGGCTTGGCAGCCGCTCCCTTTCCAGCAATGGCACGAGGTGGCTCATCTGCCGGGTGAGCAAATTGCTCACAGGGCTTTCTTCATCTCGGGAGTCCACGACGCGAGCCTCTACTGAGCAGGTGCGCATAGCACTCGTGGGCTTAGACAACGACAGACGTAGGGAGTTTGATCCTATCGCTTAAGGAACAGTTTAACGTAAGCAGATATCTTCAGTCTTCCCAGTCGTTATCCTGAAGATGCCAAGAGATGCGATAGGCAGAACACAGCCCGTTAATATAGAGGTGTGAACACTTTCGTCAAGGCGCACGGGAGCTTCGGAGTCCTTCGGGTGACCGAGCGGAGAGGATGAGAGATGGATGCTGGGGAGTAGGGAGGCGGTTCTTCGCCCAGAGGACTAGTATATACAGCCAATATGTATCATCCCATCTTCCTGTCCCCTCTTCAATACCAGGTACATTGATGAAAACATTGTCCACATGCACCTCGTTTGCAATTTGCCGGGTCTTTTCCCTGAAAACCCGCTCCGTCCCTCTTTCTCGTGTCAGTGCTGGTGTGTGTGTGTGTGGGTGAGAGAGGGGGACGGACGGATACAGACTACGAAGTTTGGTCGCACCGGCAACTTCGTGACGCAGGGAGGCAGTTAGTCTAGTTATCTAGATTGCCATTTATATCCTATTCCCTAGCGAGATGATGGGGCTTGGGAGTTGGGACCGAGGCGGCGGGGTTGTCATCTCTAACACAAACCAAGTGTCTTTCATGATATTGATACTGACATGCCTAAGAAACGGTTTTGCGGGGAGCTGGGGGAAATTGTAAACAAAACGAACCCAAAAAAGACGACAAGGCACCCTGATATCAGTTGGTTTTGCTCCATATCGCACGTCGTCGGTCAAGCGAATGGCACGATAGGACGGACACCCGCAATATACTCCACACCAGCAATTCCAAACACGGAGGCAGAGCGCCGTGGGCAGCTTTTTTAGTAGTACGACAACAAGAGATTTTGGTAGAGGATGCAGGTGATCCTTCTCCGAGTTGTTTTTAAAATTAGAACAGGAGGGGAGAGTGAGTGGAGAAAGAGAGTGAAGTTGTCGCTATTGATCTCTCCCATTACAATCCCGAAACGGGAAAATGGCCATAGACTTCACACCCTTTTTCTGTCTCCATCTGCTTGTTTGCGCCGCGGACGCTTCGTTCACGCATGAATAGAATAGGATGGGGGATGGGATGGGATGGGACATAAACCCTCCGTCCGAGATGCCGGTAGACGAACCTGCCCATTGCATTCGGCTGTGCTCGATGCCGTTTTCTGCAATCGCATACCAGTGTGGCTGCGTCGTAGGGCTTGTTCTACAAAAGAGATGCCGGGGACCAGGCGTCCTGCACGGCATACTACCTACTACGACACTACACCGACAGGACAAGATGCGTCGCCCGAGGTCTGGATATTAATGGGAAGAGGAAACAAAAGAAACGGAGACTGACCGGACGATGAGCCGTGCGGTCGCCATAGTTCCTGTAGCCAGTGGCATCGTGAGATTCATTCATGTTTCCATCACTAGGGGGAGTCAGTGTTAAAGTTGTGTGGAACAAACTTGCGCGCCTTCCACGTCACCCGACCACCCCTCTCTATCAGAGCACAGCTGTTTGAACGCAGGGTTATTCGGTTGCAGACCACTATATCAGAAAAAAAGATCAATCAGTCAGAGGGGGAGGGTAAGCGGCGGACCCGGCCGTGAAGAGGATACGACGACAGAATTAGAACTGTCATCTCAACTCCTCATCTTTCGCTTCAATCCATAACCACAACCGCACGATATCCAAAGGTAAAGGGGTCGCTATCGATCCAACAAGACGTCATCCCACGAGCCATTTTCCAATGCCGTCGGTGGCTGCTGCTGCCCTTTGTTCTCCCACCTGAATACCATTGTCGAGGAACGGTTCTGATTTCTGGGTTGGGAAAAGGTTCGAAACACGACCGGTTTCATGTTAGGCGTCGCGGTGGCCAATCGCATGGGCGGACCGGGTCCATTTTGCCGGTCCTTGCACCCTGGATCTCCATTCAAGGCTGGATTGTTGCTTTTTTGTTCTTCGCCGCCCGGACTACGCCTAGTTTAGTCCAAGGAGAGACATGGGGGCGACGAGACTTGAGGATTGGGGCCGTGCGTTTGGCTGGATGTTTTGCGTTGAATGAAGAGGTACTACTTCGTTGCTTTTGGGGCGATCAAAGAGTTAGAGAGGCGATTTCACTACCTCGTCCTCCATGAGTGCCCCGTTTATACGAGGTGCTTGTACTCACTAGGACTGTGTGTCCATATTAAGGTACGGCAATAATGCGCAGTGCCGAGAGAAGAGAAGAACCCATGAAAACCCATCCAACCGTATTGGTAACGGAGAATATTGGTTATCTACCGTCCGAAGATACCGGGACACTCGGAGACATGTTGCCTCCCTGTCTGTCTGCCTGTCTGCAAGCATTGCTCGTCATTCGGCTGACGATGCCTCGACCGTTTGATCGTAAGTCGATCGGATATGAAACGCCACAGCATCGCAGTTTCTGGGATTTTTCTCTTTCCCTTGAAACCCCACCGTCACCACAGACGTTACATTCAGGGTATCCCGACAATTCTGCAAGTGCGCCGAGCCAGGCTAATCCATCCAGCTAAACTAGTGTAGTTCAACAGTGCATGCAACCCGGTCCGCTGGTTTGACTTCACCGAGTGGCGCTGACTCTCAACGGCGGACAAGGTAACGGGGCAGAAAGGGCGTCCCCGCAAGGCACCCTCCTGTAATTATCCCGCGACCAAGGGAAAACAAAGCGGCGGGTTCTCACTGATGATGAAAGGGGAATCGGTGGCCCCAGAATTTGCGACCCTAAACATGTTTCAAGGTAAATAATAGTGAAGGATAAAGAGAAGAGAAAAGTCAAGAGATTGAAGGAGCATGGTGGTGGTGGAGCTGCTCATGCTGGGGTCCATGTCCAGGAAAGATCCATTAATGCTAACGCCCGCTCAATGCTTGAAATCTCCGGAGATGCTGGTGAAGACGGAGGATTTATTACTTCATCGTCTCCATCTGGTCAAGGGTTTTACGGCTATCCTGGCCTCCATTCCGACACACTCCCATCGAGCTAGGAGCTATTAGGAAGTACGAAGTAATGCAGGTTTTGGCTAATACCATCCATTCCTCAACCCCCAGCAAGGGATCAGCGCTGGGCGGGAAATCCGTAGATCGGAGATTGATTATTCTGCCCCTATTTTCGGCGGAGCAAAGTGTATTACTATGAAAATGCTTTTGAGAGATCTTGGACTGGTCGTAACAAAACAAGGGGGGATCGGTGGAGTTGAGAGTGTCGGTGAAGTCGTTTACATGTCTTGCTGTCGATATGGCCTGGGCTTCCAATTGTCGTTGTTGACGAAGCTGATGAAGAGGGATCGAGTGAGCTGCCAACAGGATCCATCCGTAGCTTTGATCAATCATTGATCGTGCGTCCATCCACCAATTCTTCGCATCTTTGAACATTGAGTGGTCGGCCGAGATGTTCGTATCGAGAAGCGCCCCAGTACACGTAATTAGATGTGTATGGACTTGGCTCCAATAATAGCTTGCCTCCGGTCATCCCATGCTACCCTCTTGTCAGCCAGATCTATCCAAGTATAGTCTCCAGGAAAAATACCCTCTTGTCCTGTCCTGTCACTACTTTTGAAATGGCTTCGCATACAATTTCCAGTTCTCTGTCTTGCGAAATACAAGTAGAGTGCCCAGGGAATTCCAAGTTCATGCCTGGGACCGCCTGTCGAAGGCCAGGCTGCTGTAATGCGGTAAATGCGGTCACGATCTTGTCTCTGCTGCATGTGCCAGAGTCCAGTAGCGCCCCCTTCCCTCCGCATTCACTCCAAAACGGAGCCACTCCAGTTTAAGCCAATCACCGTTTTGGCCCGGTCAAGATCGAAACGACGTGGAACGTTAGAATGTGGAACCCAGCAACACCCTGACCAAAATGCGGCCCAATTCTTCCAGATTGACAACCCACCTTGTACCTCGTAGGAAGCTCTTGCTGTGTTTGGTGCAAGTCACAAGCCCACACCCCCCTTTCGCTCCTTCCCTCATCTCTCGACTCCCAAGCATCTTCATCTTCGCGGTTCGTGGCTCACCCCCGCCCATTCCTCAAATCCCCAATCCCATGCTGCTGCCCCAATCCCCCAATCCTCATAATCCCATAATCCACAATTTCGCAGTCCGCATCTTCACCGTTTGGCTCTGCCCCCTCCCGCTGTTCCGCCAAGCGCCTCTTCATTCTTAACCCCCCTGGCCCGACTTCCCCTCTGTTTCTCTCCGAAATCCTAATAATATTCAGCCTTCCACACCATTCCTCCCTTCCCATCATCCCACCCCTTCCACATATCTGACCACGACCGCGCCCTGCAAAAGGCCATAGCGAGAGGAACAGAAACTACTCCCCCCAAAAAGAGAGCCTGTGAAGCTGCTTGCTGAGCAGGCTGAAACCTGGGTCTTGTCGCGTCGTTTTCGAGAATTTTTTTTTTTTCTTCTCTGTTAATTCTCTTCCTCTTTCTTTGATACCATACTTTTAAACGCGTTCCCCCCCTCACGATTCACGAATGCCCTTTACGAATCCGACGAAACACCTTTTCCCGCCTGATTCTCTTGACAAACGAAACACTTACGAACGATACCTAGTCCAGAATCATTACCGGTATTGATCTAGACTGGAAGACATCAAATATAATTCGGCCAAACCATGGCGATGCTGGCCCCCAAAACGCCCTTTGCCGCCTCACTCGGCTCTGGCGCAGTAATCGTCCCCAACGTTCCGTCCGCCAACATGGCTCCCCCAAGGAGAGCGCCGACCCTACCCACGCCGAACACATCCCTTGCGAGCCCGACCCAGTCCGAATTTTCCGATGGCGATAGCCCCGACTCAGTGAAGAATTGGGACGTCGACAGGGTCTGCGAGTATCTCAGGACCGTTAAGTGCGGCGAGTACGAAAAGCTGTTTAGGAAGAACCACATCAATGGAGAAAACCTACTCGAGATGGACAAGGAGGTCCTCAAGGAGATGGGCATTGAGAAAGTTGGCGATCGAGTCCGACTGTTCCTTGGTATTAAGAAGCTGCGGACCCGCGCCTACGCGAATCAGAAGAAACGAAATAGGGTATTTTCAACTTCCTCCCCTCTGACGTTTTCTCTTCCCACACCACTGGCCAATTCCCGAGGTTTGGCTACCCTGGACGTGTACTGATGTGACTAAACAGGATTCCTTCGGTGGACTCGACATCCAGTACATCCCCTCGGCCGGCTCGCCTCGTCATGCACGGACAATGGCCAATACCTCGTCCTCCAGCCGCCAGCAATACAGTAATAGGTCGTACGATACGGCTGGCGCCATGGATAATTCCAGACCCAGCTCGCCTATGCCGGCCACGGATATCCGACGGCAGCGTCTAGGCCATGGTGCTTCAAGGCACTCCGGCTCCCCCGCTGAGTCGCAGCCGGCGCGTCTGGTAACTAGCCATACCAGGAATAACTCCAGTATGGATGGTTCACTGATGGCTGGCTTACCACAGGGTCAGGAGGTCATCCGTGTCATCTCTACAAACGGCGTGACGAAAGTCGTCAAGATTGCCGATTGCAGCACCTGCGAAGAAGTAATGCGCGTAACGTTGCGAAAGTTTGCCCTTCGCGAAGACCACGAACGAAACTACTGCTTCTGGGTTCTCGACGGCCTCGAGCCCGAACCGAGCCAGTGCCGACGCCTCGGCGACACCGAACTCTGGCGCATAATTAAGGATCAAAAGCGACCCGAGCGGAACCGCCTAATATTACGACGAGTACCGGCCGGCGAACCCGGCGATGCCGAGCTCCAGCGCGCAGCCGCGATCGCCATGGAGGAGGCGGCGCAGAGCCATGCCCGAGCGCTCGAGAAGACGGACAAGCGTAGCCAGGTGAAACTTCAGAAGCTATTAGGCGAGGGCTGGGACGAGGGCCTACGTCACCCCATGTCTCGTGGCGGTTACTCGGGAGGTGGACAAGGATATTCCGAAATGGAAGAGAGGCAGCCGAGAGGCCGGAAAGGACTGTTGCGGCAATTTGGCGGACTTCGTCCTCCCAGTGAACTGATTACTTCTGATCTTACTTCTTACTTCCCCGATCATCCCCGGGAGGACATTGACCGTACCGCGCGTATGTCGCTGCGGCGATCGACGCGACTCAGTAGGGTTAACCATCGTCTTAGCGTTGCCAGCAGCATGAGCTTCGCGTCGAGCATCCAGGACGCTCCTCCTATCCCGACCATTGCCGACTCGTGGCTCAACGCCACTAACCAGGCCAAGAACCGACCTCAGAATGGCTTGGGACGCCTACAATTCCGCGATTCGGTGGCGTCGTCAATGCTCGATACGCTACAGGAGGAGTCGCCCATTGACTCGACCCGCAAGTCATTCACCTCGTTTGCTGACAGCAGCTCTGATGGTGCCACCAGCCTCAGTGTGACCGATCCCGACGGAAACACTGTCATGAGGCGTGGATTCTACGAAGGCAGCGGCGACTCGACCGGATCCGGATCTTTCCAGGATCTCAATCAAGCACTCAACGAAGACGGCGAGGATGTCGACGAGGAACTGCAGAGCTTCCTGGCGGGCGAATCCTGGGACGACAACAAGTGGATGAAGGGAGCCCTGATCGGCCAGGGATCCTTTGGCAGTGTGTACCTCGCTCTCCACGCCATCACCGGAGAGCTCCTCGCTGTCAAGCAGGTCGAGAGCCCTTCTCCCGGAGCCAACAGCCAGAACGACAACCGCAAGAAGAACATGATCGAGGCGCTCAAGCGGGAGATTAGTCTCTTGAGAGATCTCAAGCACCCCAACATCGTGCAGTACCTAGGATGCAGCTCGTCGGCTGACTACCTCAACATTTTCCTCGAGTACGTGCCTGGTGGATCGGTGCAAACGATGCTCAACTCGTATGGCGCGCTGCCTGAGCCCCTTGTCAGGTCCTTCGTCAGGCAGATTCTTACTGGTCTCTCGTACCTTCACGGCCGGGACATTATCCACCGAGACATCAAGGGTGCCAACATCCTCGTCGACAACAAGGGCACTATCAAAATTTCCGATTTCGGCATCTCGAAGAAGCTCGAGGCGTCCAACATCCTGAGTGGGGCCAACAATAACAAGCACCGCCCTTCACTACAGGGATCAGTGTTCTGGATGGCGCCGGAGGTGGTCAAGCAGACCTCCCATACGCGCAAGGCAGACATTTGGTCGCTCGGATGTCTGGTGGTCGAGATGATGACGGGCACGCACCCGTTCCCCGACTGCACGCAGCTTCAGGCCATCTTCAAGATTGGCGGAGCCAAGGCAAGCCCGTCGATTCCCGAGCACGCCAGTGAGGAGGCCAAGGAGTTCTTGGCCAGGACGTTTGAAATCGATCACGAGAAGCGACCGGGTGCGGATGAGCTTATGCTCAGCCCGTTCTTGGTTCCCATTACATAAGTTGGTTGGAGGGAGAGGGAGAGAGAGGGAGAGAGAGGGAGAGAGAGGGGTGGGGTTGGAATGAGAACGAGAAACCTCGGTCGAATACGCGATACCTTTTGTGCCCAATTCATCTTTTCCGTTTTCTTAGACCTTTTTCATGGCCTAGGGCCTCGTTGGGCCGAGGGTGGCTAGTTACTGGTGCCCTCGTGTCCTTTTTTTTTAATCTTCTAGGAAGGCCCCGCAAGGCAGGACACCCCAAGGGATCTTTTGTTGAGGCGGAGACGGAAAGAAGGAGAGAAGATGCGTTGGTGGTGATGGTAGTTGAAGTGGTCGAGGCCAACCAAGACCAGCCATCCCCATTTCCATCATCGTCTGCTCCTTTCCGCTCTCTTTCTCTACATCTACTTTTGTTTCTTCCTTATCTTCGTTTCGTATTCGGAGTTGGCCTCATCTCCTGCAACGCATCTCATCATTGGCAAGGTAGTCTGGAGTTTTATGTGTCTAATGTTTCCTTTTTTCTTTCTCTCCTTAATGAGGCACACACAGATAAGAACAAGACAAAGATAGGAACCAAGGAAATGAATGACAATGAAAGGGGAGGCAGTTATATATCCACTTGATACACATGTTTGCGAGCCTAATGGTGTAAACTTCTTTTTCTCTCGAGAGCGTATGTGCTTTGTTCCCTCTTTTTTCATCCCCCGTTTTTCTTCCCCTTCCTTAATGATTGTCTTCCCATCGATTCATAGCATGTATGGAGTAGATGATCTACTATGACGTTTCCCTCGAGACCCTCTTCATGCGTTGGAACTAGTAGGGTTCGAAGTGGAAGTGTACACGGGCAACGGCGTGACCCATGTGAGGTCTGACGATGGGGTCGGGCCGTTATGTGTGGAGGCTGTAGTGGCGAGATATAGGCACCAACTTCTTACTGGCCGAGGCCGTTTATGACGACGAGGCGTGGCCGGCTTAGGGGCCGTTGTAAGTGGATTTTCGACGGGGATATGGGGATTCAAGCACTTGGAGGAGACTTGACTCGACGAGGGAGGCTCTGGGGCCGAATCAAAAGGCTTCTCAAAGCGGCTCCCTCTTCCAACTTTGTCAGATCTCAGTTCTTACTGCCATTCTTTCAACAATCTTTCTTCCTTCCTCCCCCCCCCCCCCCCGGGGGGGGGGGGGCCCCCCCCCTTTAGAAGAAAAAAAAAAAAAAAAAAAAAAAAAAAAAAAGGAAAGTGAAAATAAGAAGAAGCCATCCTATTAGTAAAGGAAGGCTCAGTCTCCCCCCTCCGCCCCGCGCGATGGAAAGAATGGACCAGGGAGGGAGGGGAGGGTGAGGCAGTGGATGAGGGAACCTGCACAGCCGCGCAACCAATGATAACCCTAGTCGCAAGGGTTAAACGCGACAAGGGGGAAAAGGCGGGCGAACAATGGTCGTCCGCGATCCATGAAAATCTGACAGGCGGAGTCACTGCATTGACGGGAGGATTCTGGGAGGGACGGGTAGGGCTGGAACAACGATATTTTTTTTTGCTCTTCTGGGCAGCAGGATCTTCTTACCCTGGGGTTTTATCTGGGATGCTGGAGAGGGTCTAAGTTGCTTTGCTATGGGAAGGGTTGGGTTGGATCTAGTGTTGGTAGAGGGAAGGATGGCCCCCATCTTGGCGACCCTGTTTCTACACTTTTCTTCTATCTGGTGCCTGATTTTTGGGTAGACCTGTTTGAAGACCGTTATATATCCATCGTCTCGTATCTTCTTCTTCATCGACGCCCATCCCTGTCTAAAGAACCTGTATCCAAACCTCTAAAGAACCTATATCCAAACCACCAAGAAATCGAAGATCATAATAGCAAAGCAACTATCAACTATCCGATAGACCACAAAAAGAAAAACCAAGAAGAAAAAAAGAACAGAAAAGAAAACCCATACATCTTTCCTACATCACTTATAACTTCTCTTCCTTTCCCTCAAAGGGACTCGACCCCATAAAACCGAACAAAAAGAAGGAGACCCAAAAATGTCCCAAGACAGTTCCTTATCCGCCTCGAGCACCCTCACGGCAACGCCCTTCCCCGCCGACGAAATCCTCCACTTTGCCTACGGCCCAACCATGTCCCCGACAACGATGCAATCCCACTGCCCCTCCGCCGTCCCCGTCTCCCTCGCCTACCTCCCCGGCTGGCGCTGGATCATCAACTCCCGCGGCGTAGCCAACATCGTGCGTCTTCTCCCCTCGGCCTTCGAAACATATCTTCGCGAGTCGGCCAGCGGTGGTGGGGGTAGTGGCTCCGAAGCGGGGTCCGATAGGGAGGTGTTGAGGGGTGAGGATGGCGTGTATGGCGTTTTGTATCTCTTGCCCGAAAGAGAGGAGGGTGCTTTGGATATTTGTGAGGGGGTGGAGGAGGGGATTGGGAGTGTGGGCAAAGCGGTTTTGGAGGTGGAGATGGCGGCTAGGACGCCGGGGTTCGTGAGTGAGGAGGAGGGGATGGAGGTGGAGGAGGAGGCTGTTAGGGTGCAGGTTGTGAGGGCTTTGGTGTATGTTGATGGGGAGAGCGTGGAGGAGGGGAGGCCGGGGAGGGAGTATGTTGAGAGGTTGAACCGGGGGATTGCGGGGGCTGTGGGGGATTGGGGGATGCCGGGGTGGTATGTTGATGGGGTTTTGAGGAGGTTTGTTCCGGGGGAGGAGGAGCATGAAGATGAGGGGGTGGGCATGGAGGAGTGAGGTGTGAGGAGTGAGTAGTGAGGAGTGAAGGGCGGTGTGGGTGAGGCGAGGCGAGGTGAGGTCTACTTGTGTTCTTGGGTGTTAGTTGGTGTCTGGGTTGGAGGTTTGTCTTTGGTCGGATGTTCTGTTGGGAGGCAAGGCTGAGGACTTGGAGTAGGAAGGGGAACGTATAGATTTGATTTGGAGCTATCCTACTTTGTTTTATCTACTCTACTCGATGCTTTTAGTTTGATGTTTGGCTTCGGTGAGACGGTGAGGGTTTGTTGACTTACACGATGTCTCGGTGAGGGTTGATTGAAGGGGTCCAAGCACAGGGTATTCTTCTTCTTACTCTCTTTTAATTTGGTATTTATATTCTTCGTAGGTTAAAACAATTATGTACTCGGAGTGATCTGGGGTTCCCATAACTCGTAACTAATGTCGGGTCGAGGTGGGAATATAAAAGAAGCTAGATGTTATGTGGCTATTTGATAGCTTCTCAGGATGAGGGACCACTCAGGCTCCGCGGACCATTGCGAATGGACTCCAATATTGTGGAGAATAGGACGGGATGAATTCACTTGGCAAAGTGCCCGCCACTTTTTTAGAACATTCGTTCTGTTCCCTTCATTTTACACTCTAATCTGTGTGACATTACATGCTTGACGCATTCCTGTATTCGGTCCTCCTCTTGAAAACATAAGTGAATGTATCAAACCTGGTGTTGGTTCCATTGTCTGACCTTCCCTGCTCATATGTGTATATGCATTCATTCCTCGATGGATATCCTCCCTATTCCTCATCCTGTCAAATATTGGCTCTCTAGAAAACAAATCAAGAGACAATCTAAATCATCCTTCAATGCAAGAATAGAAAAGCAAGCATGCACCCCCCAAAACGCCGCCGCAATGCCGCATGAAGAAATCCTCCGGAGCTAACACCAAAATCAAAAACCATGCCACCAAGACAAAACAGCCCTACTTTCAAAAAAAGTAAGACAAAATAAAGTTTAAACCACGCGTCTCACCCTCCCACGAAAAGGGTGGGGTGAGCCTCGTGTTCTGAACTTAAGTCAAAACCACCGTCGCCAGTGCGGTGACAACACCCGCCAATACCGCCGCAGCCTTCGCTCCCCTCGCCAAACCACTGGCACTCCGACTCCCACCGGTCCCAGCACCGCTCTCCTGCCCTCCCGCTCCACTCGTCACATTCTGGCCCGAATTTGTGAACCCCTGCGTAGCAGTAACAGGGTTTTGCGCCCTCGTCGCGCCAGGAACGGCGCTTTTACCGACGCCAATCTCGGCAACGTCCGACTGGGTGCCGTCTCCTGCTGCCGCCGCCTGCGCCATGGAAATCTCATTATTGGCGAGGTCGAAGACGACGTAGGCCGATCGCATGAATGTGTCGCCGAGGACGTTGCTGCCCGATTCGGCGGGGGCGATGCCGAAGAGACAGGCGGCTCGGCCGTTGTCGAAGACGGGACGACGGCCCCTGCTCGTGGGGATGTCGAGGACGAGCTCGCTGTAGGGGACCACGATCGATAGGGGGTCATCGAAGGTGAAGGTGATAGAGTGCGAGGAATCGCGGTCGGTGCAAGGGACGAAGGCGAGGCCTTGGTCTTCTACGTAGGTGGCGTCGACTTGCTCATAGATGGCCTTGGCAATGGCGTCGGGGAGGTAGGTGATGGAGGAGCCCGAGTCGAGGAGGACGGCGAGGGCGAGGTCGGATCCGACGGCTGTGCTGTCGAATTGTACCTTGTTAAGCGTCACGAGGAGACGGCGGAATTTGTCGTTCTCCTTTTGGATGGGCACCGTGACGAGATTACCCGTGAAGTGGCTCTTGTCGATGCCTCCGAAGAGCACGGTTCCCGTGCGCGAGTCGACGTCGTTGAGGAACATGCTAAAGGCCGCCGACTGGATGTGGCCCTGAGACGCCAGCTTGACGGGCAGGTTCTCGTAGGGCTTGGCGCCGTCGCGGAGGACGGAAGCCTCGTTGGTGGTGTAGCCGATTCCGAGAATGCCCCTAGGAGAACTGGAATTGGTGCCTACGCCAAACTGGAGGTCCTCGACGGTGGTCCCGCCGATGGTGAGGACGTCGGTGACGAAGTCGCCCGAGGCACCCGAGCCGTCGACGTACGATATGTTAAATGTGTTGTCGATGAACTTCTGGGTAGTCGAATGAGCGGGGTCGTAGGTCCCCGCGTTTGCGCAGGGTCTGCGCTCGGCACTGCAGTACTCAGAGCTAGGAGTGTTGACCCACATATCGCTGCTGCCAGTGTCGACGTGCAGTTTCACCTCTTGGGGAGGAGATCCCACGGTGGCGTTTACAAAGTAGAGAGTGAGCTGGTGGAAAAGGTCAGTTCCGGTTTCTTTGGGAGGGAAAGTAAGCTACACATACCATGTTGTCGATGGTGGTCTCCACCGTTTGTCGCCTGCGTAGGGCATGGGTTTGTATGGGGTCTGCATCGTTCCGCCAGATGTTTAGGCGAACGACGTGTGGAGAGTCGGCTCTTCGTTGTGTGCTTCTGACCGAGGCTGCGAGGGAACCGGACGCCAGAGAGGCGGCTGCTAATATGCCGAGCTTCATGATGTGGGATGTGGGATGCGCTAATATGTCGGTTGGTTGGTAGGTTGAGAGGTAGGCGAAGTAGTATGATGCGAGGGCGGGATCGGAGACTGGTGGGAAAGCCTCTAGGGAGGAGAGGAAGAGTAGGGGTCCTAAGAGGACTGGTGGAGGAGAAGCTGTGCCAAACAGGTCGTTTGCTCCTTCCTGTCCTAGTGATTCAACCTATCACAGACCACGTGTCGAAGTATGTCGAAGTAGGATGAATCAATGATCGATATCTTGACTGAGGGGCAGTCACAAGAATCAGGGTCTTGAAGCTCCAGGTAGAGTTGGCGAGGATATCAAGCTCGAAACTCGGGTCGTCCGGAAAATAAATGATTGAAGAACGCGGAGAAAATGAAGCACATGAAAAACAATGAACGAGAAAGGACATTAATACAACAACAGGAACCGGAAGATCAATAGAATTTCCAGGGAACTGCCTCTTTTCTTTCAATGCATATATTCGCTTAAAGTTCAGAGAGCATGAAGAGGATTGACAGGCCGGACTGGTTTCAGATCACCCGGAGCCTGTTCCAACTCCTCTTGAATCCGGGTCGATGACGACGCCTGCCGTCGCACGAAACCGGATCGATTAGGCGTACTAGGCGCACAAAGGTAGGGCGGGGGTTCCGATTATAACTTCGTACTTCGAAGACGAAAGTTTGTCGATTCGAGAGATTTTGTTGGACGTTATTATCTTCGAATCCCTGATCGTGAGACCTCGGAGAGTGGGATTTGAAGGGGGCGTGCGTGGCTTGATATTGTGGTTCAGCCAAGACGGGAATATGCACGCCGGTCGGCTCGGGTTGATGAAGAACAGCTGCAAGTAATTTAGAGATGCTGGCGGAGGGTAATATCGACGAAGCACATTGCACACGAGAAAGAGGAACAAAAAGCCAAGTTACAGGATTGGCAGGATGGCGGGAAAGATATATACCACTCTCGAAATCTCAAGATGTTGGGGTAACGTGAGTGGACGATGCAAGGGGAGTCGCCCGATCGAATTGACGAAGAGGTTGGCTACCCTGTTCAGCACTGGGGTTCGGATGGCGTGGGAAAAACAGTCCACCGACGATCTGAAGAGGTTGATCTTAGTGCGGGTAAATTAAAAGCCCTCCAGGTGATGCAGGTACGACACACCCTTGCTTCTCTGCATTTCCACTTTGCACTTCAGGCCTGGGTTGCAGAATTGGCCAGGCTAGTCTGGGATGTTGCCATCCTGATGCTGTTAAGGTCCATTTCCACGATGGAGCTAGCTGGATACATACGGCGCTAGCAGAAAAGAATCGTGGATGATGAGCAGTTTTTAAGCGCTCGGTGATGGAGATGGAGAACGCATGGAGATGCATGCAAGGGTCCGAAGGATCAGTGTCTCTTCTGCTTCAATGTCTTGGATATTTGGCGGGTTCAAATCATTGATGCGTTGATGATATGGGGCTTGGGATTCTCGATGAGACGGTGACGCCTTCCCTGTAACATGCTGCAGGACATTCACATGTACAAAATATCACTCAGGGAAGTAACCGTCGGCCTCAATGTTCAATATTGACATGTGGTAAAGCACAAATCTAGCATAAGCTGAATATGTGGACTACGAAGTACAACCATATGCACACTGCATGGACTCGTCCTTCCTATCCAGCACACCGCATAGCTCGGGGTCTTCAGAAGTCTTCAGTACGAAGTACGTACTTCGTAGTGTGCGTCGTAGCGTGGACTGTGGACAGGTCGGCAAGGGTCATCACCGATCCAGGGGCACAGATCAAATTGACGGATCACTAACAAATTCAATTCCATCAATCATGTGGCGTCAGGTCATTGTCGCTGCTAACAAGCACCATTTGTCGATTAACTCGCCCAGCCACCTCCCCGCATCCTGACAAGCGCCTCAATAACACCTCCCAATTGGTTTGGCTTGAATGTCCTAACCTGGAAACAGGGGACTCTGCGCATGGAGTACGCTACTCAAGAGGCCAAATTTCCCTCTCGCCTCAATTCTGGCTTCCTTTGGACCAGCCGGGTCCTCGCGGCCGACAAGTCAGAGACCTAGCTCTGTTTGAGTCTTCAGCACCGAAAAGCCCAGTGGATCTAGGTCGGCCCGGATACGGTCAAACGTGAATTGTCGAGACGGCTGCCACAGGAGTGTATTCATACGCGTCGCGGGGTTGGAGTGATGACGCCAGCTTTCTATTCACCTCAAGCTGACCTGTCGTTGGCCATTGCACTCCAGTTTTCAGCTTCCGGTTTTCCAAGGAGGCGGGAAGATGACGATTCCTCTGTGCTAAGAGGTGGTATTTCGCGACCCTGAATCGGAGCCGTGCTTTCAATCAATTTTTCGTTATTTCATTACCCAATATCGGCAGGGTTTGCCCAGGCCAACGGTTGACCGGTCCCCCTTCCTTCATCGGGAAGCACCCTGAGGGAAACACTGAAAGCCAGCGACTTGGCGCAGGTCAAAGTTGCATCGAGGATAAACCCCAGTTTACAAGAGTGGTTGGTTCAGCCTGAGACGAACATCATACACTCTCCTGAACCTTGAGCCTGGAGAGAGCGGCAACTCTCTCCGCTTATCAACTCTAACACTTGGAATTTGTTTTGATCAACGCCCCGAGATATAAGTATTACGTCTTACGCGGTCAGTGGAAGAAGACAAGGACCGATTTTATACCCTTCGGTTGGGACAGAATATGAAAAAGGAGCTAAGGTCTCTGCCCATGCAGAAGAATATTCACCTGAGGATAGCCACATGGGACGCCTCCAGACGCTAGATCAATTGGCGTCTCCTTGAAATTTTAAAGTAAAAAAGAGCGATGCGGGTTAATATTACTTGTTATTTCCTTCACAAACTAGTGACATTAGCACCAGCCTCCCCCACGACCACAAGACCATGCGGCAGGCAAGAGATGGTGTTGCCAGAGCAGAACGAGGAGAAGGGGGGGGATGAATGAGCGCACAACAGAGATTATCGCCTGTTTCGCGATTTTATCACCATCCTTTGGCTCCTGACCAACATCGTTCTCTGGGAGGAGAGGACATACTCTGGTCAACGCGCTTCATACATGCATTTGATGGGCTGCCACATCCTTTGGCTAGATCTTCTATTCTTAGCGAGCTCTGTGAGAATTTCTACCATTTCCACCAAGTTATTCTGGGCCAGCATGCTGTGAGGAGTATTTATGAAGTACATCCCCGAATAATATGTCACCCCATGCTGGACATTGGCCCGGCAGAGCTCTCCGAAATTGAGGTTATCGATAGGTCCGCCTCCCAAACCGGCCGGGGGGGAATAGATTCACGGGGAATAATACTCGGTAGACAACAGAGAGAACTCCGGACCGGACCCAGTCTCCCACTCCCATGCCAAGACCCGAGGACGGAGTTGAACCAGTGTCGGTGCCCCGCAGCGGTTCTGGCATTCTGGCACGCGATTGATCTTTTCCAGATTGCTGGCCAACTTCAAATCTGTTCTTAATTTGCAATGTGGTGGGGAGTTGAGAGGGTTAACTTGAACTCCTAAATCCGGCACTAGATTTGTATGCTCAAGATGGTAATGTATCACATCGTACTGTTCCCTCTCAGCCTCCTGGTTGACGTACGAGATATCGGAGGGAGTGCAAGCTACAATGATTACAGATTTATTGACATCTACTCCGCAGCCAAGCGACGTTGAGTTAGTAGTGCCCGTCAAAATCGTCTTGCTTGCTTGCTAAAGTTTGACGTCTAGAAATCATCCATCACCAACTCGACGAGCACTCACTCCCTCGTCTCCTCACAACAATCTTCCAACCGCAACTCTTGCCGTAAAAGAATTAATGTTCCCCGCCAAAGCTCGCATGCCAAGGACTGCCATCATATTCCAAGTCCGTATACGCGGAACATCATCAACTGTCGGCGGCTGATGCACTACAACCAGCCAATCACCATCCACTTTATTCGCCTGCCTACACACCTCAACCACCAATACCGCAGATTCTCGGTTCTTCCCGACGCCTTGATCTCTATTTCTAAATAGAATACCACTAACCGGAATAGGAGAATGGAAGTATAGATGTATCCCTCCCTGTTTTAGACCTTCTTTGCTTCCAAAAGATCCCTTATATGGCTGCCTACTTTTTGCTTGGCTGCGGCTGGGGAGGGAGAGGGAGAGGTGCAAAGGAGTAGTATAATAGGGCAGCTACGGAAAATAGATAGCATGTTTAAATATACTTGGTTCCTTACAGCACTCCTCAAGGTTCCCAAACCGGATCTCTAAACATTCGTTTGTGTTGTTGTCCAGGCGTCCTTTTCATCATCTATCTCTTGTCGAGTAGAACCCTCCGTATAGCTTCACCTTCTAGGCTTCTCCTACCTCCCCCAAAGATGGACTACTATAATCAAGACCGATGGTAATGCTCTCCCTCCCCGATCTCCGTAATACCCTCCCATCCTAAACGTCCAGCTAACACCATCAACTTAAACAGTCCGGTCTACGCCGTACGTCCTCTCCTATTCGCTAAACAAACCGTTCCCATCTAACACAGCACGCAGTCCTTCTTCGGAGCCATAGGATGCACCTTCGCCATAACCTTAACCGTCCTAGGCGCCTCCTACGGCACCGCCAAATCCGCCCCGGCCATCTTCTCCTCGGGAATCATCCGCCCGGACCGCCTCATGCAGAACACCCTCTGCGCCGTCATGGCCCAGATCCTCGCCATCTACGGCGTTGTCGCCGCCGTCATCATCTCGGGAGACCTAGCTGAGCGCATGGCGCTGCACACGGCTTTTTTGCAGCTGGGCGCTGGGTTGTCGGTGGGGCTGTGCGGGTTGGCGGCTGGGTTTGCGATTGGGATCGTGGGGGATGCTGGAGGTGGGTGATGGTGTTTGCATTGGATGCTGCGTTTTTCTTTCTTTCTTTGTTTCTCTTGCTAACCAGTTGATCCTTAAAGTCCGAGCAAGCACGCAGCAGCCGCGCCTCTACTTCGGAATGGTTCTCATCCTCATCTTCGCCGAGGTCCTCGCCCTCTACGGAGTCATCGTCTCGATCCTCATGCTCACGCGTTCGACTCTCGGCGTCACCCAGTGTCGGTACTAGTCAGGCCCACGTGGCGCTCGAGCCCGAGAGAGGTGAGGGAACAAAAGTAAACGGGATGGAAGAGTAGAATAATCTGTGCTAGACTAGAGAGGGGGGGGACTCCCTCCGGACAGGAAGCGGTTGGTCACGTCTGCCCATCATTGTTTCTTCATGACAGGATCGATTATTACCATTAGAGTGGCTGGCATCTCGAACGGCGCAAATATATCTCATGTACACATTACTCTGCTAGTTCTGCAAATATACATTAAGACCAAAAGGAAGGCGTGTGCTGCCATCAACCAGGAGAAACGGACTCTTCTTACAACGCCCACTCCGCCAAATCATCGTCCCCACGAACAAACGGCTCATCTATCCTCTTGATCGCATAATCGCTGCAAAGAATACTATCGCGAAAGATCCAAGTCAGTTTTCAAGAATGGCAAAAAGTATACGAAAAGGATGGGGAAAGGGGAACTCACCACGCCGACGCCACCAACGCATCCAGCTCAGCAATCATCGCATCCCTCTTCTCTCCACTCACCAACCCCTTGCTAATCTTAACCTGCAACTCCCTAATCCTCGCACTCTTCGCCACGCCCTGCTGCTCCAGCACCTTCCGACCAAGACAATCCGAATGAAAACTATGCTGACAGGGAAACACAAAGAACTGACGACTCAGCAACGGCAACCCACACTCGTAGCACCTCTCCCCAGGCTCGACGATGGCGTAGCGATGATCGAGCGCCGCGATATCGAGCTTAATATTCGCAGCCGTCTGCGACGACTCATCCATCTCGCGCCTTAGACCGTCGATACTCCGTCCGTAATCCTCGAGCGCCGCGCAAATCTCCTCCTTAAAGTCGTCAATAACGACAAAGTCTGGGAAGAACGGGATCAGGTCTTCGATCTTGAGGAGGTCGCACCGCTTGAGGAAGTCGATGGCGGATTTGATGCTGTCGGATTGCGTGATGACCTTGCGCGCCACGGCGAGCCAGAGTTTTTTGCGGAGGGTTGGGTTGGACATGGGGCGGTCGGCGATGATGGCCGCTAGTTCGATCTCGTCGTGCGAGAGGGCGAGGTCGACCGCTTGGAGGTACTGGCCCATGTTGGTGTAGATATGCACGCATGATAGGGTCCGGTGGTGCTCGATGCAGAGCCGGAGAGCGAAGTCCGGGTCGAAGTTGGGCTCGTCGCCTTGGGACTCGAGATATGTCATCAGGCCGGACTCGTCTTTGGACTTGTGCGATGCGTAGATGGACACCAGGGTATTATGCACCGCCGAGTCTTTCGACTTGAGCTGGTTTATAACATATTGAAGATATCGCACGGCCTGGTTCTGTGCGAGCGGTCCTCTGAAGTGCTTGTTATACTCCAGAAGAGCAGGGATAAGGTTCCGCGGACGCAGGTCAGCGTGCCGCATGAGAATCTCGACCAGCTCCGTAGCCACATGGGTCATGAGGACGCTGCTATACCGGTAAAATACGTTGGCGTCCTTTTGCTTCTTGAGAACATTCAGTGCCTCGCTCCACCGCTCCCGCTGCACCCAGTAGGACAGCACATAATTGTAATCGTTTATGGCGTTGGCAAAGTAGAGGAGCTCCTCCTCACGTCCGTGGCTACCGATAATATCGTAGACCGTCTTGCGATCTAAGTCGTCCTTGTACCGATTGATGAATTCTTGGTATTCGTGCCGTACCGACTTCAGGAGCTCCTTGGATTGTGCCGGGTTGAGATCTCCCGCCAACTCGGCCTGAGTCATGATGGTATCGTCCAGCGAATTTAGCTTCGCCATGAAGACTTCGACGAGCCAACAGGCAATCATCACCCTCTGCATGATGGCCGTCCGCTTCGACAACGCTAGCTTCGAGAGGAGGTATTTCCTGAGTGCGTCAGGCTGGTCGTTGTCGATCAGAGCCAATGCCACATGCTCAAACGGCTTATTACTCCGCCCATAGAGGGCCGCCGCCTCATTATAGTGGCCCTTCTCGACAAGATGGTCGGCGTAAGAGGAAGCCACTGTCTCCCTCTGCGTCTGCGTCCGCGCATACTGCATCGCGGCATCAAACTGCTGCATCTCCAGCATAACCTGCCAGATGGACCTGTCCTCGTCGCGCACGACAATCTCGAAGATCTCATCCGTAGCAAAGAGCCAAAACGTATTCTTTTGCAAATCGACGGAGAAGCCAATAGCCTTCTGGCCATCGTTAAGAACCAGCTGGTCGTAAACGATGGCGCCCGTTAGCCTGTTAGCCGCGACGACGCGGCGGCCTACGAGGGCGATAATGTGCCACTGCGTCAGGGCAATAGCCTCCACGAGCTCCGCCGACGTTCTCCGTTTGCCCGACGCTTCGGACGTCGTGAACTGGCTTCTCGAGAGCATCTTGGATTCGGCGAACACTTTGGTACCGAGCGATTCGTTTGCCGGCGAAGTAAGCAGCTTCCCGTGGTAGACGCCGTGCGACGAAAGCCACGCGAAAGCCCGCTCACGAGAATCCTCCCTGAAGCCTTCCTCCTCGGGTAGATCGGGAGACACCACCAAAGCTGACGCGGCAGTGGTCGTGGTCCGCGAGAGCTCGTGGACAACAGGCTCCTGCGATTCAAAGAGGACCGAGTATACCGACCCCGTGCTATCATTCGTCGATATCTTGCCTGAGAGGTGGAACAACCGCTGCGGCGTAGCCACCATAACCCTGCGCATATCTGACCTTCCACCGAGGCTATCGGCCCATAACCCTATTATGGGCTCATCGGGGAGCTTAAGCAAGTTCTTGAAGTGCTTCACATCCCGCCTATATATCTCATGCGAAGTCTCGATAAACGTCTCGTAGATATTCCCGTCCGACGCTCCGAGTAGGATCTCGCGAGTCGAAGCGGTGGGCAGCGCAGGATTCCAAGCAACGCTCTCGATGAGCACGCCCTTTAGCCTGCCCAACGGGCGCGGTTGGTGGGATTGTGAATGTAGATAGTAGTTCTCCCCGGCAGATGTGCAGACGAGAAGATGAGAGGCAGTCGGGTCGAGGAACATGCGGCGGATCGTGCCTATCTCGGACGTCTTTCGGGGCAAGTCGATGTCTGATATAAACAGATGGGGTTAGCCAAGGCTACTGACAGAACAGCAGCTAAGACCCAGTAGCAGCAAACGCCTGCCGTGTCGCGAATCTCACCATCAATGTCCTCCGGCCGATTAAGGTCTATCCTCAATATCCTCCCATTCGAAAGCGCAATCACCAGCACGTTATTCGCCACCTGCGCCGCTATGAAGTCCGCTGCTACCGAGAACTGCAGCTGCACCTGCTCGACGACGAAGATGGGAAGGCTGGCGTCATTGTCTTGGAGCTCGAGGCCGGACATGGCTCCGGTCGCGGCGACGAAGCCGTCGTCGATTGAACTAAATGCCATTTTTTGCGGTGGGTTTACGAGGTCATCGGGTCATGACTGCGGGATAAATTGTTCGAGGAGGATTTGAGCTTGAGGAAGACGCTGATGTGTCGTTGGGATGGGGGTTATGGTCGGTTGGGGGAGCTTGTCAGTTTAGGCACGGTACATAGTAAGTTCACCGTGGCTAGCTCAAGCCCGAGCTTTTGGGCCAGAAGGTGACGCAGGCGCTTGGGAACTCCAGCCTCGCATCCAACCACTCTCCGACTTGCAGCAACCCGACAGTCCTAATCTACATTACGAGCTTTCAGAGTCTGGTAATATAAGTTGAAATCTCTAGATTACAAACACCGACCTAAGGAACACGTCCAGCTCTACAGAGGTCCAAGATTGATAGCCAACGTATTTATTCATCGACAACAAAACGAATTCCAGCTCTGGGCTCCAACCAACATCTAATGCATAGATTTGACCAACGAAGAACAAATCATTAGAGTTCATCCCACAGAGATCCCAAGCCTATGCCGGAGCCTGAGCTCTTCATAGGCATCGCCCATCATGCCACGCGTCTATACCGTGTCCGAATAGACGGGAAAGAAAATGGATGTATATATATACAAAAAGAAAAATAAGCTCATCTATATGCCGTAAATGGCCCACGAGCGGCTTTATGAATACATGAGAGAAACATCTCATCGCCGAAGTAGAAGAACCAAAACCACATGCTCCCAGGTAACAGCCCGTTGATGCCAATGTTTACACCCCGCGCCGTGATAGCTTCTTCCACATGCAGAATGCAAAGATAAAACGAGAAAAAAAATGGACAAAAGAAAGAAAAGAGTGAAAGAGAAATGTGCTGGAAGGGAACTTCCTAGGTGTAGAATGTTGTCCAGGGGCTGGAATTCAGCTCCTCGTCCATCAGTGTATCATAGACTTTGGTCGACCGTCGAGATCCATAGCATCGGCTGCTGTTATCGTAGTCCTCCGCCCCGCGCCATTAACCTCTCCATTCCTCACGCCATCCGGCAGAGAGTCCTGCGTAGGCGTCTCGTCATCGTCCTCATCATATTCGGCGATAGACTCGACCGGCGTCCTCTCCCCAGGCACAGACGTCCTCGTATCAGTCGTAAAGAGGCTAAGTTGCTCCGCCGACGCCCCCGCCCCATCCGTCTGCATGTAAATATCGTTTTGCAGATACATATCTTCGCCGTCCCAACCCGCAGGGACATCCGGCTTCCTTGCCGTGACGATACGCACTTTAATCGTCAAATTCCCAGCCTTTTCCGGATCCTTGGAGTACTTGGCAATTAGGTGCGCCGACTCCTCGCAGCACCTCTTCGTCTCGTCCGGGTCCCACCCCATGTACTTCGTAAGAGGCCGCAGACAGGAAGCCTCGAGTCCGTCCACGACGGTCATGAGCCAGATCCTTCCCGCTGACCCCGTTGAGGTCGAGATGGGTATGTCCAAATCCTGCACGTTGACGTCGACGAAGCCGGCCTCGTGGAGATATTTGGTGTCGAGGTGCGCGACGCCGCGGGGTCGTCCGGCCTTGATGCCGGCGATGAAGAGGTCTCTTGCGAGCTTGCGTATGGGCGCGTCTTCGGGGAAATCGGAGATGATGTATTTCCAGTTGTTTTCGTCGTTGAATTCTTGAACTTCGATCCAGCCGCCGGGCCTGATACACTCGAAGGCTTGTTCGTAGATGAAGCGCCAGTCGCGGAAGGCGCCGGCGAGGTGGCGCATGTGTACGAGGTCGACCGAGTCAGGTTGGCGTAGCCACGGCTCCTCGGCATCTTCGATCTCGAAAAATACGTTGTAAGGAGGGCATGTAGATTGCATGGCTGAGATGTCGGTGCCGATCACTTCGCATTTGGGGAACTTTTCGCCCACTTGTATCGCCCAGTCGCCTGTTCCGGTGCCAATATCGAGGATGAGCTTCGGGTCGGTCAGAGGCACTGTGGTGGGCTCGCCGTCGAGCATGTGTAGAAAGACTTGGTGGGATAGATATAATCGCGTCTGTTCAAGGTCGTCATTCGGCATGTAGTAGCTGCCGCAATACCGCCGACCGTTTTCTTCGTTATAATCGAGGTACCGCTCGATTAAAGATCGAGTAGAGGCAGCTCTGCAAGCAACAAAAATGTTAGTAAAACGGTTAGTCCCAAAGATGCGACTCATAACCCGACATCGCAGCAACACTTACAAATCTATACTCTCCTCCTCCATAATACTATCCCCTATTACAGTAAACTTCGGCCTTGTATCTAATCGTTTGGGGAAGCGCGACGGTGCATAAAGAGAGGCGCCACTCCCAAATTCTCGAGCATTATCCGGTGAGCGAGATGGGCCTCGAGGAGCCACGCTAACTTCGGAAACGCTCGCATCTTCTGTTTCGATCTCTACGTCGCCTTCTGCATCGGCGCGTGTGATTGTGGGATAGAGGACTTGTTTCTCGGCGCTTTGCGGCGGCTCTAAGGAAGTCATCGCTGAAGACTTGGTCTCGATGTCGTCGTCCGTCGAATCCGATTTGCGCCGAAGGCTCTCGGCCTGTTCAGTCCCGACCATCTCAGGGAATTGTCTTTTCTTTTTTTCCGGGTTCCTTTAATTTTCCCTCCTCGATAACGCCCCAACGGCTCGGAGAATAATCGCCCCCTATATCTTTCTTAATAATCGACAGTTCTGGTGTTTCGCTCTTCTCCAATTCATATCAGAAGAATGGGGGCAGCTTTAGCCGGGCGGTTAGTCGTTTTGTGTGAACCCTTCATGCAGAGTTGATCGACAGGATTGGTGCCAAGGAGGGGGAAAACCAGTCGTGGGGACCCCGGAATTGCGAGATGACAGGTCGGATCGTCCGAGAGGCGGCGGCGCAGAGGACTGGCTGGGAGAGAGGGCTGGCGGTGGCAAAAGGAGAGAGGTCACAGGGGGAATTCAATGCGGCTGAGTGGGTGGGATCGGTATTTCGTAGCCGCGTCGTTCTCAAGTCATGTACGATGGTGACAGTGAGGAGCTTGGGGAGGGAGCACGGGGAGGAGGCAATGGCTCTTAAGGCAATAATAGATCGAGGTCCAAGTGCTGCGATTTGTAGCGCGTCTACTCTAGAGACACAGAGCGGTACTTCATCCTTGGTGGGAAGCTTGTGATGGAACGGCAGGGTTGGCTCGTGCTTTTCATTAAAGAAAACCGGGGAAGTCGCAATGGAGAAAGGCACAATATGAAGGGGAATTAGAAACGGAAAGCGCAGAGGCCAGGCCGGGAAGGGATCAAGGCCTTTTAGCATCTAGCAGGCGGGGGGCTACAGCGGGAGGCTCGCGAAAGGCACAGGAGGGAGATGAAGCGAAGAGGTCTGGATGTGAAGAAAAGCAGGGGCTGTCCCCGATTCCGGCTTAGTTCTTCGCTGGTGGTGAGAACCCTTGCCTAAACCAGAACCCCATGCCTGGGCCTGGTCATAGTATGCCATGGGGGGCTGGCCTGGGCGAATGGGACGGGGATTAGATGCATTGGAATGCTAGGCAAGCTGCAGGACTCGCAGCACTTGGTTTCGGTGAGTCTTGACCTATTACGATGAAGCGTTGGGGGGTCCTGATGGAGAATTTGCAAACTACTGAGGGATATTCGACAGGTGATGCTGTCAATGGCTCCGGGGACCTAAGCATCGCCTCCCGGCAAACAGTCCAAGGAGACCCATAGTCTCGGAGCAGAAGCGAGATGCTTAAAGAGAAGGGGCGTGGGGAAGAAGGTGTGGCTTGGCCCCCTCACGACGCGCCGTGTAAGTACACTACAAAGTACCTACTGAATTGAATTGGATTATTCACGAGACCCCAAGCTACTAGTGGCCTTGGTACAGAGGTCTAGGGCCTCGTTTTCGTCGAGACCTGGTCCAGCTGGCGAGGACTCAGAGAACAAAGTACATACAAGTCGATGAGTACAACGATCCTGGCCCTACCGCAGCATGGCATCGCATTGTCGACAATTTGGAAGTGGTATGTTCGAAGAGACTAAAGAAAAACGCTACATTGCTCGTACGTTTTACCGACATCCATGGGCGAGAGAAACGACGGACTAGTGCAAATGCACGACGAACGTTGAGGATCCCCCTCCAATCGTCCCCGATGGGATATGATTGATGGTAGTGACCGGGAGTGATGTTCCGGGCGGAGACTCTTCTGCAATGTATAATTGTAGCGGGTTATATCCCCTTGATTTACGAGGTGACCGAGCTTCGGGACAGGACAACACATCAATACATTCGTACGATGATGTGAAATGCTACCTGCAGGGCGGGAAAGGTATTGGAATGACTTTTCTTTGCACCTGTCTGTTCAGGATTATCGCCGATAACTCACACTAAATGTCTCCAGGATTGAACGGGCCTCTGTGAAGCGCGAGTCCTGCCAGACACCAACCAAACGTCCTAATAGAACAGGGGGTTCTATTAACCTGAAGACACGTCCAGGGGCTTTAGAACTAGAGGCAAATAGTTCTCGATGAAAACGGCTTAAGCTCCGCCTCGCCGCCGGAAGTCGGCTCTGGTTATGTCCCCGACAAGCCATTCTCGTAGGCCAAGCCCATCGTCAAATCGCTAAACAAACTCTCCCTCTGGGGGGCCTGGTCGGAAGAGGAAATTAGAGGAAACACGACTACGAAGTAGTTTTCTTCAGAAATAGAGGCAAAAGAGTGGCCTGCGTCGAGCACCACGGGTACATGTCGATCCCTCCCATCTTCGCCGTCCCACTAGAACGGTTCAGTGGGTTTAACTTCGTTAGAGTCCCAATAAGTGCGAGTGCATAGAGTTTTTTGCGTGGGGACCCGAGGACTTGGGATGAGACTCTGAAATCGCCTGAACATCCAGGCCAGGGCATCGGAACGACCTGGGCAAATCTGATGCAAGGAGACGCTGGAACTGCACCCTGAGCGTTCCGTTGCGTTTCGATGACAGCACAGCACATCAAAATGTTTCTTTGAGGGACCCAATGAGATTGGGGTATGCCGAAAAATAATACGACTCTGGACACGCAGGGAAGCAAGTCATGCCTCACATCAAGCAACAGCGCTCCTAGTGTACGCATACTTTGTAGTTTGCCTCTCCTTCGGAACCCTGAATTCTAGGGGGATTGGGGCGGAACACATCCGCCCAAAGAATTTCCCGTCGAGATTTCGGAGCCAGCGTGCACATCATGCAGTCAGGGAACTTGGTTCCAGCTGCCAATAGTGCCATGCCCAGCACGGGAAACTCTCCCACTGGGCCGTATCCCGTCAATTCTTACCAAGTAAAAATGGACTTTAGGAGGACCAGACCCAACATCCCACCTATATAATTATCTACTATTGATATTCCCGCCTCGCATTGATGCGTGTTGGTCCGTCATGCAGTTTGCTTGAAGGACGCATTGCTGAGTCTCAGCGTCCCCACCATCACGGCGCACAATGCAGAGGAGGGCCGATAGTCCTCCCGCAGCCGGTGTGCGTTTTCGGTCGGTTGATTGATACGTCTGTTCGAGAATGCATTGCGATTTCGTAGGAAGGAGGCTAGGGCTTCGCAGGCAAACTTCGTTGTGCGTGACCGTTAGGGTTTCCCTTGGGCAATATGCAGTCGGGAAGGACGTTTGCTGAGAGCACTCTTCGCGAGCGATTCGCTTAAATCGCAACATATGGAGTAGATGCAGGTTCCGACAACAACGCATGTCCGAGTCGAAGCCGCCAACAAAACCAGGCTTTCAAGTCGGCTCCGAAGAACGGAGAGCTCTCTTCAAACACACACGGACTTGGAGCACAGGGGGCATTCAATTGATCACAGTAAATTGGAACACTGACTGTCAAAACCACGGGCGACTGGTATAATCCCAGCCTCGTAAATCCTCCCTAAAACTAAACCATTATCGAGTTTTGCACCCAATCCAGACCTCTCCAAAATCCCTTCCGAATTCCTTCCCGCCAGCCGTCCAATCCGAAGAATTTGATCTCACTTCTTCTAGGGCATTAATCCGAGGCAAACCGTCAAATGCCTTTTATCTTCAAGGATCCGCCAACTTCACCTGCCCATCTATGATGTATGTGGTCATCCATTTCGTCAGCAAATTACAATATATAGCTAAAAACACCCTCGGTCCCGTATCTAGGCGCGAACCAAAACCTAGGGTATAAAGTGGGCAAAGAATTCGCCGTGAATGCGGACGCGAAGCGGGAGAGTAAATATCCCGATTGCTGTTTTAAGCGGAAGTGGACGTTACGCTCGTGCCGTCGACCTTTCTCTTCTTGAGGGCAGAGGCGTCTACCTGAGGGCTATCCGTGATCGTCTCATCGTTATCGGGGACGACCTTGAGGCCGCTGACAATAGGGAAGGGTGTGAGCACCTGGCTGATATCGCCCCACCACTTCTCGCCGAACCTCTTGTACCAATCAACTGTAATCTTGAGACCCTCGGCGAAGCTCGTCTTCTGCTCCCAGCCCAGATTCCTGAGCTTGGTACCATCAACAGCATAGCGGTGGTCGTTGAAGGGTCGGTCGTGCGTGTACTTGACCCACTTGCGGAACTCCTCCGGGGTGTCGTGAGGGATGCCCATCTCCGTCAAGAGCTTGCCACAGACATCAATGTTGGCAACTTCGTCGTAGGAGCCGACGTTGTAGATATGACCGAGCTCGCCCTTGTGGAGGATAGTGTCGAAAGCGTCCGCGGCATCGCCGGCGAAAAGGTAGCGACGGGTCGGGCTGCCATCTCCGTGAAGGACGAGGGGCTTGCCGCGATTCAAGAGACAGGTGAACTTGGGAATAATTTCTATGCACACGATTAGTCTTGTTTTAACCTTCAAAGCCGAAGTAAAGTCAATCTAGCCACGTGCGGCGCATGACCGAAGGGTCTTTGTTAGAGGACCCGCCTTTTTTTTCGTTTTGGATAAAACTTACTCTCGGGGAACTGGTGAGGGCCGTATACGTTGTTGCTGCGGACAATAATGACGGGCAGCTTGAAGCTCTTCTGGTACGAGTGTACCATCATCTCTGCAGCGGCCTTCGAGGCAGCGTAAGGGTTGGTGGGGGCGAGGATGCTAGACTCGACAAGGTCATCATCATCATCCATGACCTCACCGTACACCTCGTCGGTGGAGATGTGGATGAAGCGCTTGATGCCGCACTTCTTCGCGCTCTCGAGCATCACGTGGGTACCATAGACGTTGGTGTAGGTGAAGCTGTACGAGTTACCGAAACTCAAGTCGACGTGCGACTGGGCGGCGAAGTGGAAGACGGTGTCAATCTTGTATCGCTCCATGCAGTTGACGACCTCGAGAGGGTTGGTGATGTCTCCATGGTAGAAAGTGAAGTTGTGCTTGTCGTTGAGCGCCCGGGTGTTGTTGAGGGAGGAGCAGTAGTCGAGCTTGTCGAAGGAGACGATGTTGTAGGCGTTAGGGTAGGTGAGAGTGAGGTGTCGAACGAGCCAGCACGCGCTGATTTAGAAAGATGAGGTGTTAGGGAGTCTTAAAAAACGAATGCTGCGGTTGCAGCAGGTCAAGTCGGACAGCAACATACATAAAGCCGGCACCGCCCGTAATCATAATGTTCTTCACATCGGGAAGAGGCTCGAACTTGGTGCTGCCCTTGAGGATAGGCGAGTCCTTCCAGACGCCGAAGTCCTCGAAGAACTTGGCGTGTCCGTTTCCGTTGGCTATGTGACGATGGAGACGAGTGTCAGTACGGCGCAAATCGGGCGCGGGGCCTTGAGAGGAAGAATGCGGGCGAGAGAAAGCATACCACCGTTGGTGCCGTTGCCGCTAGGATGCTCCATTATTACAAGAATACTTGATATCTCGGTTCGTCGCTGTTGAACAAAGCTTTCTCGAAGAGAGGAAGGTCCGATTCCACGCAATTTGCGGTGAGCCGGTGAATGGACTAGGAATGAGCTTTCGGCGGGAGAATGACCCGGAGTGCGTGCGTGGATGCAAGGAAAGAAGACCAAACCAGGGGACTGATAACTCTCGGGAAAAAATACAGCCAAGAGGCAAGTGGCAGCGGTGCACTGGAGATTAGAATGAGCAATGGCTGGGAGGATGTGGGGTTGGCCTGGTGAGGGGGGAGAGGAAAGAGGATCGGCGTGGAGCTTGGGCAATGAGCAAGGTTGAGAGGGCACCTTCCAAGGAAAAATTGTGAATCAATATTTGAGAAGGTGCAGGGCTGGAGCAGGCATGGATCGTTCCTTCCAATTGTCTACGATAACATTACACTCAACCTGACACTCTGAAAGGGAAGTCGACATCCAGGATGCAACTTCTCTCTCTCCTTTTTCTAAAGTCTGTACGGAAACCGCCACCGCCTCGAAGGCTCAATCGATGGTGACACTTTCCCCTGACACCAGAACTGCTAGTGCTGGAGGAAGGGGGTTCCCCAAAAAAAGGAGAGAAAAAAAAAGTCGAGCTACTTGATACGAATTATCAACAGTACGAAGTACCCATGGAATACGATACGCAGGGGCTAGACTACAAAGTCGCCTGCTACCGAGGACGCTGTGGCGTCTACAAGTCCCGCGGCGGTTGAGCACTCACTATCAAGTCAAGCCAGGTCTGGAACATGTTCTTCGGGGTATCACCCCGTACTTCGTACTCTCGTGACATTTCCTGGATCTCTCCATCAGACAAGCCGACGTTGCAAGAAGCGGACGAGGAAAATGATATCAAGTACCGTTCTGGCAAGTGATGTAACATATTTCAACGGCGGACGAAGTCACCTCGTAACAAGCAATACCGAACAACGATTGCCCGAATCCCGGTTAGCAAAGCCCTCTTAACAGTGCAATTGTATCAGAAAAATGGCTTGTACCGGGTTCACTAACATTACATCCATTAATTTATATTCAAGTGACAACTCCTCAGTTAGAAAGCATGTGGACCCTGGCCGCAAGATGGTGAAACGAGAGGATAAGTTTACTTCGCAGTACTGGCAGGCAAAAACTCAAGCGAAAAACATACTCTGGTTGCATCATCAAGCTCGGTCAAAATTTGGTCAATACCTCCTGCTGAACCAAGTGCCCCACGCTAACAAGTCGTAGGAATCGCAATACCCCTATTTTTGTTCTGCGACGAGGACCCACCAAGTTCCCAGCTCGACACGCAATGGGTCGCCATGGTTGAAGTCTATAACAGTAGCGTGGCTGCGACGTAAGTATTGAGTTGTATTGTACGGTCTTGCGAAGCGATTGATAGGATGGCATCGTCATTCATCGTGATATGAAGCTCCATTGGAAGTTGACAACACGAAGCAGGGACCTAACTTGAAGAGAGAAATTCTAGGTCACGTTTCTCAACCTCGTCCCTGTCTCGGAACCCATTGCCAGGGAGAAAATCTGGCTCTCTCAGAGATGTACTCTTCTCTACCCACAAATACGAGCTGTGAAAAAAATCCTTCCACGTTTAGGTGCTCTATCAGGCAATTGGCGGGCTGAAAACGTGTCCCAAGAAGGAAAAGTTCCAAATCCAGGGGAATTGGCTTCCAAGACTCGTGTCCCTCACGCCGAAATAATACGAATCAAGGTACACTTGTACTGCCTCGATTCGTCATGACTTCGTCGCACCGCGTAATTTTTGAATTACAGTCTGGAGACCGTTAACAAGCTTTTCTTGTCAATGAGCCCACAACGATTTGGACGCATCCTTCGCAGGGAATCGAGGCAACGAAGGACCTTCTTATAAGCCATAAAGGTAGCTTGTAGAGATCAAGACACCCTGACCAGGGAACTAGGGTGATGCTCTCTCTCCCTTCTCTCTCCCTTCTCTCTCCCTTCTCTCTGAGTTACACCGCCTGCCGTTTGCTGGGCTCGGACGTGAGATCGTCGTGGGTGACCCTACCTCCGGCTTTGGTAGGCTCCCCTCCGTGGAGGCTTATCGACAAATTTGGGACAATACGGGAATCCCTCATTACTCTTTCTGGCTCCTGCTTCGAACTTAGGATGTCTGCTAGTGTGGTGAAGAAATGATCCTGTAAAAGTCCATCTGCCACACCCATCGTGTAAAGATCTGGGGGGGACCAGTCTGAAGTAATAAGAAGAGCTGGTTCTAGTTGGTGAGATGGGCCAGCCAGGGTACACTCACATCAATGTTTGCCTTGATGCGCATCAGCCTGGCTATTATTGGATCTCCTTCGTAGTGCTAATACTGGTCCCCTGTCACGGAACGGAGTCGGGCGCTTGACTCGAACAGGAGATAATCTGTTCCACAAAGGAGTCAACTGTTAATAGTGCACCGTGCTGCGCCATTGGGCCTGCATTGATATGAGCACAAAGCGGGAGAAAAAAAGGAGGTGGTGCGTCGCAACTTCTTTCCGTAACCGCAGTGCCTCATCCAATCCCCACCACTGTCGACCCGCAGCCAAACTTGCAGGAACTCCAACAAGGAAACTTGAACAGATTGAACAGGTCCAATAATACGTGAAACCTCCGAGTAGTGTACGAAGTACTTCGTACGCCGTGCCAAACATCCAAGATTGATCCAGCCCTAGCCTGATCTTTGCTTCCGACAATCTTCCCAATCTTCCTCTTTACCTTGTGCAGCTCGTAAATCAGCAACCTGGGCTTCCTCAATCACTGTCGTCCAACTCGACGGAGGGGAGTTTAGGATATTTCTATTCTCGGGCGCGAAAGAACCTTAGCAACTCGGTTTATTTCAGCCCTTTCGGTCGCATCCATCTTTTTACCCGATCGATCCGCCATCGAACGAATTCGCGTTTTCCACGATCGGCCGACCTTTTTTCTTCCTTTCTTTTTCTTTTTAATCACCTTCACACAATGGCGGAGGGCTCTAGCAGTTCGGCGCCCAAGTCGCCTTCCATCTCCTCGTCGACGACGATGGAGGAGCATGAGAAACTTATGATGGAGATGTCCGAGCTCGACGACAATGGCAACCCCAAAAGGTCGACCGATCTCGAGTTTAATAAACGTGAGGAGGAGGAGAACCTTTTGCCCGGTGGCAACGAAAAGCCTGCGGAACCGGCCAAGTCGAGTTTCCGAGCAGCGTTGACTTGGATGGGAATTAATACGTTGGCGACTGTTGGAATTGTACGTTGCCTTACGATCTTGACAAGTTGGCCTCGAGTGCGGTGCGATACTAATGAGCGACGTTTTGTTCGGACATAGGTCTTCACCAACAAGGCGATCTTCTCGGACCCCCAGTTCAAGCTGTGCCAGCTCAGTTTCGCCTGCTTCCACTTTACCGTCACGTTCCTTACGCTCTTCATGTTTTCGAGACCTCCGTTCAACAAATTCACCCCTCGCCGAGTTCCGTTCAAGACTATGCTCCCCCTCTGCATCACCATGTGCCTGAACGTCATTCTCCCGAACTTCTCGCTCGCCTTCTCGTCCGTTACCTTCTACCAGCTTGCGCGAATCCTGCTCACTCCCGTCGTGGCGCTCATGAACTTCATCCTGTACCGCGCCACTCTCCCCCGCAAGGCCATTCTTACTCTTATCCCTGTCTGTGTGGGTGTAGGTGTCGTCTCGTACTACGACTCTCTCCCCACCGACAACGCCAAGGTTAAGACTACCTCGCCCCTGGGCGTCCTCTTTGCCTTCAGCGGTGTGTTTGCCTCGTCCTTGTATACAGTTTGGATCGGCAGCTACCACCGAAAGCTGGAGATGAACAGCATGCAATTGCTCTTCAACCAGGCCCCCTGGAGTGCCTTCATGCTTCTCTACGTCATTCCCTTTGTCGATAGATTCCCAACCCTTGAGCACACCTCATTCACTAGGTGGTTCATGATTCTTCTTGTAAGTCCCCTTTTCCCCGTCTACAACCGTTCGGTGCAGCGTCATACATTACGTGGACCTGTGGAGTCTGAAAGCTGTCGCTAACAACCCCCTGCGCATAGTCTGGTCTCTTTGCGTCTCTGATCAACATTTCTCAATTCTTCATTATTGCCCAGACCGGTGCTGTGTCGAGTACCGTTGTCGGCCATCTCAAGACTTGTACCATTGTCGCTCTGGGCTGGATTGTTTCTGGCCGCTCCGTCGGTGACAAGTCCATCTTTGGTGTCATCATGGCCATTGGCGGCATTACACTGTACGTTTTGCTAATCTTTTCTTTTTGCTTGTTGCGCTTGCTAACTTTTTGACCTAGGTACTATATTGTCATGACGAAGCACAACAGGGCCAAGGCTGGTCAGACTGTCAAATAAGTTGACTACTCAGTGGCGCCGCCGTCCTCATTTTCTACCTTGATCGGGTTCCTCTTATTTTTTTTTTTTTTTTGGAACCTTGTTTTACTCTGAGATTTTTTTTTTTTTTCCTTCCTTTCTTTTCTCCGAGGACACCCTCCGATCGACGAGCGGTTGTCTGGTATTAAAATTCTTCGCCAAATATTTCATGCTTGCCATCCAGGGTTTCACTTTGAAGGGCGTTTCTGGAGTACACGTAGAGAGAGGGGGTGGGCCATCGATTTCCACCGGAGTCATCTACCAAGAAAACCTGCCGACCGAACATGTTCCAGCTCGTTCGATGCAGACGTTGAGCCTCGGGAATGCCGCATGACTACGGGCTTAAAAAGGGGAGGAAAGGTGGAGGACGCTGTTGATCTTGGGGTGGTTTGTTTTAGAGGAACAGATAATGAAGTTGGCATGGTGGGAACATGTTTGCTTCTTTCCTACGCTAGACGTGTGTAATGTACTACCTCATTTAAATGAAAAGAAATGTTTTGAAAAGTCGTGTCGGATGGGTCGAGGAAGGTGTACGGTGGTGTATCTCGTGAATCGGATATTACAATCTTGCTTTGAGGTCGTGATGCATTTCGAGGTCCTGAGGAGGATGAGGCGCGGTATGAAGCTTGGAGTGGCTGCTCGTTCGAAACGTAGGGTAAACTTTTGCACTTTTTTCCTTCTTTCGTTCCCCTCCGTCTCGTGTTGGGCGGGTTGCCGCTTGGCATCGTTAGATGCCCTTGTCTTGGATTATTCGACTGGCCTGGGTGTTGAGCTGAGAGGCGGACCCCGTTGAGCCAGAATGCTCTTGGTATTGTCTTCACTCCTAATTTCGGGTTTGCTAGTTGTGATCATCTTGGTTAAGATCTATGCTAGATATTGGAGTCTTTGGAGCCACTATAGCTTACTTTTCCTTTGAGGGGGGGAACCATTCCCTTGGCTTCCAAAGAGATCCGTGTTTTTGAGACAAGATGTCTCACACTAATGGACTTGATCAGCTCGCCCGACGGCGGGAAATGGAACTTGATGGTGTCTCGCGGCCCATTGCCGGCTCCTGACGGCTACGACATACAGGTTCAAACAGACATTCTCGTACTGGGGTTGACATGGGAAGACTACGAGCGACAGAACCACTTTTCGCAAGGGACAGTCGATAAGAGACTTCGGATTCATCAGGGCAGAATATGATTTGGTATTGCCATAGGGAGAAGCAATTAAGAAGACAAAAGGGGGTGACAAAAAGCAACAAACGCCATAACCCCATCCACCTTACAGGTTAAACCGTTTCCGATCCTTTTCCATTTTCGCCTTCCAGGCCCACTGCACAGCATCCTCTCCCTCGCTACCCGCCCAACCAACCCCCTTATCCACCCTCCTAAGCTTCATAGCAAAGCGAGGGCCCAGTTCCTGCAAGCCGACGCGGATGCCCTCGACACCAGCCATGGGCTTCCCGTCCTCGTCAGCGATAGATTTCTCCGAATTCTTGAATACGTAGCGGTGGCGGCGCACGAAGATGAAGTCGCGCTGGTTATGGAAACAGACGACCTGCCGGCCCTCGAACTCGGGCTTCATGGGGAAGAGCGAAGTGAGCACGCGGGCGGTAAGGATACCGAGAGGAGTGCTAAAGCCGTTAAGAAGGAGCTCGGGCCAGTGCTCGGTGGGGTTTCCGTGACCCGGGAGTTTCTTCCCCGGCATCCACGAACCGGGCGTGATGGTGAAGGTGAGTGTGGGCCCCGCGGGGAGATGGACGATGGAGAGGCCCGACGGAACTTTCTGGTCCTCGTGAAGGAGGATGACGGAGGTGTATTCGCGGTTGGCGGCGAATTTCGCGATTTCGCGGAGCGAGTATTTGTGGCCGTAGCGGTGCGAGCTGCGAGGGACGTAGTTGCTGTTGGGGAAGAGCGTGCAGAGGAGCTGGGCTTCTTCGTGGAGAGTGCTGCGGAGGCCCGTGGTGACGAGGATTTTGGGCTCGAGGGGTGGGGTGTCTGTGAAGAGGGTGGGGAACTTGGTGACGAGGGACGTGGGTGCGAGGTCGATGGCCGCCGTGCTGGTCGTGGAGGGGGCTATAGATGGCGCGACGCTGCTATCCCGTTGCCGTTGCCTCTGGCGTTTCTTCTCTACGGCTTTCCGTCGCTCCGCTTCCTCTTCGCTGTCGTCCTCAAGCATGCTATCGTAACCCTCCTCGTCGGCCCGGTCGGCTTCTTCCCCGTCGGCATCGTCTAGGTCCTCATCCATGGCGTCCATCTCGACCGCCTGCTGGGCCGCAAGCCGTTTCCTCTGTAGCGCCTCCATATTGACCTGCACGCCGAGGCTGTCATCGTCGATGTCGTCCCACACACGTTTCTTGTCGATGGTGAGAGGCTTGTTCTTTTCTAACCTCTCGCGGCGGAGCTCGGGGTCTTCTTTTTCTTCTTTTCGTCTCCGCATGCGCTCATCTCGGCGTTCTTTTGATCTTCTCTTCTTTTGTTCGATGAATAGGTCTTGGCGCTTGAGCTTGTTGCCGGTTTTGAGGGAGAGGGAGGCGTTGGATGACCGCTTGCCGGGCGCCATTATGACGGTTGGGGGAGTGGTCCCGGAATCTAGATAGCTGCGATAATCTCACTCGAGTATCCTTGGTAAATTCAGTTGTCCGAGGGAGCAATCGATAGTAAACGTGGGATATTTTTCCAGCCGGGAACAATTGGCTGAAAGATAGAGAGAAGGAAGCAGCAACTCTGATCTGAGGTGCTGGATGCTGGGCAGAATCGTGTAAAATTTAGGCGGTGGCAGAAAAATTATTTCTGATAACGGGAAAAAATTCAGCTCTCAATCCAATTGTCCCTCCCACCACAAAACACAAGTCTTTCCTTCCCTTTGGCGGGGTTAATTCTGTCCTCAGACCACCCCACCCGTCGCAGTAGCGTCTCCTCAGATATCAGGCTCATCAGGGACCCCTCCGAGATCTGGTGCCTCTTGTCAGCCTCTCTCTGGCAGTCGCTGCCCCTGACTCTCCCCAAAGAGTCACTACGGCAACCCCGCTCCGCCCTAGGTTCACGCCACTTTTTTCCCAATTTTGAACCTGAATCAATCAATCTTTTGGCTCAGACTGGATTTGATAATTGATATGAAAATCGGCCACGACACAGATTATTTGCCAATTCGCCTCGTAAGAGTCATCGCACACACCAAAGCACCTCTGCCCAAACCTGCTTCCCGCATTCTCTAGCCCCAAAAGCCCACCCTTTTCCCCGCGGCTTTTGCCCCATTCTTTCTTTTCTCTTTTCCTCCTTTCCCCTCTTTACCCAAAAAAGCGAGAGTTGATGCAGTCTATTCGTCGCCTCTCAACTCAAACATTCTTTTCTTTTTCTTCTTTGCCTCGTTCTTCTTCGTCTTGCTGCAGGGACAGCATCCGGCTTGCTAGGCTTCAACACTTCCGACCCCGCTACTTCAACACCGCGACCAACCCAACCTACGCCGCCCAATTCAAAGCGCGAACCAAGATCCAAGGCAAAATGGCTTCGACGGCGACCACCCTCAAGGGCCAGCCCCTCGACCGTGCCCTCCTCGACTCGACGCTCCGCCGTCGTCTGTTCTACACCCCCGCCTTCGAGATCTACAATGGCGTGGCCGGTCTCTTCGACTACGGCCCGCCCGGCTGCGCTCTGCAGGCCAACATCATTGATATCTGGCGCAAGCACTTCGTCATCGAGGAGGACATGCTCGAGGTCGACTGCACGGTGCTGACGCCCGACGAGGTCCTCAAGACGAGTGGCCACGTGGAGAAGTTTGCCGATTGGATGTGCAAGGATCCCAAGAACGGCGAGATTATGCGCGCCGACCACTTCGTCGAGGATATCCTCGAGGCGAGGCTAGCTGGTGACAAGCAGGCTCGTGGCCAAAAGGTCGAGGAGGACGAGGATGCTGCGGCCGAAAACAGTGATAAGAAGAAAAAGAAGAAGTCCAAGGCCAAGGCCGAGGCTGTCAAGCTCGACGATGCCGTCGTCCAGGAGTACGAGGAGATCCTCGCTCAGATTGACAACTACCACGGCGACCAGCTCGGCGAGCTCATCCAAAAGCACGACCTCAGGAACCCCACCACTGGCGAGCTCCCCTCGCACCCGGTCCCCTTCAACCTCATGTTCCAGACCGCCATCGGCCCCAGCGGCCACCTCCAAGGCTACATGCGTCCTGAGACCGCCCAGGGCCAGTTCCTCAACTTTGCCAAGCTCCTCGAGTTTAACCAGAATGGCATGCCCTTCGCGTCGGCGTCCATTGGCCGCTCGTACCGAAACGAAATCTCGCCCAGGGCCGGTCTCCTCCGAGTCCGTGAGTTCCTCATGGCTGAGGTCGAGCACTTCGTCGACCCCGAGGGCGGCAAGAAGCATGACCGCTTCCACGAGATTGAGCATATCGAGCTTGTCCTTCTCGACCGACACGTGCAGCTCAGCGGCAAGACGGATCTCAAGAAGATGTCCATTGGCGAGGCCGTCAAGAACCAAGTCATCGATAACGAGACGCTCGGCTACTTCCTTGCGCGTATCTACCTCTTCATGAAGAGGATCGGCGTGGACGAGTCCAAGATGCGGTTCCGTCAGCACATGGCTAACGAGATGGCCCATTACGCCGCCGACTGCTGGGACTGCGAACTCCTCACCTCGGCCGGCTGGATCGAGTGTGTTGGTTGCGCCGACCGAAGCGCGTACGATCTGACGGTCCACGCGAAGAAGACGGGTGCCGCTCTCTACGTGCGCGAGCGTCTGGACGAACCCAAGGTCATCGAGGAGTACGAGGTCGACATCGACAAGAAGCTGTTCGGACCCCGGTTCAAGAAGGACGCCAAGGCCGTGCAGGCGGCGCTCGAGGACACGAATCAGCAGGAGCGCGAGTGCTACGGCAAGACGTTAGCCGAGGCCGGCAAGTTTACTATCAAGGTCCCTGGCGTTGGTGACGGCAAGGTCGAGATTACCAAGGACCTCGTCAAGATTGAGCGCAGGAAGCGCACGGTCAACATTAGGGAATACACTCCCAACGTCGTCGAGCCCTCGTTTGGTATCGGCCGTATCCTCTACTCGCTCATTGAGCACTGCTACTGGACTCGCGCTAGCGAGGGCGGTGACGAAGCCCGAAGCGTAAGTGAAGCCTAGGCCCTCCTTGCACGCATACCCTACGGATGATTCCCCCCCTCCCCGTACGAAACGGTAATGTATGAATGAATCAAAAACAAAGCTAACCTCTTCCTCTCTTCTCAGGTCCTCTCTTTCCCCCCTACCGTAGCCCCCACCAAGGTCCTCCTCGTCCCCCTCTCCACCAACCCGGCCTTCAAGCCCTTCGTCACCGCCATCTCCAAGAAACTCCGCCAGCTCGGCATCTCGAGCAAGGTGGACGCCTCGTCGGCGACGATCGGCAAGCGGTACAGCCGCAACGACGAGCTCGGCACCCCTCTAGGCGTGACGATCGATTTCCAGACGGTCAAGGACGGCTCGCTGACGCTGCGCGACCGCGACTCGATGGTGCAGGTGCGCGCCGAGGAGGACAAGATCCTCGACGCCATCAAGGCTATTGTTGACGGCACCAAGACGTGGGAGGATGTGGAGAAGGAGTTGCCGAGGTTTGTTGGGCAGGAGTTGGAGGTTGAGGTTCGATAGACGGGGGGATGCTAATGTAGATGATGATAACTAGAAATGTATGGAGGTTTTTGTTTCGATAGAGGTGGAATGGGACACATTGCGTGGGAATTTAGCTTTTGATGATTCTGAGCCGCATTCTCTGTACCTTGATGTCCCCTGGATCCTGGGGAGTTTCTCTTGGGTGATCTGCACCTCTTGATTCCGACGGGTCGTTCCGTTGTGGAGAAGGCACTATTGCATACGTCAAGTGCATCTATAGACCAAACAGGCTCATGGCATCAGCTCGACGCATCCCTGGGAATTTAGACTCCAACAAGTAGGAATGACACATGGGTTCTTGGCATGTATTGGTCGTCTCAACATGCGGGATTGTTTAGAAAACAATATTGCAACCCAGTATGTCTGGTACCGAGTCCGTGGGTACGTCCCATGCCATAAACCCCCGCGAATTATTACAAATCGAGGGTTTGGTCCTGAGAAACTTTGTTATCCGCAGAGTTTGTGTGAAGCTTCCACAGGTCCCGAAAGCTTCCGCCAGCCAAGACAAACTCTCCGAGGTCCCCCCCTTGGTTCCCAATCTACACTAAGCCCCGATCACGGAAAAAAGCCTCGGTTTACATCATAAATCAGCAAGACAAGATAAGAGAAAGAAGAAGAATTGACTTTCAAGAAAACGAGGCTAGACATTCTGACGTGATCTGTAAGGGATGTGAGAAGATGCCGTAAGAATTGGAATAAAACGACGATCTCTGAGGGGTTGAACGAGGCGCTGGAGGGCGGGAAGCGCTCGGATGGCTGGATTGGGGATAGTATCGAGGTGGCGGTGATGATGCCATCGCGGGGTGGGTTATTCTCCGTCCAACCAGGGAGCTTCCTAGGAGCTTGGAAGCTGGGAAATCCGGAAATGCTGGTGGTTGTGGGAGGAGATGGAGGTTTGAGAGATTGGTTGCTGCGGCTTTAGGTGTGGGGGAGGGAAGAGTTGAAGCTCTCGGGAGATAACGAGTTGGCGTGGGAGAGAAGGAGTTGGTTATATATTGGTTCAGTCCGCTCGGCTCTCTCAAGTTTTGATTCTATGGTAGCCGTCGATCTCTCGTTTGACTATTACTTCTCTTCCATATAGACAGAAACTACAAGATATTGCTACCTACTTTGTGAATAACACTCAACATGAGCTCCGAAAACGACTCTCCCGTTCTCAAGCATCTCGTCGAGGCTAACACGGCCTACGGCGACTCCTTCACCCACGGGGACCTTGCCCTGCCCCCGTCGAAGAAATACCTCGTTGGTAAGGATAACTCTCTCACCGAAGCCCGACTGCTCTCTTCAAAGCATCCCTCCCGGTATATCTAACCTTTTAACCCACCCAAAAAGTAACCTGCATGGACGCCCGCCTCGACCCAGCCGCCTCCCTCGGCATCTCCCCCGGCGACGCCCACGTCATCCGCAACGCCGGCGGCAGCGCGCACGACGCCCTCCGCAGCGTAATCATCTCGCAGCAACTCCTGGGCACGCGCGAGATCATCCTCATCAAGCACACGGACTGCGGCATGCTGACGTTTACGAGCGAATTCGCGCACGGGCTCGTGGAGAAGAATATTGGCGAGGAGGCTGAGACGGATATTAGGGGGTTGGATTTCTTGACTTTCCCGGATGTGGAGGCGGAGGTGAAGAGAGATGTTGCTTGGTTGAGGGGGAAGAAGGCCGTTTTGGATGTTCCTGTGAGTGGGTGGGTTTATGATGTTAAGACGGGGAGGGTGAAGAGGATAGTTTGAGAGAGGGAGGGCCATGGGATGAGATGAGCTATGAGAGATGAGAGATGATGATGACGTTGATGATGATGAGGGGCGTTCATGATGATGCATTGATTAGGGGATGGTGAGATGTCTGGCGTTGGGAGCACAAGGGCGAGTGCGGTGTTGCAGAGGGTGGGTGCCTCTTTTATTGATGGGGATCGTGCTGAGCTTTAATACTACGACGATATGAGACTGCGGATACGAGCAGGAAGGTGCTATAATTTAAATTGATCTCGGTGACTCGTGCGATGTGATATCAAGGATGACGATGCATCAGTGTAGATAGCCGCCGGCTCGTGACATCCGATGCCGATCGTGTGCTATATCCTTCCTGCCTTGATTGATTGTGTGTTTGTTGGTGTTAGTCCGAGATTGATCAAAATCACCATTGAGATTAGGACGCAGCAAATCATGGCGGGGTCGATCGGATGCGATCGAGTTGGGCTGCGGGGCCAAGGAAAAGAGTAAAATAAATCGAGAAAAGGGACATAAAAAAGCTAAGACTCCATCGACATGCTAGCCAGCTTCATCCAGGATTGAAGGACCAAAGTATCGCAAAATCGCCAACATCGACCTCACGATGACTGTCTCGATTTCCACCAAAGTTCCCCCCCAAGCTCCGCCCTCCTTCGACTTCACCCCCTCCTCCCTCCTCGCAGAAACCCAATCCATCATCGCCCGCACCAAAGCTCTCGAAGACCACCTCGCAACCACCCTAACCCCCTCAACCGCCACCTTCTCCAACCTCCTCTCCCCCCTCGAGGAGGACTACCTCTCCGCCCGCTCCCGCACCACCATCATCCACCACATCGGCACCGTCTCCGCCGACCAAGCCCTCCGCGACGCCTCCCTCGAAGCCGACAAGCTCCTCGCCGCCGCTTCGGCCGAGAGCATCGCCCGCCGGGACATCGCCGCCCTAGTTGGCGCCGTGTACGAGCGGTACAAGCGCGGCGACGAAGTCCTCGACCCGCAGGATTCGCATCTGCTCGAGGAGACTTATGGGAGCTATCGCCGGAACGGAGCGGCGCTGGAGGAAGGGCCCGAGAGGGAGAGGTTTTTGGAGCTGAAGAGGGAGTTGCAGGATGTTTTGTTGGCGGCGAGGAGGACGTTGAATGAGGCGGATGATGGGGTGTGGTTTACAAGGGAGGAGCTGGAAGGTGTTCCGGAGAGGAATGTGGCCAAGTATAAGACGCGCGAGGATGAGAATGGGACGACGCAGTACTGGGTTACTTTCCGTGGAGGGGATTATGTGGCGGTTATGCATAATGCTGTTCGTTCGGCGACGAGGAAGAAGGCGTATTTGGCGAGGGGTAATAGGTTTCCTGAGAATGTCGAGAGGTTGCGTCGTGTGGTCAAGTTAAGGGATACATTGGCCAAGATATTGGACTACGAGAACCACGCCGCCTTGAAGATGGAAGGACGCATGTCGGAAAGCGTCGAGGAGGTCGTGAGCTTCCTCGATGACTTGAAAGATAGGCTGAAGCCCATCGGTAAGGCTGAGATCGAGGCGTTGCTGGAGTTGAAGAGGGATCATCTGAAGAAGATGGGAGTCGTCGCGGATGCTGCTTCCGGTCATGTTAGCGATGACTTTGCTTATCTTTACGCTTGGGACTTCTCTTTTTACCAGCGGATGTACGACCACGAGAAGTTCGCTCTCGATATGAGCAAGTTCCCCGAGTACTTTGAAGTGTGGCACACGCTCAAAGGTATGCTGTCCATCTTCGAGAGGCTCTTCGGTCTGGCGTTTCGTCGCGCCAAGTGTTCCGCGTGGCACGAGGATGTCGTTCTTTACACCGTCTGGGATAGCGATGCGCTGGGTGGTGAGTTTCTGGGATATTTATATCTGGACTTGTTCGCTCGCCAAGGAAAACTATCACAGGCACATCATACATCTCTGGTTCCGGTAAGTACCCAGGGCATTCAAAGTCTCCAAACGTGTATTCTGTCATATCAAATCAACAGTGTTCTCGTCTAACTTGTCGGCTCCCTTCCGCTCTATCAGGGCTTCATCGATACCAGCAAAGGTAAGCGTCAATACCAAGTCGGCGCCCTCATCCTCAGCCTCAGCAGACCCACCCCGGACCACCCAACCCTCCTCCTCCACGGCGAGACCAAAACAATGTTCCACGAGCTCGGCCACGCCATCCACTACCTCGTCGGCAAGACCAAATATGCCCGAGGATTCTCTCGAGACTTTGTCGAGATCCCCAGCATCGTCCTCGAGAATTGGATCTGGGAGCCCGACGTGCTCATCGAGATTAGCCGCCATTACAGCCTCCTAGGCGACGAGAACATGCAGCGGCACTGGAAGGCCGAGCAAGCTAAGGCGGCTTCTGCTGGAAAGCAGCCCGTCGGGGAGGAACTCGAACCTACACTTCCAAGACAATTCGCGACGGATATTGCGCGTACGAGAGCTGTGAATGGGGCTGGACATATGCTCTTCCTTATTCACCAGGCCTTGTTTGATCTGACAATCCATACGGGTAAGGGGTACAATGACGTGGTGGATATTGATCTCACGAGGCTGTTTAGCGAGCTGGGAGAGGAGATTACCATGCTTGCTGGGTTGGTGGATAAGAAGACGGGCGAGCCGACGACGATAAGGGAGGCGGGATTTGGGCATATCTTCCGGGCTTATGATGCTGGGTACTTTGCGTATGCGCTGTAAGTTTACATTTGTCAACCTTTCTTTTCTTTCTTGTTTTTCTTCTCTCTTCTATTCTAACGGCTTCTTGTAGGGCTCGGACTATCGCAATGGATCTATACACCACCTTCTTCGCCCGCGATCCAATGAACTCCGAAACTGGCTTGAAATACCGCCGCAACTTCCTCCAACTCGGCGCGAGCCGTCCCGAAGCCGAAACGGTACAAAACTTCCTCGGCCGGAAACCCAGTACCGTTCCTTACTTCGAGTTCCTATCCAACGCGCCTAAGCCTCCTCCTCCCGCAAACTCTCCATCCTCACCCGAAGCCACGCTCCGAAGCCGGCTAGCATAGGAACACCGGGGCGTTTAGAGCTAAAGGCTTCGAGGGCCTCGTACCGACGGAGGACGTACTCCTTTTCGGCGGGCTTATCGATCCCGGGCTTGGTTCGTTGCATCGCGCAGGTGAGCTTGGTGAGGCAGATGGGGCAGAGGTAGGGTGGTTGGCGGTCGTCTTCTTCGAGGGAGGCGGTGCCTTGCATTATGCAAGAGTAGTAGACGCAGTGGTCAAGGGCGAAGCAGTGGCCTAGTTCGTGCGAGGCGGTTTTGCATACGCGGGCGAGCCAGAGGCCGTCGGTGTCGGGCTTTGAATGGTTGGTGCCAGCGATGCTAGTTGCTGCTTGGACGGCGGCGGGGATTCCTCCCGGGCTGTTGAGGTCTACGATGACGCTGCTCTTGAAGGAGTGGCGGGCTGTGCGTTTGCTCTTTTTCGATATTATACTCTGCGGATGTCGCGGCTCGAGATAATCTAGGCAATGAGATGATGGCCAGATATGCTCGTAATCGACCTCGTCTCGTAAACCGTCCATGGCAGGGTTATACCTAAACGTAGAAACCACCGCGACGCGACTTCCCCCAAAGGCCCTCCCCGCGCAGAAATCATCCTCGTCGTCCTCGTAAAGGTCATGATGAACAAGCATCAAGACCGCGTACGCATCGTCCGGGACAAGTTCGATCAGTGCATCGAGGATATCGCTCAGATTTAACTGATGATGAAGTCCCAGCCCAGGGTCATTCGGCTGTCGACACCTAACGCCTGTGCATTGCCCGCTCGCTGCCGCGAGCCCTATGTACTTTGGGATGCGTTTCTTCTCAAAGTCTCCTTCTTCCCAGAGGACCCAGCGGAGGGGCTCGTTGAAAAGTTTCACGTCCAGGCCGTGGTAAAAAGCGGATAGATACTCACGGATACTCTCTACCGACGGATGCCGGTTCCCAGAGGAAGAAGAGCCCCCTTTTCCGTGCGCGCTGGGAGGAGGAGTTCCCGACCAACTCCTCAGCGCTGCGGTCATGGCCGGGGGTCCGGAGATATCCGGCGGCGCCACGACGTAGAGAGTCTTGCGAGTGGAGGTGACGGGGTTCCGGTCTTTGCTTAGGAGCCATGACCGTAGGCTTTGGGGAGGGTAGGTTGGCTCGAGAGCGAGGCAGTCGTCTGGGAGGACGATGGGGCCCGGGAACGTGGAGGGGTCGTCGTGCTTGTCTCGGGGCGGTGTTGTGGGAGGGACGCGGCCGGCGGGAGTGGTGGCTGCGAGGCAGCGGGGGAAGGGTGGGCGGGTATATGGGGAGAGAGAGTCGGTGGGGGAGATGTCAAGGAGGAGGCGGGAATGGGTGTGATGGGACGGTGGACTGGACATGGCTGCGAATTAGAGAGAATGTATATGTGAGACGAGAGATGAGAGACGTGATGTTGAAATGTCGACGGAGTGCCTAGGGGAGATGAGCTTTGATAGCACGACAATAAGCCCTCACCCGCAAACTCGATGGTGGTGATAATGGAGAGAGAATTCCCGTTGCTTCCCAGTATTGACAAGGAGGCTGTTTCAACTCAATTGATCTTGAGCGACGAGCACTTGGAGTTGAGTAGGATTCGTCCTATCCTAGTCTTAGTTCTACTACTAGAATCACCATTTAAGTCTAGGCAGCAGCGCCGACAGCGGTAGAGCGTAGCTGCTGCCATCGACGGTGAGAAGCAAGAAAACAATAAGACGATTGATCAATATCCCTCCGGCCCGGCAATTATTTCCCAACCCGGACTATCGCGGTTCCCCGGAAAAAAATAATAATCAGCATATTAATATTCTGGCACCGAATTCTTGTCCGATCCGGGACCTCGAGAGAAATGTTGCGGGACCAGCGTCGACAACGAACGACACCCTCGCATTCTGCATTCGAGAGCTACATCGGAGCAAAAGAGGGACCATGGAAATTTATTTAAATTCAGGTCCCACGGGGTGTAATTGATGAATCTCGTCGGATTTTGTCTGGCCCTGTTCCTAGTGCATCGGCCTCCCCATCTTGATGAACTTAAATGATCGACGTCGAGGCGTCTCAGATGTCCGTTGGCAACCCTTGCGATCATGCAACCTTGGCGCTCGAACTTTCCTCCCTGATAGAGTTGCTGCGTATTCCTTTGTCTAATTGTCGTGTGAGCGAGCGTCCCTTTTCCCTCTTCTTTGTCCCCTCGCCCGATTTGTGCTTCGCTTGGCGCATTGGAGACGAGGCCAGTCGCAAACCCGCAAAGGGGAACCTAGGTGAATTTCTCCTCTTCTCTCTCTCTAATTTCTATCTGATCATATATCGTCTGAACTTGAGGGTATTGAAGAACCTAAAGTTCTAGAGAACTATCTTGGACAACGGATATTCTGCTGCTGGCTTTACTCTTCATCATGCTGTACGAAAGGAATCGCACTCATAAGCTGTATGATTCTTGCGCCCCGTGGAACAACAAGATCATAATGATTTGCATCGAGGATCTCGGGTTATTTTGTTGTAGCTGTTTTAAAGGCAGGAAGGGATAAACGCCCCGGATGTGCCCTTGATGTGAGGGTATGTTTGGTGGACTCGGGCTCCTCCGCAGTCTCATCTCGGAGATCAATCGTGTACATCTGTAGCTTGGCGTTGCTCACTAGTCGTTGCCTTTTTTTGCGAGCCAGGTTGATGGGTGTTGTAGTATATACGGTTGACAGAGGCCCGAGTTTCCGGAAATTCTAGATTGTTTCTTCTCTGATATATATCGCCCGAGAGACGAAGTTATCACGAGTGGGCTCGGTCAACTTTTGCACTTATACCAAGCTCACAAAAAACTTAAGCCCGATTTATTTTTCCTTTCTTCCATTCCTTTTCTTATTCATTCATTTATTTGGTACTTTTCTTTTCCGTTCTCATCTCTCACCATGCGCTCCCTCCTGTCCCTTGCCCTCCTCTCCCTCACAACCGCCCTCCTCACCAAACGCCAAGCCGAAACCAGCCTCCACAGACTCTTCGTCGCCCGCGGCAAGCAATACCTCGGCACCATCACCGACCAGCGCCTCCTCCTCTCGGACGTCAACGCCGCCATCATCACCGCCAACTTTGGCCAGCTCACCAACGAGAACAGTCTCAAATGGGAGTCCGTCGAGCCCGAGCGCGGCGTGTTCAACTTTGACGAGCCGGACTTTGTCGTTGATTTCGCGCAGGAGAACAATATCCCCATGAGGGGACACACGCTCGTGTGGCATTCGCAGCTGCCGGGGTATGTGCAGAATATTACGGATGCGGGGGAGTTGAGGGAGGTTATTACGGAGCATATTACGAGTGTCGTGGGGAGGTATAAGGGGAAGATGTTTGCTTGGGTGGGTTGCGATCTCTCTTTCTTGCTGTATGAGGGCGGTTTCGAGCATCGGAGAAGCTAATACAGGGGGACGGGTGTTTCCAGGATGTCGTCAATGAGATCTTCAACGAAAACGGCACGATGCGCGAGTCCGTCTTCTTCAACGTGCTCGGCGAAGAGTTCGTCTCCCTCGCCTTCAACACCGCGCGTGCCGTGGATCCCGACGCGAAGCTCTTCATCAACGACTTTAACCTCGACAGCGCCAACTCAAACAAGACGCAGGCCATGGTGAGCAGTGTTAAGAGGTGGATAGCGGCCGGAGTGCCCATTGACGGCATCGGTGAGTGCCTTCTGGTTATCTTTTTTTTCTCTTTCTTATTCTCCTGTTTTTCCTCCCTCTTCTATTGCCGGGTTTGGAAGATGAAGGAAGTAAAACTGGCAGCTATGGATCGGGGAGAAAGCCAGAAAACTAACCAGAAGCCAGGCTCGCAAACCCACTTGATCCAAGGTCTCTCAGCCGGCGTCCCCGGAGCGCTTGAGGCTCTTGCGTCCAGCGGAGTCGAGCAAATTGCCGTGACGGAGCTCGACATTGCCAATGCGCCGCCGGAAGAGTACACCACGGTGATTAACGCCTGTCTCAACATCACCTCTTGTGTAGGCGTCACCGTTTGGGGAGTTTCCGACAAGGTAAGGCCCAAGTTCGGTCGTTCGTAAACCAGCCGGGATTTTGAAAACTTGCAACTAACTTGGGACTTCAAGGACTCTTGGAGGCCGGGCGAGAACCCGCTCCTCTTTGACGCTGAATTCAACCCCAAGCCGGCCTACGACGCGCTTGTACAGGATCTCTGTACGGATAACTGCATCTTGTGAGAACGGCCCCCAAGCTGTTGTTCAGGTCCGGTTAGAATTAAAGAAAGAAAAAAACAATAAATACAAGGGAGACGAAAGGACGACTAATTCGGTGTTGGTCTCATTCGTGCCATCTCTAGGCCAGGAATACCACCTGATGGCTGCCTAAGGGCCTGCAGCGAGGCGAGGGCTCCGTTGGTTCGGAGAGGCACGCAGATGGAGCAATGGGTTTCCTTGAGCGCATTCTTGATCTTGATTCCGCAGATTCTTCTTGTTGGTGTTTAGCGCATTGTGCATATGAAAGTAGAAAAAAAAAGATCAATCGAGATAACAAAAGTGTCAATCCGTGACTCTTTCGGCAAGGACCACACGTCAACTGATGGTGGGCACGCTCTTAACCTTAAAAAAGAGGGGAGCACCGAGAGAATGGAAAGGGTGGTTGGAGATGTGGCGGAGTCGTAGGGCTACACTTTCAAAGGCGCTTGTCGGCCAACTCAATCGGGACCTAATCCGCCTTATGACCGACCGACAGGTTGGATTCGTCCCCCGACCGGGCCTGGCTAAGTTGGGCCTGGCTGGGAATCGGGCTTCTGGAGGGTGGCCTCATTGCCTCAATCACTTGTCGCTTGTGTCACCTGTTGGAAGGCCAGAGACGAAGGGACAAAGATCAACTTTTCAAATTGATGTCTCCAACTCCGAGGTCGACACATTGTGTCTTTGGGAACCTAGAGACATGTGACCGGATCGCGGTGCGCGATGCCGCCAGGAGTCGGTAGTGTAATTTAGATGAGTTGGAAATGCTGCGCCTTCTTGCAATCTCGGGAGAGAACCCGAAACGGGAGAGCTGAAGATTCAACGTTGAGACGGATCCCGGATCAACTCTGTTTCGAGACTGGAGGCTGATGACTATGACTACGATGACGACGATGACGATGAGGACGATGAGGGATATTGTCAGCTGGATGCCTCGGATTCTTGATTGCTGAACCTGAGGCGATTGTTCTGTGAAGCTCTGACTGGAAGGCGCATTCGGTGCATTGGACCGCACTGCTTCGCATCGTGACCATGACATGACCGTTGGTAGGGCTGGTCTGGCCTGGCCAGGCGCCACTGAGCCATCAATTGATCAACACCAATACACTTCGACTGCACATTTCCAACGGCCTTCACCAAGCATTCCTCAATTGCTGCCTCAACTGCCAGCGAAACCTGCAAACCCTCCTCCAATGATGCCGCCCCAACCCCGTCTCGTCCATTCCCCATGGCTCGCATTAGCCCTCGCCCAACTGTATTAATCCCCCCGCCAAGGTCTTCTCTCGGTCGCATCGTGCATCGTGGGCCCGGTCGATTGGGCTGTCAGGCGCGAAAGGCACTCGACCACTTCTTAGGGACTAGTTTGCAGTGGCTGAGCTGCCCAAGTCCCTCTCCCTGATCGATAAAACGATCAAACTGGCAATCTCGGCGACCAGCTGGTTAGAGTACAGCCTCAGCGTAGTCGATTTAGGGTTGAACCTAATTTCCGTGACGGTTATGTCGAGGACAAAACTGGCGTGTTCTTCCATGAAAATTGCCTTTTCATTCTGCCTTTTGTTGATATCCAGAGAAGATATAAAGACGACGATTGCTCAATCACTTTTCTTGACACTCTGGGCTCGTGTTGTTGCATATCATAAAGACATTGAGTCAAACAAAGAGCAACATCGACATTCTCATCATATTCTCAAGATATAAATCACTCATCATCAAGTATCAATACTGAGTACTACATCACCACCGCAAACCATCATCATGTCGGCTGAAGACGATCCCGTCCCCGCCTACGAAGAAAACGGCCTCCGCTTCGCAGACTGGACCAAATCCCTCGACTCCGACTCCCTCGGCCTACCTCTAACGCGGCACCCTTTCGGCGATGGCCTCAAGATTCCCCTCGGGCTCTCCACCGAGTCGCTTGAGAGGCGCGAGACCCAAGCCATCATCTTCTGCCGCTTCTTCCAGGCCATCACCACCAAGAACCTCGACGTAATAACCCTCATGGTAACCAACGGGCTCATATCCCCCTGCGCCGTCTCCATGAAAGGGTTGACGCCCCTCATCGCCGCCGTAAACAACGGCAACATTGCCGTCGTGCGCTGCCTCGTTGGCCTCGGCGCCGACGTCTCTCAGCTCGGTACCCACAACGGCGCCGAACGCACCCCACTGCAAGTCGCAGCCGAGCGGGGCTTCCTCCCCATCGTCAAGTTTCTCATGGAAGAGTGCGGCGCCGACGACGCCACGATCGCGCCCGACGGCCAGTTGGCTCTTCGGTTAGCGGCTGCCAACGGCCACCGCGAGGTCGTGGACTATCTCCCCGTGCGGAGAGGCGGCGGGTGGAGGCGGTGGAAGAAGAAACACGCCGTACTCATGCTGCGCGTGCAGAAGGCCCGGCGGAAGATTCTCAGCTTTTGCGAAATCCTCTTCTGGGAGATTCCCAAGTTCTTCTTCTACTCTATCCCTAAACACGTCGTCGTCATCCCCGTGAAAGACGCCGTCAAATACGCCATCGAACATCGGAGGCGCTTCGGTGGCTGGTGCAAACGCCAAATCCTCGCCATGCCCGGCCGCGCGAAACGGGGCGCCGAGGCCGTCGTCCGCGGCGTCAAGAAGATCCCGCGCGTCGTCGCCCGCATCGTCAAGTGGCTCTGGCGCCAGACGAAAAAGGTCCCCGGACGCATCAAGAGGGCCGCCGTCCTCGTTGGGAACTGGCTTGCCGAGACGGCGAGGCGGTTCGGTCGTGCGGTGTGGTATGTGGTGACGAGACTGTTCTCGGTGCTGCATACGCTTGTGGTGGCTGTCGTGAACTTCTTTCGTCAGATTACGCTGAAGGATGTGTGGGATGGGTTCTGTGCGTTGGTGAGGGCCGTGTTTGTCGGCTTGCCGAGGGCAATTGTGTCGGGGATCGCTGCGCTTGGGAAGACTTCTTATGAGGTCCTCAAGGCGCTTCTGGGCATCTTTGGGGCGGCAATTTGGTGGACGATATGGGGTATCTGGTACGTGATTCAGTACGTGCCGGCGCAGATCGGGGCTATATTTTTGTCTCTCGCGAAGTCGGTTCGCAATGGGTTTCAGGAGGTTCTCGTCTGGTTTGATCCCAAGAGGTCAGGCTGAAGGAACCGGGGATGAAGAAGGAGATGGGTTCTGTTTCCCTTAGTTATACCCCTTTTTCAAGCACATTAGATCCATTTGTCTTTCTTATGTTTGTATGTACACTAGAGCGTTACCTTGCGGTCAGTCATTTGGGAAGGAATAGGTACGAATGTAATGATCTTATACACAACCCCCCAGCATCGCGAGATCTTTGAAGATGAGTTACTCCACCCTCCACCACAAGATGAGATGAATGAATGAATGAACGCAGGATCTCCCCTCCCTTGAGGGTTTGTCCACCTACAAAAGGAAATTTCCATTCTCCTACCTCCTCGATCCCTTTTCCTTTCTCTCTACCTCTCAAACAAATCCTCGTTGAGAAAACGATTTCAGTCCTTAGAAATACATCAGGGTAATAACCCCCCTTTCCACTATGCCCCCCAAGCGTCGCCACGACACCTCGGACGCAGAGTCTAGGGCTCCGAAGCAGCCCAAGTACCCTTACGAGAACAGAATTACCGAACCTGTAGCTCGTCATATGGCTTCCTCGAGCGGTCGGAGACGTGGCCAGTCCGGTGCGGCCCAACAGCCTCTTCCTTCCTCCTCGACTGCCACGCGCAAGGGTCATGGCCAATCTAAGAATCAACCGGCCGATGGTCTCGGCATGTCTCCGCCGGGGCCTGCCCAGAACACAGTCCCCCATTCAACCTGTTGCTTCCCTCAACCTCTCACGGCTCATGACAATCAATCCGGAGGTCAAGCTTTTCCTTTCCCGTCGGCTGGTCAGGCCCAGGTTCGTAGAGAACCTGCCGTTCCTACTTCGGCCCCCCCGGTCCAGCATCTTCCTCCCCAACATAGCGGCGGACCCAGCGGCCAGTCCGTTGTCTCCGGGGCTGCCACTGCCCAAACCCAGGGACAGCCCGGAACTCGTCTAGTAATTCATCGCGACGCGTTTGCGACCACCGTCAGCAAGCACCTCTCAGTCTGTTTTACAATTATAGCATCCAATCCTGGCCAACCCAGCCCTCAGCCTTCCGCTTCCAATGGAAGAATCTCTCCCAACTCGGCCGTTCTCGAGAAGCTCCCTGGGGGTTCTCGAGCCTATCCTTGTTACAGGTGCCTCCTCCATTACATGGCCAATGGTTCAGACTCGACTGGTAGTTTGCAACTCTGCGTTGACGCGGACGGTATGTGTTCTTCCCCCTCCCCCCTCCCCCCCCCCCCTTTTTTTTTTTTTTTTTTTTTTTTCCTTCTCTTTTTGCCAAACCCTTCTATCCTACATCTCGCCCCGTTCTCAATTTTCCGTTGTGGGAAACTGACTTCGAGGGCGGCCGCTGGGCTTTCCTGTTCCTATAGGCGAATCTGCAAAGTGCGTCCGTTGCTTGCTTTTGGGTGAGATATGCGATGTTGTACCGCGGCAATATCTCGCAGACGCCCGCGATCTCGCCCAGTTCGTTATTGGTATTCCTCTTCGCGGCGAGATTGTAAGGAACACTCTGATCCCTCCTCTCTTTTGTTCGGTTTTGATGCTAACCTCTTGCCCTCCTATCAGAGCCCAGACGTCATCAAGGCCTCGCGTACTCGCCTCAAGAACATCTGCCAACAGATGATCCAAGCTGACCAGGAAATCAAGGCCAGCTTCGATAAGTACCTGAGCATCTGGATGGGTAACTCCATCGTACCCCAAGAATCCTTGAGTACGATCCCCAGCACGGTTAGCAGCGCCATTAGAACGCTTGTTAATGTTTTGGAAACCCTTCGCGCTGAACAGAGGGCTCAGGGTGACCGGTTTCGCAACCTCGAGAACCGTATGGAGCAGCTGGGTTCCAATCCCAGTCGGAATACCAAGCAGGGCGACCGTGTCGAGAAGGAAGGCTAGTCGAAGGAGTAAAAGGTTGGATGGTTATACCCAGGTGTTGTTTGTTTGTTTGAGAGATGGCAATGTAGTAGCGGCGGGACAGGTAGTAGAATCATCGCGGTACATGGTCAAGTCGAACGTCGTTAACAATAGGGAATTCACGACGGACGACTCAGAGCCATTCAAGCACACGAGCGAAATCGAATTCGTTAATCCCCAAAACGTAATCTCCATTGCATCTCTCAGCCCTCTACAATTGTGGCTATTCGCATTCATCTCCCATCGTGCCTTGGCGAAGCGGTGTTGTCTCTCAACACGGAGGTCGTCGGCATCTATTGCGAGCCTCCAGGCCAGACGGACATGATTCCCGCTCCGATTCCACCTCCGGGCCCGCATAAACGCCCAAAACTATTGAATGTGTTAAGAGGAACAAAGACCCCTTGGCAACCTTTTCTTCTTCTTCTTCAAACTCCGTAGTGCCGGGCTATCTAGTGTAGGGCCAGTAACGGGGGACCGAATTTGGACTGGGTTGATTGCACTATCGGCTCGCTATTCTAGCATCATCCGCCTGTTTCAGGCCTCATTTTGGTTCTTCTCTTCTCTTTCCCTACCAACATGCTTCCCCTTATACTGCCCCTCAACCTCGGGGATACTCACTTGGCTTTTTTTTTTTTTTGGCTCTACTAACCCAAAGGATGGCGGAGACTGGGAGGTACGCGCAGAGGCTGCGCCTCGGGTGGGGGAGGATCTGGGGCAAGAGGCCCCCAAATCGCTTGAGCCGAGAGGGCAGAGATTTCTTCTAGAGACTTGGATTTGTCAAGCACAAGCTCGGTAAGCGTTGCGTTGGATACTTGTCGAGACGCTAAGAAAGAGAAAAGGCGAAACAAAGTAGAGAGGGAAAAAAAAATCCACCAAGCTAGCGACGGGACGAAGTAGACAATTCGTCCGAATCTCGCCGATCTACACTATCCTACGTGTACGCCATATGTCCTGCCTACTTCGGCAAGAAAGAATAGCATCTTTTCCACATTGAGAGAACCGAACCGAAGCGTCGCTGGATCCACGTAGCCTGGGCTCAAGCAGGAGGTGGGAAAAATTGCCTTACTTGGCAGGCTCTAGCAAAGAATAGAAAAAGGATTCGGCCTTTGGGCATCGAATGAATTGTCTCCAAGTCGACAAGGACCAGGGCCTGCCTGCACCGCATCCAGCGTTTTCTGATGAGGGAAATTCATGCCAGTCATGAAAAGAAAAGAGATAGATTCAAGTCGAGACACGCAACGTGGTTCTGGGTCTATTGTCTTGACTTTTGGTGCCTTGCATTCCTTCAGGCGGGTAGGGCGAATGGAGAGGCGCTGCGGCCCTCCAAGACTGAGGGCTAATGCAAGGGACGAACCAGAGAACAGAGAACAGAGAAAAAATAGCGACGCGAATAGCTACTCCGAGATGTTCTTGCTCTTGAGTGGAGCTTGGTAAGACTGAGCTACTACACTATTATGTTGCTTTTTTGGCCGCTACCCTCCATGATCTAGAAACAAAAACTACCATTGCATCCGAGAGAAAAGGATTTGCTCTGGAAGGATGAGTATGAGGCCGTGGAGGGTCGCATCGAGGTCGAAGACGGGTACCTGGTCCGAAGAAATCGGATGCATCAAATCACTGCTACTTTCTAAGAGCGGAACTGCTTCCTTCACACGACGGATGGTGTTCTTTCTCGGCTCTCTCCTCATGAGACAAGAACTCTCGGCCACGGCAGAGGGTTGCTCTGCAGCCTACCATTTCGCGTGGTGCTGGTGGTGATGGGCCATGACCAGCAGAACTCATTCGTCACTCACTCCGGACTCCTTCGATTCCCTCTCATCCCATTGGGCCACGAAGGCCTTCCTACTTCCTTCGGCCGCGGGAGGTTGATCTTTTCCCTCATCTGGCGGTATCGGGCAAGGCACCAAAAATGGGAGAGACGGATGTGTCGTGCGTGAAGTCTAGTGTACCTCGGTACTTCGTAGTTGGGCCAGACTGTTGGGTTTCTCAGGGCTGAGCGAAATGTGACGTCCAATCTGATGTTGAGAAAAGAGCTTTTTCTTCGTCGCTGCTCTCTTTTGGGTTTGGGATTTTGGTTGGGGATGAAGGGTGAAGTTCACTAATTCTTACAAAGTTCTTTCCATTTTGAGTCTCGTTTCTTCCGGCTTCTCCGGCCTCGGGTCGGAGTTCCTCTCAACTCTTTCATATGCGTACTATGATTAACTTATAGATATTAGAGAGGGCTACCTCGGTTTAACGAACAGTGATCATCTTTGGGTCCAAGCCACATATTATCCGTTTCTGTGCGTGAGGGGAAAAAAAGTGAGCAAGAAAATTCTGGAAATACATCACCTCCTGGTGGCACCGCCTGCGGATGTCTTGTCTGCATCCACAAGATGAGAACAATCAATTAATCAAGTCAGTTTCTATTATACCGAGAAGTGTACTCTGTAATATTTCGAATCGGCTTGTCCCCGGGACTGTACAGATTCCATCCGCGATTTCCCGCTGCGGATCGAGATGGAAGCCTGCATTTCCAATATCGCCGTGTTTTATCGCCCGCAGACCTTCCAATCCGGCCTAATGGCCTTTGTAATAACACACGTATCTTATGCAGTGCCGAGACCAAGAGATACAAAGATGGACGGATGGGCTGAGAGGAGCCGTTATGACCGTTTGAACAACCAGGATATCCCCTTCATCCAACCAGCCGTCAACGGCCAAAAGGGTAAACGCAGCCGTGGCACTTTCTCATCTTGGACGAAAGGCCTGATGTGAATCCTGGGGTAATTGGCAAATTACGGCAAGCTGTCCGTCCTGGAAAGCGACGCAGGCACAGCCACTTGAAGGGTTCCACGACGTGATGCCGAGCTTACAGAGTACGACTTAAACAAACACTCCACTTCTCATCGTATTGCGCATCCGCAGCTTCCCGCAAGAGGAATCAGGATGCGCTCCCTACAGGCATACGAGGGCAATCGAGTCCGGAAGTAATCTTGCTCTCCTCCATTTCTAATTCCTTGGGGTGGTGAAAGGAGGGAACGGGACATTGCATATTTTCGTTTGACGTGTTACGTGGAGAATCAGCTCATGTGGCACCATTGAGCGCTGGGGAGAGGCGTTCGAGATGGATAATCTAAAATAAAATCCCCGGGCGGGGGAATCGGGGGGATTACACTAGGAGATGCAAACACTCAGGAAATCCGCCGACGCTCGCAATTTTGGCCTCTGTAGCTATCGAGCGAGAAGGTAGTTGGATGGCGGCGCTGGTTCCGCCGAATCTGTCCTGGGTGTAAGCATCCCTCCTCCGGCCCGAAAGATGGAAAAAAGGACCAGATCCTTTCAATCCCCCAACTCATATATTGCTTAAGCGAGCTGAGCCGGGGCTCAAACTTCCGCTTCGATGGGGATGATTTGAACTTCCGCCCGCGGAAGCCACATTTTCAAAAGGGAAAACGGTGAAAGTCCTGTCAAGACCGTTGTGGCTTGAGATGCAGCTGGGGGAAGCTGATTGATGGAGTTGTGATGCATGCAGTGGCTTCATGTAGAGTGGCGTTTGCTGGCTCTGCAGGTAATGCTGTTGGCCAGCTCTGTATGCTGCCGCTAGGGCGTTACGGTCCTCCGTGGCGTTCCTTCTTCTTCCCTCTCGATCCTGTTCTTTCAAGGGACAAGACAAGGTGCAGAAATGGCCCGGAAAATGTCCTTTGATCGAGGAACTGTTGAGAGTGAGAGGGAGATCTTCCCTTCCACAAATTTCCGATGCCCTTCCGACGCTTCGGACAGTCGCCATCTACGTAATGTGGAGGGGGGTCTTGCTGGGAGATGTTGACTCGTAATACGAAAGATTCGATATCTCCGTGCCGCCTCCGCTGAGCATGCTTCTTTTGCTTCAGTCCGATCGATGGCGTGAGGAAAGTTTCCATCTTTCATCTTGGAATAATGTAAGACAAAAACGCACATTCACATGCGTCGATTGAAGATAAGGAGAAACACGCATGCATTTGCTTCGTACGAGTATTGTAAGTATTGTAAGTCAATGTGACGTCGTTGAAAGCGGACTGACTGTGGGTGCAGGGATTAGGTACGATGATCTGGGTGCAATTTGAGTTTTGTATGGGTATATGGGTAGATTTACTCGCGCTATGTGAGGATCTAGTTCGATAAAATAATAGTACTGAGCAGAAAGGAAAAATCGATGGATGTGGTGGTGGTATCGGCATCAAGCATACACGTTTTGCAGGATCATGAGAAAGTGAGTTTGCCAGCGGCTGAGAATCGTCAATGACACCTTTATCCTTTCATCCAGGGTCGTAGCCATTTTAGGGACCTGCATCTCGCTGGCCGTACCTGAATTGGCTGTCAGAGTTGACCCTACCCACATATCACTGATCAGGGAAAATGCCTGTCTAAACCACAGCTTGGATGAAAAAGTCAGGTTGTTGATCTAGATTCTCAGTCAAGAGTCAGTTACCCAGAACGGATCTAGTGTCTCGAACCTCCAGAGACGATTACTTGTGCCAAACTATCAATATGCGGCATTACGGATACACAATCTTGGCAGGGAATAAATCTTAAGAGAACCACCATTATATGGTCACCTCTGTACTAGTTATTACAGCCTTCGACGGGTCGGAGGTTGCACGAACGGAGGTGTGCCCTCCTACCCTCCTAAACCCCCTACCTTGGCTGATGAAGAGCCGAAGAAGATACCCGACTCTTGAGACAACACCTACATGGAACGACCAGCCCTTGTTTCTTTCGGACAGCCTGGAGCTCCACTACTTTTGCATCCGATGCTGGGTGCATCCTTTGACTCAGACACGAGGTAGATCTGCGCAATACCTGATGCTCGAGGGACAGAGAAAAACAATCCTGCCAGTCCCAGGCACCAAGGGTATGGCCATTGGGGGTGGGACAGATTGGCGGAAGACGAACTGAGTTGAAGAGTAGCCAACGAACCCTGTTGATGCATCCCGGAAACCTCAGGGTCTTGGTGGATAGGATGGTTCGTAGAGGGGGGTTGGAGATCGTGCTGAGACACTTTACCACAGGTACATTGGATGGGCAATATCAAGCCGTCCGCTTATCCCGTGGAGTATTACATGCAGCACGTTCTCGGCTTCATCCTGGGAAATTCTCCCCGTTTTCCGGGACGAACTATACGTGATAATAGCCCGTGGATATTAAGATTCGAGCCTCCGGCGAGAGAGCCGCATAAAACGAGCCGCTGGGAATAGCACACTAGAGAAGATAGGCCGGGAGCGAACCACGAACCAAGATCATCATTAGACAAAGGGTCCAGATAATGAGAGATGCTAGACCCTCGGGGTTCATGGAAATTAGGCTGTGTTTCTAATAGCGCGGGATTTGGTGCCCGAGTGTCTAGATGCCCGAGTCAGAGAAATTCAGCCTGGCTCCCAATGAGACGCCTGATGTCGTTCACCTGTTGTTGACTGGTCAATGGCAAAAATAGTTGAGAAGAGAGCTCGAGCTTGTCGCCTTTCTGGCGTTATTGTACCAAGTAATTGAATGACCTACAAATGAGATACGATCCCATTTTCGGGGCATTTACCACACTGATTCGAGACATCGGTGGCGCTGCAATATCTAGCCGCCCCGTACGAAGTACCTCGGTATTGTCGATCGAAACAACCAGATGAGCTATGAATGACGACCCTTTGGAAGGGGTCAATGATCCTTTGATCTAGTTGGCAATAGGTGGATCGAGAGCTTTCGTTCCATGTCCACTTGCCATGTTCATTTTTCTTGTGGTAGAATAGAGGGGTTGGCGATGTGCTGGACAGTGAAGTGGGTTTGTTTGCGACAAACCACCGGGCTGGACTGGTGGTGGGATGGATTAACGGAAGGCTGGAGTTACAGAACTAACATGGAATTTGGTGCTCAGGGGTTCATAGAGGGCGCCGATGCCTTCCAGACGTAGCTAAATCTAGAATTTCTCTTTCTTCCTCTTTTTCTTTTTCTTTTTCTTTTACTTTTATTTCTTTTATTCATTTTATTTTTTATTTTTTATTTTTTATTTATTTACTCTAATTATTGTTGTTATTTTTCTTTTCTCCCTAGGCAACATGATCCCCTCTTCTCTAGTTGCAAATCTCATAAGTCGATAGCGGTTTCCTATGGAGTGGAACCGGAGACAGTGTGGACAATGAACCTATACGAGGAGCGGGGTAAATTCGGACGAGGCAAGTGCACATCCGTGGAGTTAAAAAAGAAGGGTGGTGTGCTGGGTGGGTTATTAATACCTCGTAAACTAAACTACTTTGCTTCAAGCGAGCTTACAGAATATTATACAAAGGTACACTTCAAGGTACTAGGACTTCATGCACCTGAGGGTAAGCGGCGCAGGAGAGTCAAGTTACCTTTTCTCGATCTGATAGTAGGCTACTCATACATGGAAGAGTGTTTACCTAAAAGTATCTGTACAATTACTCGTCTGGTTTGTGTTCTCTTGTTGCTACGGTAGATGTATAAAGTACACCGCCCCACAGTGAGGTCTGGATTTGGTTGGTTGGTCACCAAGTATCGGAGCAACAGCCGGGTCCGCCCTCTGTCACTGCAATTAGTGTGTGGATGGACTGGACAAACACGCCTCGCCAGCCAACCAGCCTCTCGGAGCCCGTAGCTTTGCGGCGACGATCAAGAAGCGCATCGGAGGAGATAGAATCTGGACTGCGCGGAAAACTTTTCCCTCAGGCCCACCCGACTTGTCCAGGCTGACAAACGCTGGCTAGCAGCTGCTTTAGGCGATTCTCGTCTTGCATCCGCTGGATGCTGTGGATACTGCCAGCGCTTTGCTGCTGCGTGTGAGAAAAAGCTGGGCGGTCACCGGCGCTCGGTCTGCGTTTGCTACGACGTAGTCATCAATTGATGGAACCGAAAAGAAGCTCGTTCCACGGTTGTGCGAAGTCAAGACGGAGGGACGAGGTTTGCCGGAGACTGCGAATTGGAATGAGCAAAATTCGATTCTTCCCCTTATCTAAACGGTAGCTGAAAACGATGCCTCAGTACCTTGTGTATTAATTCATCAATTCAGAGCGAGGTATTGATTTGATTTCCCAGGCCGATAAGCTATTTCTTGTAAGCCGGGTGCTTGTGATCGAATTGGCAGAACCTGGTAACAATCGAGAATAGACTTCTTCTTACCGCCATCCGTCTACCAATCGAAAAAGACCAATGCCGATGACTGAAGCGCTCGTGACGCGGGAACTGGGTTACAACGAGGTGATTCATCCAGGCGCCTACGAGATCTGGAGGCTTCCGCTATTTGTAGAAACATCAACGAAGCGATGCATTTGTTAACTGCATGTGGTCACTAACTGCTTGTACTTGGTGCTTACTGGGACATCACCTCGCTTCATCTACAGACAAATACGATGCGGCGACGGCAGAGGTCTCTCGACGATGGCACCACATGCGATGCGCTGGCCCACCAGTAAGCCTCGATTGTCGACTGTGGTGCGATTCCTGTTGGGAGCCCCGGTTTCTAAGCCCATCCACCACAACCACATGCTGTCTCAGAAACTTCGAATAAAGAGAAAACCCGCAAAGAAAAGGTGGTGTCCAGGATTCATGGAGATTGAATAACAAATAAACAGAGGGCGAAACCGGCGTACCTCGGTACCTCCCATTCTTTGAAGAAATCATGCACAGGACGGGACACAGGATTCCGGGCCTCCGGTAAAAGGAAGGTGTGGGTGTTGCTGATATCTCGATTTTCCAAGTCTTTCAGCTGTTTTGTGGCGTTGATCGCTCTGGACCCAGACAAACAGCCCGTGCCATCCTAGTTGGGGCGGGCGGGCTGCCTCAGAGGGAAGAAACATCAACCAAGAGAATTCGCTGGGCCTGGCGACACTCATCAATTGATCCAATGATCCAGCATGTTGCCAGACGGCAGCAGCGGACGCCGACACGAGCACAGCACATTTGTACACTACGAAGCATGAAGTAGGAAGTATCGAGTGGACGTCGTTGGAGAAAGAGCTAGGAAGTACAAGGCAACCTCCAGTCATTGTGCCGGCAGGTGCGAGGGAGCAACTAAAGATCGATCTTCCATCCACACTAACATTTTGACTCCACCATTCCGTGCCGGGGCATCCATCTCGCCTCATCCTCCCGCCCACCCTCTTGTGCTCGCACTACGAAGTACGACTTCCGTGCTTCCTCGTCCTGAGCCCCAACTGGTACATCTACTGGGTGGCGCCCTGTCAACTTGGAGACCGCCTGGTGCATGTGTTTCTTCTTGCCTTGTTCTGATCCACTGCTCCCCCCGCTCGCCCATCGATTCCATCTATCCATTCCCAGCCATTCGTTCAAAAAGGTCGTCCAACCTCGCCGAAACGCCCTTGGCCTCGTCCGCCTAACCCCCCTTCCGCTTCTTCTCTGCTTGCCCATTGAAGAAATCCTACCTCACCGCCGCCAAACGCACCATCCTCGTCTTCGTTCCCCACTATACGTTGGCATTCGTGGCTTAACGACCTCACACTCGCAGGGGTCGTCTCATCACCTGCCAGCTCATCTACATAGAATCTGGCGAGACGCCTCCTACGCTGATTGGCGTTCTATCTTTGCTTAACCCCGACACCCGACTTGCACCCACGCAACGCCTGTGCTCCGGCCCAACCCAACTACGACCTTGGAACTCTGGTCAACCAGTACAGTACACGTGGATCGTCAAGCAGCAAAGAATAAGAAGGAACTTCGAGTGGTCCATTGGTAATCCCGCGCTCAATTCTACTGCGTCTCTTAACGATTTGGCAATTCGAACAGAGGAACGAACGCTCGCCCCCCGCGTCTGGTACTACTCTCAAGTCTGGCGATTCGCTGATCTTCTCTGTCCCGCGCGTTCTTTTTGGTCCTCTTGGTGTACCTCAGGCCCTGATAACCACACGACGAACGGACGGGCGGTTTGCGATTTCGCAGCTTCTCGGAGGATGGAAAGCGGCCAGCACGAGAGATACTGTCACTTTTCCATTTCCATTTCGATGTAATTAGGCCACCGTCACCAACCTCACCAATCTGTGCATGCCAACGTTTCCGTGCAGCATTACCTCAGTATTCTGGTCTTTCGTCGATTTCGCGCAAAAAAAGGGACAAAAAAAGAGACAAAAAAAGAAAGAACCTGGCTTTTGCCCCAGTTTCCCATGCGACCTTCCCTTTCGCCATCCAAGTCCAGTCCCAGGTTCCAGTTCCGCCTCCATTCCCAATCCGGTCACAGTCTCCTTGTATCTCCACCAAGCTTTTCTTCTTCACTGCGCCCCACCACTTGCTAGCTCCGCACTTTTTCTTCTTTCCTCCCCCCCCTTCTCGGAAACCAAAGCGCTGCGTCTTGTGTGTTGTGACCAAACAGTCATAGCTCCACTCGCGAACACCCGCACCGCCTCGACGTGGAAAACTTCCGGGTTGGCGGTGGCCTTACACATCCGCCGTTTATTTCTCCACACACCAACTCTTTCCCTCCTCCAATTCCTTCTTCTTCAACAATAACACAGTTGTCGACAGAATGGCTCCCGATCTAAAACCCTTATTACTGCCTCAGCTCGTAGAAGAGCGGAGGAGACTCGAAGCCCAGGCCCTACAGGTTCTCCAGGCACAGCAGGTGGCTCAGCCAGTCTTGGCTGAAAGCGATCTCACTCACATCTACTACACGACAAACTCGTCTTCATCCGACGTTGCGTCTCCCATTACTCCCACATTCTCGACCCGCGGGCACACTAGGTATTCCAGCTCGGTGTCATCGCTAGAGCTCCCTTTCGGTTTTGGCGATCAACCCTCTTCACCCTCACAAGCAGCGCATTCGGTCAAGTCGTGCATACGCCAATTACCCGATGTTGAGGAGGAACCCGTGGAACGTCCCGAGCTCGATCTCCCCGAGGGCCTCTATGACTGTCTCTGTAAGGAATCTCCTGCGGCTTAATTCTTTTAATACCCGCCTACCGGATCCATTCCCTGCCGTGCATTCTCCCTTGCAGTTTATTAACACTAATTTTTTTTCCCCCATCTGTCTAGGCGATGAACCTTTTTGCGTACACCGTTCTAATCCGAGTATTGACGGATCCTTAGCTGCTGACTACGATGATCTCGGGTTCATGAGTGACACTGATTTATCCGGCGTGCGGATGAGGAAAAGTCCGCGAAGGGGCAGTGCGGAAGCTACATTGGCCGGTATAACCTCTCGAATCGGCTCCCGATTTCCCAGCCTCTCGCGCTGGAGCGGACCGAAGAAGGGCGGCTCGACTCCATTTTCCATTTACGAGCTGAGCGCCGACAGTGCGACCCGGATAGCTGGTGCAATTTCGAGCCGCTCCTCGTCCATTTCCTCGCCATATCCCTTCGGCCCCGACTATGCGCCCGAAGCCGCTCTGTCTCCCTCGCCCTCGCAATCTTGCTGGGGCTCCGTGGAGAGTGTTGTGTTGCCAAATCTCGACATTGAGAAGACGAATAATTCTGGCCGAAATTTGGAGCGGGAACGCGCCCTGGCCACCACCCCTCTCCTCCCTCCTCTAATTACCGACAACGTTCCCCAGCCCCCGCCACGGCGACCTCAGACTCCTTCTCGTGCTCGCTCAGCTAGTGTTTTCGAACACCCGACTCACGTGCCCGTCGCTGCTCGCACCGCTACTACGACCCCAGCACTGAGTACCAAGCCCTCTCTATCCTCGTTCAAGGCCTCTCCGACAAGCCCCGAGCTTCCTATTCCTTTTCCCAACCTTCTCAATGACGAGTGGTCCGATCGCCTTGGTCACGCCAACTTTACGATCCTTCCTCTTCCCTACCTGCCGGAGATTGCCGACCTGGAGAGCCTGAGGAAGCTGCGGGAGGACTGGGACCTGGCCCGCACAAACTACACGAAACATCTGTTTCGAACCGGCGAGAACTACGGCCAGACGAGCAAGATTTACGGACTCACGGAGGAGAAGTGGGCTGAAGTCGAGCAATCCTGGAAGCGCATGCATGACAAGGCTGTCGAGCAGATTTTGGCAGCCACTAGCGCCACCTCACAGTCTATGGCTAAAGCTAGGAGCAGGAGCCGTGGGCGAGGTAGGGGCCGCGCCGAAAGCACTCCTCCGAAGACTGTCATGAATGACATCTACGCCGGTATGGAGTGGAAGCGAATCGAGGACACCAAGCCCGGCGCGATCCCCCGCATGTTAAGCGAAGATAAATTCCCGTCCCGTGGCGACGAGGATATTGTTGGCCCTATGGTCCGGGATGAGCCTATGGCCAGGGGGGTTAGCGTTGACGGCAGGGGCGTGAGGCTGTGGAAGAACATTGTCGATAAAGTCGGACTCCGGAGGTGATGATAATATCCCTCTTTCCCCTTCCCGTTACGACGAATGATCGACGATGAACGCACGTACGAGCTTGCCGATTCCAAAAGAGAGATCCATGACGATGATTATCATTATTTACGACAAATACTCGACCGATAGACTTTGCGACTTGATTTCCCGAAGCTTTTTTTTTTTCTTTTCTTTTCTTCTCTATAAGATACCCCAATCTTGTTTTCTGGAAGCTGGACAGCGACCGACGCCTCTTCAGGCAACTTCTTTTTTTTCCTTTTTCTTTATGTCTCAGCAACTTTCTGTCCAGATATGCATGGTTTTGCATCTCGAAAATCCAGACTTTGCGAGCGAAAAAAACGTTTGTTCATAGATACCACGGCGACTCTACGACACCCCGAGCCCTGTTGAAAACAAAAGTCACTATTGTTAATTTAACAATATTCACCTCCCCCCAAATCTTCGAGGGCGGGAAAAGAAATTGGATTGAATGGTAATAGACGGCGTTGGGACCGAGTTCTCCCCCGCCAGGTTATAATGGAGTTAATCGGTACAATTATGATGGGGGATCAATAAGTGTTTGGGAGCAATTGGTCAATTGTGGGAAATTAGTTTGATGAGAGAGCAGCGGAGGAACGACTTGGGAGATGAGGAAGAGGTAGCCAGGGGCATTGCGCCCTCGCCTCGAGTGTGTTGGGATGAGGTTCTTTTCAGGGCCCTCAACTTGATGTGTTATAGCTAGGAGTGAGCGAATATCGGTTTCCTTCATTCACCATTGGGGAAATGTATGAACACAAGGCTAGAAAATAAGTACCTCAGGTTACTCTAAGGACCAGTAAAGAACATGCCGTTGTTAGTGTGGGAATAGTTGAACTTTTCTAGTTAGGCATGCAACTCAGTGTCGTTAAGCCATCGACGCTGAACGAAATGGCATGAAGGGTGCGCAGTTCACGGCCATGGGGCGGCATCCGGCATCCGCTTCATTACCAGATGCAATTCTTATATCGTATGTCTCCTGCGGGGTCGGATGCCTACGGATAGGCTGTCAGGGTTCTCGGACTTTTCTCCGCGGTGTCGGCTTCACGCCGGCACCAGTGATGTAGGATCCACGAACACGCTCAAGCATGCCTTCACAGTGCGGAGAGTGATTCACGCGGGACTGCACTGCATCGACCCCCAATTTTAATTGGGATAGGGCGGTAAAGACGACAATGACGATGACGATGGCGATGATGGTAGGAACGGTGGGTCCCAAGACTCTGGCCAACCCCCCCCCCCCCCCCCCCCCCCCGGGACTGGTGTTAAGGGTTCTGCACTTAAGGGTAAGAGGCCCGGTAAGAAGTTCATGGCCCATGTTGTCGATAGCAGCAAACAAGGTGTGTCGTCCGAGATATGATCACTTTCCCCGATTGTGGTTCGCTCAGGTTTCCAGAAGATAGCACAAGGATCGGTGAACGGTGTTCTCCGTTCGTTTTAGTTCTGGATCCATGCTATCTTGTCGCAGCTGATACCTTAAAAATGTATTTGTTCATGGATTAGCGAGGCCCGTCCCTTGGTGAAACCACCTATGAGCCCCGCAAGTCAAGATGTACCCTCCGGTGTGGGTTATGAGTATATATTATGATCATCTACTACCACTCTCTCCCCGGAGATATAATAGGTGAAGGAGGTAAACGAAATCCCCCCAGCTGGCCATGTTCATTTCAAAAGCTAGATAGCAGCCGCATCGTACAACGTACGGTCCTCGTTATTCTTCTTGTTTGCACCGGCGAGCACCGGCCGCGAGAAGCAGCCGTCGTAGGGGGTTGTTGCCTGTCAGTGGAAGGTAGCTCAGCGGTGTGTGATGGAGCTCATCCTCTGCGTATACATCAGCACCTCCTGCGAGAAGCCGCTGCACTAGAGTCTCATCGCGTTTGCTCGCAATAGCATAGTGAAGCGGCGTGCGATTTGCGGCATTCTTTGCGTTTACATTAGCACCCGCTTCCAGAAGCATCTGTAGGATAGCCTCACTGCCTACACTGGCGGCGTGGTGGAGGGGTGTCTCTGCATGTTCATCCTCTCCGTTGACGTCAGCACCTGCCTCGAGAAGTATTCGTACAATAGCCTCGTGGCCGAAAGTGATGGCGATGTAAAGTGCTGTGTCTCCCAACCCATTTTTCACATTTACATCAGCGCCTCCTGCGAGAAGATGCCGCGTTGCAGCTTCGTTGGGCATATTAGCCGCATAGTATAGTGGAGTGTTTCCGAAACCATCCTTTGCGTTTGCGTCGGCGCCTGCTACGAGGAGCGTCTCCACTGGCTCTGGGTGTGCCCCGACCACAGCATGGTGAAGTGGTGTGCTGTTGATCTCATCCTTCGCATTCACATCGGCGCCTGCTTTGAGGAGTAGACGCATTAAAGCCTCGGAATTATAATGGACGGCGGCGCCGTGGAGTGCTGTGCCCCCGGAGTCATCCTGGGCCTTCACATCAGCGCCTGAAGCGAGGAGTTGCTGTGCCACATCTGCGTGGCCCTTGAACGTAGCCCAAAAAAGGGCAGGTCTTCCGTAGGTGCTATCCTTTCCGTTAACATCGCTGGACCCTCCCTTGAGAAGCCGCTCCAATATTTGGCCCAGTCCAAAATAGGCCGCGGCTAGAAGTGGCGTGAAGTTTATATCTTGGAAACTTGTGTCATAGGTCTCGAAATGTATCTCAAACCATGCCCGAGATGCCGGATATTGAAACAAGCAATATCTTTCTGCCGTTTTCATTGCCCATCCATCTTCCGCCCAGTGGCATTCGCGGAAGTGCGCAGCCCAGAACCGCGCTGAATAGTCAAGAAACGTGCGCTCGGTGATGTACTCCTTTCGGTTCTTGCTTGACCGGAAACTGTCCAAGTCAAAGTCGGATAAAGAGAGCCGCCATAGGCAGATTTCGGCAAGGATGCGATGAGATTCTTCGGGATGAAGGGAATATTTCCAATGGAAGGCTGTCTCACTAGAACTGGACAATTCCCGGACAAAGGATAGCGAAGGAACCAGAAACTCGCGGGCGGTTTGATGAAGGAGGTAGATCTTTGAGCCAATCACAACCACAAAAAGCCCACAGAGCTCCCTGACATCGATGCGAAAGCGCTCCTCTGGCACCAGCTCTATGGCGTTAAATGACCGATGACTTGGTCGAATTGCTAACGCCAGGGCCATCTCTCGCAGGGTGAGGGGCTCCTTTGCTGCTACGACAATGTGAAGGAGCTTCTTGGTTAGGCTGATATCCCGGCTCTTCCATAGAATTTTGTCGTACACTTCTTCAACTGTTTTGGGGAGCTTCCAGATCATTGACCGGAGGTTCTCCTGCGTGTAGAAGATACCATCCATTATCACATTGAAAATAAGATGAACCCAAAGGTATGTGCGGTTTGGCACTTTCGTAAGTTCCTCCTCAAGGAAATTCTGCTCTTCTCTGCTCAGTCCAGACACATCCTTTATCTTGGCTTTGATGACGAGGTCAATCTCGCAGGAAATTTTGTCGACCTCTTCCTCGTTCTCCCCGCTTAAGTGGATCGTTGGCACCTCATCCTCAAGGCGCTGGAACCCTCGCTTAATATCAAGGTAAGGCCGGCTAGTTAAGAGGAACTTTAGGGCGGGGGTGCGTGTGTGGGTGTTTGAATAGAAACTGCTAGTGGCAGCTATAATTTCACTTCGTCCGGACTTCTCGCATTCGTCAAGGGCATCGAGAATGCAGACAATCTCGTGGCCCTTAAAGTTACTTGCAACAGAGATGAGAATATCCCAGAGGTCGTTGAAAGATGTCAGCAGCCTCTCTCCCTTCTGTTCTAACTTGTTAAGAATCAAATCCGAGAAAGCAGCTGGATGCTCCGTAAAAATTTGGTGCAAAATGCAACACAGGGCACCTGTCGAGGATCGCTGGTCTGTGAAATCGTCCTTGAAGAAGAAATAGCAGATCGTCCTTGTGTCTGTACTCAGGAGGACGCTATCCACCAGACACTTGGCCAGCACCGACTTCCCGCAGCCCGGGTCAGCGGATACCCAAAGCAGGCTCGGTCCGCGTTGCTGCCAGTTGCGGAAGAGCTTATGGCTGATGAACCACTCACATGTTCCTTCGACTCGGTGGGGATTTCGATCCTTGCGATCTCGAAACGGGCAAGTGTAGAGCTTTTGGAGCCATTCGATTTGCTTTTGACTCAACTTAGGTATCGTCTCTTCGCGTTCCCCTTGGCGGTGCGTAGACTCGTTTATGGCCTTCCTTAGCCGCCATACCGCGTGCTCCTTTCCTTCTCCATAAATGAGCGGTATGAAGACATCAAAAATACCCAGAAGGCAATATGACCAATCTTCCTCACGCGTAGTTTGGCGCGTATTTGCCCACGCGAATCGCTCATCAATGTCGAACTGAGAAAGAGGTGTTCCTTGGAGCGCAGGAATTGATATCCCTGTTATTTTGTGAATTTGCTTCTCGAGGGATTTCTTGTCACCTAGTCGCGTGCCGTCTCGCGCGAAGAACTCAACAGAGGTTGGGGCAATAAGCTCCTGGAGCGTCCAGCCGCGTGTGAACCATCTGCTCGCCTGGAAAGCAGATTCCCATGGTGACTGCTGTTGTGCGAGCCGCTGCTCGTTGCTGCTCGTGGAAACGTCGGACAGGTACACATAACACCTAGCGGCATTACGATACCATCGAAACATGGAATTTATGGCCTCCTGGAGCTCGGAGCTGTCCGATTTATCGATACAGCAGGTGTCGACCCAGAAGTATCGCAAGCCGTGACGCCCCGCCTGTTCTGCGCAGAATCGAATCTTATGAAAGCCGGTCTTGTCTCTACCAGTACCGTCTACCAAGTCCTTAAAGGTGACTTCTTGGGTGTTGTCTGTGTTCCACGTATGCGATAATATGGCGTATGACGGGATCTGATCGCCCACGAAGTGCCTCGTTAGACGGAATTCGCCATTTGGAGCGCATTCCAGGAGCCGCATTTTATTAGATGGACGACTCCGATATTATGGATTCATCGGCAGGGCAGCAATCGAGAGCGATTCGATGAAGAGGCCGTTTTGTCACTAGAGATTGAGAAGTGCCGGTCCCTGAGAATTTGTCAGTCAGAATTACCATTAAAAGTGTTCTTCTTCATCTTTTACCTCTCGGGATACTGTCGATTCCCAGACTCTCTGAGACTAATTTCGAGTATCTTGCCAAAGGATGCCGTCGGTTGTTGCCCACCCCTTGATATTGACGATAGAATCATTGATTTTGAGATGGAAGAAGACAAGGTGGTCTACGAAGCACTCGCAGCCTGCCTTGCTGGCAACTTTTGGGCTGCCTGACCATCCTTGGGAGGTGGCTTGGGCGAGGAGGGGTAGATATGGCCCGCCACCCCCGTTTTTGGCTGCTCAAATTGCATTTTAAAGAGTGACGAATGGTTATTGATTTCCAAATCCTGAGGGGGAGCAACTGTCGAAGGACAGGGAGTCTTGGAAAGGGCATTTGCAACGCCTGGAAGTCTACACATGACTCTGCGGTTTTCGTTCTACAAACACTAATTTCGCCCTTAGTTGTACGTGTGGGAAAGAGCAGAGAATTGAAATGTGCCGGAGAATTAAACTCGTGTCATCTGAAACGTTTATTTGGATCGCGCTTGATGAGCGTACTCTGGGAATGTGTAAAGACTAAAAAATAAACTAAAGAAAAAAAAAAGGTTAAAATGTACGACGCTTCGAACACAGTGGAGGAGGAGAATAGAACATTCATGGAAAAAAAGATAAAACGGCCGAGCCATGGAGGAGCGTCAAACGGGGGTCCAAACACCACCCTCGCATCAGGGCCTCGACGGTAAAACGTCAACCAGGGAAGTACGAACTAGCCCGGGGCTTCAAGGGTCGGTCGGCGGAGTCGGAGGTCCGGAGCCGGGCGGAGACAACAGGGAGCATGTGTTGAGTCGGGTGGCTCAAGGGTCTGCGTTTTACGTCTTTCGACCCTTTTCTTCTTATTTCCCCCTTTATTTTCAGGTAGTATTTTAAGAATAATTTAAAGGCAAATCCCCACCTTGCGGTTGGAAGAGCTGGGTGATGATTGCATTGTCGGTGAAATGCCAACAGACTGTACTTGGCAAAGCTTGGTCGAGGAGAAAAGCGGCGAGGGTGCCCGAGTCAAAGACAGCGAGGCCGCTTAACCCCGGTTCATTTCATGAAGTAGGGCGGTAAACTAGTAAACGGGATTAATCGGTGCCTAAAGAACTTCAAAGAAGCTAGTTTAAACTATAGAAGTTCGAGTGGTGAAGAAACGCATTGGTGGCGTCATGCCGAGGGTAGTCGTTTTCTTGCATTGCTCACGAAAGTTATCTGTTCTCTTGTTTCCAGGGACGACAGTCGGTCCCCGGATTCACATTCGCAATCTTGAATCTTCCCGTTTAGACCCTGTGGGGGACGGGTTACACTCGCCCATCTGCTGCCGAGAGATAACGGAGCTCCCAGTGATCTGTGAGGGTGTGTGGAGAGCACCTACCCTTTTTAGGCTCGGGTAAAAAACGGCGTGATGAGAGTTTGCTTGTTGAGAATCCTTGACATGGGATAGGACGCATTGCAGGCTTCATGACGAGAAATCCGAAAGCATCTGTTGAGCTTGGTCTCGGCAAACTGCTTGGCACATATCCACGCGTACATCTTGCTCGAGCTGCATGATGGAGTACGGAAGTTTCACGGCCGGGTAAGTTGAGCAATCTCACGAAACTCTCGTCCGTAGTGTGGCACATCTTTCCTCAATCGCTTTGCTCTTTATCGTCATCATGCCACCAGGGTAAAACAAAAAACACACCATCATCAAGAAATTCCAGGAATCCCAGTTTCAGGCGGCGTCTTGCCATTGACCCCCCTTGAACCACGAACCCTGGCATGGAATAAATTTTATTTTTCAGTTGAGTCTGCTTTTGACCAGGGGACAATGGAAGAGGTTCAACAATGTTCCGGGGTGAGAGGCAACCAGCCTTTGGCTTGACCAGCCCAGGTAATCCTTTGTACCCAGTGCAAATGTTAGCGAATTGTGGCTGGCGATGTACCCCCACTTGACGCAATTTGATTCAATTGCGCCCACGTTCCACCTTCCGGACCTGAGTTTCTGAGAAACTGCCCAGCACGTGCTCGCATTCCTTCTCTGAGAGGCTGGTATCGGTTGCAATCAATCAATGCAATCGCCAAAAACGAGACCGGAGCACCGTACTCACTAGGTGCGACATTAGCGCGCATAGGGAGGGGGAAAACAAAGAATAAACTAGAAAAGGGGATGAGCCGTAATCCCGAGTTCGGGTCTCGAAGCCCGACGCCGAACGATAGTGAATCGGGGTCCGGGTCGAGCTGTGTGTGGTGGGAGACGAGGGGTAGCAAGGTCGGGACTCAGGGAGGAAAGGGTTCGGATTATTCGGTTGTACCGATACCATCGGATCGTCAATTCTCTACTTCGTCCTTCGTACAGGAGAATCAGAAGGAAGTCGCACCCATTAATTGGTTTGCCAAGTTTCTTGGCATGAGTGGTCATGTTATGTTTGAGCGTTTCTATTTCTTGAAGTATCAAAGCGATCGCCGAAGTACATGTGTACAACAAGTACACTACGCCTTATTGAATTGATGAAGCGGGGTTGCAAGTTGGCAAACTCCATCACAATCTACGTTTGTTAATTGAGAACAGTTTACCTGCAAGTTGCGTGGGCAACCGAGTCGAGATGATCTACGAAGTACGTCAAAACTAGGGATAGATCGCATCAATTGATTAGATCCTGGTCCTGCCCCATGATATCACTTGAGGACTAAACTGACAATTGAACTCTACTCCCGGAATCAGGCCTTGGAGAACAGACCTAATTAGAGTGTTCCTTGTATCTCTAGAGGCACAGCCACCTGGTAGTTCTTGATCTCCAAATTACGTCGTAGATAATCAATGAGAGAGGTCGATCCCGAGCTAATTCCAATCAAGCGTCTTAGCACGTGGAGCAACTTTGAGCTTATTGCTCTTTAGTCCTCGGCGAGAGCAAGGAGGTTCGGAGGTATCATCCCTTTGATCATTTTGACACAAAGACGTTCTAGCCGGAACCAAGACTGGGGGACGCGGGGAAACGAACGGTTGGCGCTTCCTGGCACGCAACCACTTGCTCGACACGGACACGTGTGAGCCGGATCCTGGTGCCGAGCCATGATGGCGTTTGGCAAGGACGGGAAAATGTTTGGGCCGTACAATCAGTATCATACGAGAAAAGCCGCGGAGATGGGAGGAAGACGCAGTATTCCCAGAGAGGCAAGTTGTGCCTTCCATTCTCCCTCGTACAGCGGATATCAATGGATATTCATCAAAGGATGTGCCTGCCGCATCTGGACAATGAAGTAACTCTTAGGTATGACTATTACGTGCGAGACGATGAGACTTGCGCTAGTGGTGTCGAATGAATCGAATGTTTATCATACTGATTCAGACGAAGCTTCCAAGCGAGGCTATCTCAACGAGCTCGTACTTGGTTTCTCAATTCAGAGGTACAGCTGGACTGTCAAGCTTTGAGCTCGAGCCAAGCCCACTTCACATGCTCTGCTGAGAATATCCACCCCGCTGAACGTCTTAGTGGTTTACTAAGCCACGATGTCCTACGTGGAATGCACGCGGCAAAGCCGTTTGGCATCCGCGGGTATCCTGAGAAGAACTTTGAAGTCGATAAATGGGAGATTGAGCACCCTGCTTCGACCGAATCCAACACTGAGACGCCATTCGTGACATTGAGCTTCTGCTCGTATCCAGATTGGCTCTACGCCACGCTTGTCAGTACAAGAACACACTACTTCGTACACCCACAAAAGCCAGCGCTATGAATAGCACTCAATTCACCAGTCGTAGATGGTACATTACACAGTGTAAACATTACTGTACATGCCCTCCACTTACACAGCTATGACAGCAGCCAGAAGCTACTAGCAGGTACAAGCCAGTCTTGGTTGGGCCACAGCAAGCAATCGCAGGCGGTACACAGCGTTGCGCGTGCCCCACTTTCGACTCCCAGAGGGTCCCCCTAGCGAATCAAGACCCTTCTGAAGCCTTGGCTGTGGGTCGGTCACGCGGGCTACCGACCGGCGACTTCCCCGTACACTAGTTTGTATTGCTCATTGCTATCGGCTTGGCAGCTACGACACAGTATTGCCACGATCCAGCCATTGGCAATTACACCCCATGGCGATCCCAGGGGCAAGAGCGACTCCCAGGGATAAGGAAGAAAGGAAGGATACAAAAGGGAGGACCAAAAAGGATAAAATCCGTCTTTATCTCCTGGCCACCCCCCTCGTCTTTCTCCCCCACCTCACCGCTGTTCGCTCGGTCTACGGTGAATCCTCTCGGACATTCATTCCATCCCAAACGTTTCCATTGACGAACTCCAGTGCGCCAATAGTATTTCACTGACAAGCCACCTCGACTTATCGTCTCAACCCATTCTACCAACACCAATTGCGAGTTCAGGAGACGGAACCGGTACATAACTCAAACGACCTCGCTTTCAATTCGACTTCGACTGTACTTCGATGGGAGAATCTGTTTCTGCTCGGAATGGCCTTTCTCACGACTCTCCCGAGGCCACGGCAGACCTGGATGAGCCCCCATCAGGTTTACGACCGTTCACAATCCCCCATTGCATCGATGCCATTGACGTGGCCCGAGTCCTCGACACTCACCCCAAGAATGGACTCACCCACAACGAGGCTCTTGCTCGCCTCGAGCGAGATGGACCTAACAAGGTCGAGGCCGCTAAGGGCACATCGGCCTGGCAAATATTCCTAAGACAAGTTTCGAATAGTTTGACTGTTGTTCTTGTACTTGTCATGGTACTTTCGTTCTGTATTGATGATTATATCGAAGGCAGCGTTGTCGCCGCCGTTATTCTCTTCAACATTGTCGTCGGGTAAGATCCTCCTCCCCTCCTCACCCCTCATCTGATTAGCAGTAGACGAAATGTGTGGGGATCGCTGCTCGTGAGTTCGCGACAGCGTTTTCCAGCCCGGCCTCGCAGCCGTGTGCTCTTTGCTTGCATTCTCGTGCTCATCAATTCTGTCTTTTTTTCTTTTCCCCAAAGAAATGTCCGCATACTAATTCTCGGTGGGGGCGTCACCTCCACCATGGCAGCTTCCACCAAGATTACACGGCCGAGAGCCAGATGCAGCAATTGCTGAGCCTGGCCTCGCCAACTTGCCGCGTAATCCGTGAAGGCCAAGTACAAGAAGTGAAGAGTGAAGTCATCGTAGTTGGCGATTTGATTTGCATCTCAGTCGGAGACATCGTCGCCGCCGATGCACGCCTCTTGGATGGGATCAATCTTTCCGCCGAGGAAGCCAATCTCACTGGCGAATCCGTCCCAATAAGCAAGCACGCTGAAAAGGTGCTTGATGCGGAAGATATCCCCCTCGGCGATCGCATCAACATGATTTACGCCACCACCGCCATCACCCGCGGTCGCGGTACTGCTATCGTTACGAGCATCGGAATGGATACCGAGGTCGGAAAGATCGCAGCTATGCTGCGGACCAAGAAGACCGTCGACGCCGATACTCCATTTTCCCAGCGAGCCGCTATCTGGCTCAAGAGCAGGGTCCGAACCGTCCTCGGTTTCGACGGCACTCCCCTTCAGACCAAGCTGAGCATTTTCGCTCTTATGCTCTTCGCCTTTGCTATTCTCCTGGTTCTCATTGTTTTCGCCACCGCCAAGTTCGATGTGCAGGGCCAGACCCTGCTTTACGGCATTTGTGTTGGTGTTGCGGTGATTCCAGAATCTCTGATTGCTGTGCTTACCCTCACCTTTACCGTTGCCGCCCGTGCCATGAGTCGGGGCAATGTCATTGTCCGCAACAAGGCTGCTCTGCAAGCTGTTGGTGGCGTGACGAATATCTGCTCCGATAAGACTGGTACATTGACCCAGGGTAGGATGGTTATGCGCAAGGTTTGGCTCCCCGACGATACGCAGGTCTTGGTCAAGGACACGACCGACCCATTTGACCCATTCAGTGGCAAGGTCAGCTGGATGACTGGCAGTGGCAACTCGAGCTCCAGGTCTACTCCTACCATTGAGAAGTCTCCTGAGCTGCCCGGCTCGTCCGCCTTCAATGCCTTCCTAGATGTCATTGCCCTTTGCAACAACGCAACCGTCTCCGATGGCAAAAATGCCGCCGATGACAGCGCTTCCGTGACAACGGCAACGCTGCCCACGTCTTGGGTTGCCGTGGGTGAGCCTACGGAAATCGCCCTTCAAGTTTTTGCTACTCGATTCGGTCGTGGTAAGCCCGAGCTGCTCCACAGCAGAGTCGGGCGATTGATCACCGAGTTCCCATTCGACTCTTCGTGCAAGCGAATGAGTGTCATTTACGAGCACCCATCCAATGGCCGACGTATGTACGCCAAGGGTGCTCCCGAAGCCATCCTGCCACTTCTTTCGGAAACGGAAGATGTCAAGGCTCTCGTCGCCGCAAAGGCTGATGAGCTGGCCTCGGAGGGATACCGAGTCCTCTGCGTCGCGCATAAGTCGATCGAAGTCAGTGATTCTGTCGACGAGAGAGCGGACGCCGAGCGAAACCTCGAGTTGCTCGGCCTTGCTGGACTCTACGATCCCCCCCGACTCGAGACCGCCGGTGCTGTCAAGCAGTGCAAGACAGCTGGCGTTTCGGTTCACATGGTAACTGGTGACCACATCAAGACGGCTACGTCTATAGCTTATGAAGTAGGCATCCTTTCGCAGGATCTACCTCCGGCTGAAGTGAAATCTCTCGTTATGCAAGCTTCTGAATTCGATAAACTCAGCGATGCGGATATCGATGCCATGAAGTCGCTTCCACTGGTAATTGCCCGATGCAGCCCCATGACAAAGGTTAGAATGATTGAAGCCATGCGCCGACGCAAGGCTTTCTGTGTCATGACGGGCGACGGTGTCAACGACTCTCCTGCCCTCAAGCAAGCTGATATTGGTATTGCAATGGGTCTTCGGGGAAGCGATGTTGCCAAGGAAGCTGCCGACATGGTTCTCACGGATGATAACTTTGCCTCCATCGTCACAGCGATCAAGGAGGGACGAAGGCTTTTCGACAACGTCCAGAAGGTAAGTTGCCCCATCATGCAGATGCTTCCGAAAAGTTATCTTCAGACTAACATGGGTTCAAACAGTTCCTGCTCCATCTTTTAATCTCCAACATTGCCCAAGTCATTCTTCTTCTCATCGGTCTCTCATTCAAGGATAAGTCTGGAGAATCTGTTTTCCCGCTTTCACCGCTTGAGATCCTCTGGGCCAATCTTATCACTTCATCCTTCCTTGCCGTTGGTCTTGGTATGGAACAAGCTCAGCCTGATTTACTCGAGCGGCCACCATCCCACAGCCGCGGCGGGGTCTTTACGGTTGACCTAATCCGCGACAAGATGATTTACGGTTTCTACATGGGTGCTCTCTGCTTGGCTGCGTTTACCTCGGTTGCTTACGGCGTGGCGGGTCCTGATCATCTCGGCCATGGCTGTAACGATGGATACAACGACAGCTGTAAGGTTGTCTTCCGCGCCCGCTCGACGACCTATGCAACGCTGAGCTTCCTCCTTCTGGTCACCGCCTGGGAGGCCAAGCACTTTACTCGCAGCTTGTTCGCCATGAATCCGGAGCTTTGGAGCGGTCCTACATCGTTCTTCAAGACCGTCTGGATGAACCGAACTCTGTTCTGGGCCGTCGTCGCCGGCTTCCTCACCACATTTCCCGTCATTTACATCCCCGTCGTCAACAGACTGGTCTTCAAGCACGATATGATTACCTGGGAGTGGGGTATCGTTGTGGCCTGCTTGGTCACGTACCTCGCGCTCGTGGAGGTTTGGAAGGCAACCAAGCGAAGACTTGGCCTCGGAGTCCCTGATCGTGCGACCTCTGTTGCCACTCCTCAGGTTTAAAGTCCGAAGTACCTTGCCCCTCAGAGCGACCTGGTGCCATGGTGACGGTGGTTCTTAGGACGCGAGGGGAGTTTCACTCATTATGATCATTCGTTTTTTCAAGTTTGATTCCTGCTCCTGTTGAAACGGTTCAATGGCGTCTTTCACATCCACAGATTGACAATGGGACCCGGACTTGGTGTGCATGTTGAAAAGAAGTCCGAACTGTGTCCCCCGACTTCCCCCCCCCCCCCCCCCCCCCCCCCCCAAAAAAAAAAAAATTGTTCCGTTCTTATCTGTCTCCTTGGCGTACAATGGCCATTCGAGTGCCGAGCCGGCCGGATCTCGCCGGCCCACTTGAACATTCGCCGTGTTGGCATCTTTGATTGCTCTTTCTTTTAGGCACTAGTTTCTACTTGACAATGAAAAGAGACAAGCCTTTTGCTGCTCAACTCTCCACCGACCTGGTGCGACTTGATTGATTGACTCGACCCCGACGGGAGTAGTCGCTAATCCCACTGATGAATGACTGGCTCCACTCCGAACCACTATGTGTAATTAAATTCCCCGTAATCCGTATCGCCGTTGTAGGATCAACCAACGTGGACATGTTCGATGTTCCTGTTGGTTTCGTATCGTATCAAACTATCAAATAAGTGGTGGAAAGAACCATGTCTGTCACCTTGTCCCAAGACACGAAATCCCATTAGTGTCATTAATCCATGGCGGAAAGACAAGAGAGCTTCAAACCAAGGCGAGAAAACCGAATTGACATAAGAAACCAGGCGCTATCTAAAACTCCAATCCCCATGTCATTGCTGAGCCGACATGGAGTGACTGATCTGTAGGATGGGCGTCTGCATTGCTCGGGCATGGAGAGTTCGCTTCCGTCTCACTTTTCTTCCTCTTCTTCATCTTCTTTCTCAAATTTATTTATTTATCTTCATATTTATTAAAACTGCTTTTTCTCCTTTTCTTCTTTTCCTCATGGACCACATATTCTTCCACCTTCCTCCCCCCCAAATCAGTCATTTTTCAACCACCCCAATTTAACTTCCAGACACATATTCTCCGAGCTTTCAGACTGCAATGTTGGAAAATAATATACGAGGATTGAAGGAGGAAAATTTTCTATGTACGTTTTGTGTCCTACATTGGAGCCATTTTAAATAAAAGGAAAAAGAATCATTTATATACATGAAAAATGTTCGCGTCCAAGAACGGTCCTCTAATGTGCAAAATGTTTCGATGAATACGAAGCTCAGGGTTCACGCTCCTCTCCTCGTCACAGTACTCTTTCCATTGCTCTTTTCTTTCCAAGATAGGGACTCAGAAAAGGGACGGGATGAACAACTTGAAGAATAGAAGGCAGCGCGAAAGAGGAAGGAAAAACCGTGGGAATAGATCCGGGTCGTTAGACGGCGTGGGTGGAGCCGATGGGACCGAAGCGGATATTGGACCAGATGACCTGGGTAGAGCCGTACTGCTCGATAACCTCGGCAGGGACACCGGAGTCCTGGGGGCAGGAGCCACGGGCGGCGCCGGGTTGGCCCTCCTTCTCGGGGGGATAGGTGGAGTCGAGCCAAAGCATGTTGGCGTAGTGCTAAGCATCCCCTCTCGTTAGCGAATCTATCCCTTTTTTCATTTCTTTTTGGAGCTACGGGGGAGGAGAGAGCCCCGGCGAGAAAAGGGGAACGGAGAAAGGGAGGAGGTAAAAACCTACGTCGCTCCAGATGGACATGACGAGGACCATAGGAATGGCGAGGGCCTCATCGAGCTGGCTGTATCCGCCGACCTCGTTGAACCGATCGCGGTCATTAAAGGCGATGGGGGCGGCCGTGCACATCTCGGAGGTGATCTTGTTGGAGTCGGAGGGGATGCCCTCGATGTTGGGGGCGGGGACCTCGATGGTCTTGCCGTCCTGGATGAAGACTTGGTACATGGCGCCGGGCTCGAAGCGGGTGATGACGCTACGGATTTTCCAATTGTGTTAGGGTTCTTACACCACACGGCGAACGGAGAGTGGGAATAGAAGAGAGAAAAGGGTACTTACGTGAAGGGCTTAGTGGTGTCGACGGTCTTGCCCTTGCCGTAGAAGTCGGTGTTGCCCAACCGGTACGGGTTGTAGTCGCAGCCGTTTGCATCGCAACCACCGTTGAAACGGTCCTCGGAGTAGGTACCACCGCAGGTGTCGTCCTTGCAGACGTGGTAGTTGTTATTCTCGCAGGCGTGAGGAGTGAGGGCGTACGAGTAGGCGTTGGACTCCCTATTTCGAGTGGGTTAGCGATTTCGTATTTGGGGCAAAGCGAAGATAGGAACACATACCAGACGTCGATCTCGGCGCAGCAGGATCCCATGGATCCAACACCGGCCTGGTCATCGGTATCAGAAGCCTCCCATCCCTCGATGTTACCCTATTCATAATTGAGTTAGTCACAGCTGGCTACCTTAACAGGAGACCTTTTGTTTATCTGGAACGAACCTTTCCATTGATGAACTTGAGGTCACGAGCGCACTGAGCATCACAGTACCCGACACCATACTTGGCACCAGCAGCGTTGTTCGACTCGTCAGAGAGACCACCATCTTCCTTCATGGGCACAAAGTAGAGGGCAGAGTTCATGCCGCACTCAACCTGCGAAAGATCGACATCGAAAGCAAACTCATTATTCATGAGCGTGAACATGGCATACTTAGAGTCGCTAGCCATAAGATAGACACGCGAGCCGACATTGGCACCGTACTCATGCTCAGTGACGAACTTGAGGGTAAGGGCATCGCCGCTAGTGGTGATACCGTAGGTACCAGAGTAGTCGGCACCCTCAACAGCGCAGTTCTTAGCGCAGTCGTCAGCGTTGGAACAAAGGTCCGTCCACGTGTTGCCGTCGTAGCAGTTCTCGTAGCCGTCTACGCCGTGGACCCAGCGCCAGTTGGCGTCGATGACGACCTCGCCGTTAACGTTGGAGCAGCTGCCGGGGGCGGTACATTTTTGCCAGGTGAGCTTGGGGTGGCTTTCGGATTGCTCGGTGCCGACCTGTTGGGCTAGGGCCGTGGTCAGGAGGGCGAGGCCGGAGGCAAGGACACGCTTCATTTTGACGGTATGTGTGTGGAATTCGTTGAGAAAAAAGAATGTGGGGAGGAATCCGAGACTACTCAGTGAGGAGGAAGGGACCTAGCGACGGGAAGCCTATGTGGAGAGAAGGGTTGGATTGGGTACAGATGAGGAGGAGAAAGTAGGTTGGACGGGAGGATCACGATATCTTATATCTCTGATGGGCTAGGAAGGGATAGGAAGAGATCTTTCCCTAAGTCATCTCCCATTTGCCTGCATGGCAGTAACTAAATCCGGGGGGCCATATTGCCTTCCGACAGAGTAGATAGGCACATGATAGGAATCTTTCACAGAGGTTCGACATTAACAAGCTAAGAATGCAGTTCCTTCCCGAGATGTGATGCGTGGGACCTGTAATCGGAATGCCACCGCATAGAGGAGCCTCGAGACCTGGGTAATTAACACTCATCTATCGCACAAGAAGTCCTAGATGAAGCAGGGCGGTGACCATGGGCCAGCATCCCACATGGACTATGCTGAAGTTGGAAAGAGCTTGTTGATGAAAGACGGATCATCTAACCCGTGAGCCGTCGGACGGAGCGGTATCTCCATAAGTTGCAAAGGGGATAAGCAGCTTCTAAAGTAAAGTGGATCCGCCATGAGGATAGATAGTGAGGATCAGATCGAGAGAGAGAGATTGTGGGTAGGCAGTTAGGGAATCGGGATGTTGTATGAGAGTAAGTGGCAAGCCCTCCGCACAGGAATGGCGGTAGCGCCGTGGAAGGGGACTTTCATTCTCCGTGTAGTGTCCCGAGATGATACGGGTGGAGAATGCGGCTCGTAAACAACTATGCGGAGATGGCGTGGACGGACAAGTAGAGAGAGGAAAGGGAGTGGAAGTGTTGTGAGCCGCGGGATTTGGACCGCATTGGTCACATCGGGCAAAGTAAATAAAAATAAGGAGAAAACAATAATAAAGAAGACCAAAGAGGACAAGGGGCGTGGCGGGGACATTGTGATCACCCCCGAAGGTTGTTGTTTATCTCGATCCATGGATCGTTATCCTCGACCAGCGTTTGCAGTAGAGACTAGCTAAGCGAGGCATGTGGTGCAGGTTGAGTGATTGAGACATGTGGCGCCAAGAGACGGGAGTAGAGTAGAGTGACATTAGAGACCTTGGAAGAAGAGCAGCCCGGGCGGGTTCGGTTGCTGTTCGGGGGCCGGCCATGGTCATCAGGTCCCCTCTGGGATGGGTTGATAAGAATGGTCCGGTTAGATTGACCTTCCGTGGATGGCTTTGGTAACCCCATGAAGAAAAACAAATCTCCCCAGTCGGGAGAGTTGCTCGATTAGACGAGACCTGAATGCGCCAAGCCAAACGACCATTTGGGGCCGTGTCTGGCATTTACTGACTCTGGGCGTGGGTCACTGAACCCTCTGGTCCTTCGCGGGAGAGGTAGGTAAAACCCATGAGGAATTGAATCGGGGGTTGGTTGGCCGTGAGGGAGGAAGGCCAATGGACAGTTGATGTCTCTCCTAATTCCAGTGGAGCATCCTGGAGCACTCGATCTTCAAAGACTGCTTTGGTTCGCGGCGGAACTTCACGACGTAACCCTTCGATAGCCTTGGACCTGAGCCAAACCAGTCAAGATAAAAGGTGCCTTGCTCTCATTCTAAAACGCCACTCGCTGGCCCACGGCGCTAGCATTCTCCAGACCTCTCGACTGTCGAGAGATGGCTTCTTACCCTGGCCAAGGAGCCATCCGTGGAATCTCTCGATTGGTTGTGCTCGGTCTGCCACTGGAGCGAGTGCAAGGATGAGCTCTGCCACGAGCGACTTTCTTTTGCTCTAGCGGATATAGAATCTTGGTTTTGCGAGGTCCACCAAGAGACGGGATGAAATTTCGGGATAAAAGCGGGCTGAGACCCATCAACAGTGTCAATGCAGTGCATTTGCTTGGTAGATGTGAGACGGCCTGGCTGTTTGGTGGCTTATTCGGCTGATAGGGGTGCCCGAAACGCTCCGGCAAGGAACCCAATCCTCAATCCCTTCAGCCAGACGAACGGGAAGGGCAAGCAAGCAAGTAAGCAAGCTATCACCACAAGTCGTCGTTAAACTGCGGCTAAACCGCCAATTAGCATGGTATCGTGAGGCAACCTTGGGACTTTGGAAGGGTCAGATGGATTGCGAATGCTAGGCCTGAGTCGCTCTTTGCTTCCCTCCGGACTGCGCTCGCCCTTGGTTCTGCGCGGAGTTGCTCTTCTAGGGCTAAGGTAGGGAGGCAATCCCTTCCCTTGAGACATCTTAGCCTGGCTTGGCAGGTTCGTGGGGGTTTTTCTCGTCTGGGGTGCGTCGCTGCGGAATGCGCTGGTGGGGCGCTTGAAGGGGGCTGAGCGAAATCCGGTCGACAAAGAGTGGGAAGAAGAAAAGGAATTTCCATGCGTTGAAAGTGAAAACGCTGGGCGCCAAGCCAGTCTTTATTGTTTTCAGGATTTTTCCTCTGAAGCACGGAAAAAGGATGAAGCAAATGCGGTGTCTCTCTGTCTCCGTGTCCCCGTGGCAGCTTCCTGCGTACTTTTAATTTCCTCCTCTTGATCTTTCCGGCTGGAGCAGCTTCAATATCGAAGCGTGTCATGCTGCAAATTGTTCAAATTTACGGTCATCTCCTGGCGACCCCTCGACCTTTCGGTTCGTCCTTGTTTAGTACCCTCGCAATAATTAATATGGCGGCTCTAGATCTAGCAACGGAACAGCTCGCCTCAAGCACTTGAGCCCCATAGCCCCATAACTTATAGGCATTAATGCCGTATTTACCAGCAGCCTGACGGTGCCCGTCGATCTGGCTCGGCTGGCGGTTTCACCTACATGAGGGACTCCGACCCCAGAAGGATTAATTGATAAACACTCCTTGACAAGTAGTAATAGTTCACGGAGGATGGAAAATTAAAACGACGTGGGATTGAGAGATGAACTTTGCGTGCTTGTCTTATTCACCCTAGTCCAACGTCTGGGGTCATTGGGTTCACCTTGCCTCGGCAGATTTGTTCGCCGGAATTTCCACTCTTGACACGAAATCTTAGCCCCAAACTGACCAAGTCGGACGCTCACGCAAAGACAAACCACCCAATAAGATGGGAAATGAAGCATGTGTACTTGTAAAGTGTTTTCTGAGTGTCATACTACTATCAAAGTCAAATATATCCGTGTGAACGCCGCATTGGTATAGCAGTTCCCAATGAATCTTCACTCTGGCAAGTTAAGACAAGATGACACAAGCTGGAAAGATCAAGAATGCCCGAACGTGCTATGGATCCAATCAGGCATCAATAGAATCGGACAGCAACAGGCTCAAGATTTAGTCAGGTTCGACTAGCTGTTGCTATGCTCAGCAGCGTTCTGGATATCCGCTTCCAAGATAAAAAACCCTAAATCAGCCAGATCGTCCTCCGTGAACAAATCAGTAAAATCCGTGTGGGTAAGTGGGTCTGCGTCATCTGGAGCTTGGTGATCGGGAGGTCCTTGTCCCTCAGAGCCAATAATCTGCCAAGGGGAACTTGATCCTGCTAGTGGTGCTTCTGTTGTAGCATTGATGTCAAGTTGAGGACCCTGCCATTCAAGACTGTGCCCGACTCCGAAGCCAGTGGAGGAACAGTAGTTTTCTTGCGAGCTGCTCCTGGCGGCCGGTTCGCCTCGAGATAGAGGATCAGGGCTCGGCGTTGACCGCCGCCTAGCATCCGCCGAGTCCTGGCTCATTTCAGCGATACTCGATGAGGCGGAGTTTTCCTCAGAATTGCACCCACTCCGCCCCCGATCTAGCCGTCTTCGCTGAAGATACTCTTGAAACGCAATAGCCTGTTCCTCCGTCACAATGATAGACACCTGCTCTCTTGTTTGAGAGTCTAAATCCAGGTTGTCGAGGCGTCGTCGGACCCGCCGGTGTGTTGCGTGCTGGAGGTGTTGTTGGCATTCGAGGATAGCTTCAAAGGTGTCGTCCTGGATATAGTCTACACATGGACGGGAATAGTCAGTGTTCCGTGGTTGTTGGGACATTGAAGATGTGACCTTACATGGCGACGGTATCAGATTCTCATGCACATCGGGGAAGAGTATCGAGAACACCTTCTTCCACTTCCCTTCCTCGCAAAGTCCTTGGCTTTTCCGACAACGCAATTGTGTCTCTTGTTCCTTTGAGCAACCCTCAAAGGTTCTCGGCGGGTTAAGAGGACATGGCGTGGAACCAAATTGTCTGAGGTGATCACTCAGGCCGGATTGGGATGGAAAGGTGACAAGACAGCGTGGGCAGTGGACCGGGATTGTATGATTGCGATAAATATGCTCCCTGGAGATAGATGACTAGTTAGTTGAGGGACAGCAATAGACGACAAGCAATTCGTGTGAAGTACTCACTTCACGCGATGCACTGTTTTCCAACCCGGACCGCGACATGGCCGCCAGTCTTTGTACCTCTCTCTATCCTTTTTGTAGAACGGACAGGCAAATCGCCGAGAAACTTCGCCCATTTCCAAACAAATCAGCGTCCCGTCGTTCTTTTGACCATCTCGACTGTCATTTTCCTCGTTTCCATTATCATCTCCGTACCCGTTTCCTCTGGTCCGTTTATTGTGCCCTGGGCTTTGTCTTTCACCCGAAGATTGAGCTCCAAGTCTAGCAGATTGAGTAGTTGAGGAAGGCGGATTTTTTTCTTTCCCTTTCCCTTTCCCTTTCCCACTTGTAGCCGCTCTATGCCCTTGGTGGCTGTCCCGCATTACGAAATCCGTGATAACATTGACGTTTTGTAATAAGGCGTTGGAATGTAGCTCTCTCAAGGCCCCGACAATGGGATCGCCTAGCAATAGGGACTCAGGAAGGGACTCTTCGTCTTCAGGGTCGGAAGTACTTCCATCCGACTCTGTTGGCTGAGAGCAGATTTGTGGTGAGGACTTTTGTGGGTCTTCCTCTCTCTTCAAGTCGAACGGCGTCGCCGGTGATCGGGACTCTAGCCCTGAGAAATCGGAGTCATCACGATGGAAACCTACACATAGTCAGTAATGTCTTGACAAGTGTTGCTCCTTGTTGGTCCGTATTATACCGTGATATGGAAAATTTGTGATAGCAAGTTCTCGGTTGGTTCGCGGCTTAGGAGGCGGCCCAGTGGTGTCCACGGTACTTAGACTGCTCGGCGATGATAGACCAGCTTGCGGTCGTGTTCGAGACGGCAGAGAGCCTTTCGGGAAGTCGGGTTTTGTGCAAGGGTTATTGTCGGCCTCTCCTTGCTTCTTTTCGGGGCCCACCATGTCTTTATTCAAAAGACGCCACTGTTCGTCCACTGCAAGAGCCGTTGGAGGTAGATAGTCCACACCACGGACTCTATTCCAGTGATCAGTCGTCATATCTATCATCTGGCGCTCGACAGCGGCAACTTCTCGTCGCACCCTTTCGATTGAGGACGCGCGATTCCCTTCCCTCTCCCATCTAGCGATATCACGGTACATTTTATCGCGACGTCGCTTTTTCTTTTCAATGTCATGGCATAGCCTGCACTTGTTGGGTTCGTCGAAAACGGAGTGAACAAGTTTAAGACCACATGTTTCTCCCTTCCGATACTCCTTCGGGCAGTGTTGGCGAAAGTGACTCCATCGCCAGTAGCCACAAGACCACCGCTTCTGGTCAAAATAGCACATCGTGACCAGACTTGACACCTCTTCGAGTTGATAATGTACTGTATATCGACGAGGGAGGGAGTTGCACCGAGAAAATTTCAAAGAAATTCCGGTGCTTGGTGGAAGATATTTGTATAGCTGTACCAGGCTGCGGACTCCAAGTATTGCGCAGCTGCGCAATATGCGCCAGAAGGAAACTTCCGAGTTGAGCATACTCTAGCCCAGGCTTTAACTATCTCAAGGTAGAGTGGCTTCTGCAGCTGTTGCTGCCTGTGGACAGGTGACACGGGCTACGTTATTATAATCCTAATACTAGAGACACTCTTCCTCTTCATCGCTTCACATCAATGATATGCTGTATTCGTCTTGTCGTAAGATAACTTATAAGAACCCTGCTAGAACGCGACCCCTAACAACCCCGCAGCCGAGCAACGCAACCCAAGGCTGACTGTGTATACCCAACCTTTTGTAGGTGTGCATAAGCCAGATGTTGCCCAACATCGAGAAATGGTCCAATGGCCTAGGAATGGTCGTGATGGCTTCGCAGGACGTCGGGGACTTAATGGCCCTTAGGAATCTGCATCCCCCAGCGCCACAGGCAAGGGAGACAGTAGTAATGTAAAAAGAGAAGCATGATATTGAAAAGAAGAATAAAAGAATGACGCATGCCAAACAACTCTCGAAATTAGGGGAAACGACTGATCACCTAGAGTCGAATGCGCTCCCCTTCGTACTGAGAGCAAAACTGTCCAACTGCCTAAGTCCCCCCTCTCCCATGATCGTGGGAACCCTTCTGCCTTTATATGCGTGTAAGTGAGGCTCGGTGTGTCGTTTCCCTGGCTTCGCTGTGGCTGCGGCCTTTCCCATGCGGCTCCTTGAGATGCCGATTGCACTCTGCACCCAAACGGCGAGAGAACCCTTTCTCAATCACTTTGGGAATCTGGCTCAAGGAGCTCCCACTGGCTGAGCTCCGAATATTCTTCATCCACTACCATATCATCACTCTCCGCCGCTCCACAGATGGCAGCGATGCGAAGGAGGTCCCAAGAGAGCTGCAAGAGCTCGAAGCTTGGGAGATTCTCCGGGTCGTCAGTCTTAAGGACAAATGTCTGGCCTGTTTCAATTCGGAGTCCGCTCTCTCTGCGAGCAAGTCCTTCTTCTCCCCAAGCCGTGTTATCCGAAAGGCCTGCAGTAGCCAGGATATTGTCCACGGAGATCGCTTGGCCAGGTTCATGTAGGCATGTGTCAGGCCTCAGAGCATTTTTCTTAAGCCAATGGAACTGGATGACAATGGAGCCAGTTTCGTCTTTGCGCAGTGGCTTAAGCGCCAGTCGACAGTGGTCAAACCACCAGCGGACTTGGCGGTTGAGGGAAACGAGGTTTTTTGGGGACTCAGTCACGTTCCAGTTTCTGAATAACGTAGTCCATGTCTGTACCATGTCTTCTGGCCAGAACATGAACAGTATGTTTTCCATCGCTCCGAAGTTAGCATTGGCCGCAGTCGCGAACGGGAAGATATGGGCTGCTTCGGGGTCTTGCACGCCGGTCAGGACACACTTTCGATTGTCCCGGTCCTTACACTAGACGGGAATGTTATTTTATACCTGGCGGCGGCGCCTAGTAGTGGCGGTGTGATGAAAACATACTCTTTCGGCAGCTTCCTGGCTTCGTGTCCTGTGACTTGATCCCGGCGAGGATGAGCTTGATCGAGATCCGCTTCTGGGAACAACTATAGTTGAAGAAAGTCAGACGTCTTTGAACGATGGAACCTGGTTTGTCGACGAATTGAACAGACATACAATCCCTAACTGCCCGCCTGGCCCAACGATGGAATAAATCGACTCGACTAAGAATCTGGGCCGCTGGACTGCGAGTTCCAAGACCAAAGCATGCCCCTCTAATTTGCTCTAGCTGGGCCTTTATATGATCAAGTGGAGCAATCATATAAATGGCGAACATAGCCGCATCTAGCCCCACGCAATCCTGGGCTTGCGCGTTCTCATTGATAAACCGGAGAAAGTCAGATAGAAGCTCGCGTCGGACTTCAAGGTCGGTGATATAGTCCAGGACGGGCTCAGTCTGAGCTTCACCTGAGAGCATGGCCCGTAGTGAGTCACCGCTTCTCAGGTAAAGCCCGCGTAATCTTTGACAAGCCTCATCCCCAAGGACGGAGTCAAGCGACTCTCCTCCTGGAATAGCCGAGAACGTATGCATCTCTGAGCTGCAAAACGGGGACTATTAGTATGACCGAAATTGTGGGAAGCTAATAGGATGGGGACAAACTCTTGATGAGACATGATCGAAGTTGGTTGGCGGGAATTGTTAGAAGAAATGACTCTAGGTCCACTCTGGAAGAGGGTGAGGGTGATGGGGAGAGCTTCGAGAGAGGCCTTTAGACTCTGCTATGAAACTGCTACTGATTATAAGTAGAGAGGAGGTGCAAACCTGGGGAGGATGAAACTAAGGAAGGCGGAGACAAGGAGGTGCACCTGATAAGGAAGGTTCTGGAAAAAAACTACACAACGGAAGGCGTAAACGTGGGAAGGCAAACACACGGCAGAAGGCCCAAACAAGAAGAGGCTGCAGTAAATTTGGTTTTTTTTTTTTGGGGGGGGGGGGGAGGGAGTCCTCATCTCAGGATACAGACAGACACGCACGAAAGCAAATAAAGGAAAGAGAAGTTTCCAGACACTCTAGTAACCACCACAGCTGGAATTAAAGTATAGACGACCCAACTTCATGGGATAGAGAGGAGGCGAGGTGTGCCTCGGAAGATATAATAAAATTAGTATGATGTGAGCAGAAAACTACATGTCTTGATACTTTGCAAATTCAAATTAGGTTTAACCTTCCAATATGTGAAGACACAATAAATTATCCTACAACTTAGTAAGGCATTCGATCAAATAATCTTGATGGTTCTCAAGGTTTCATTAGCATACTTGATATTTTAGGGAAGTATGAAGAGGCTGCACTTGGCACACAATGCATTATCCCCTTAGATCCTGTGATTTGTTGGACTGATAGTCACTATATAATATTCTTTCAGTCTATCTATTATTCTATTGTCTCTGGCAGAGATATAATGACGTGGAGGATTTCAATGCCAAAGGCGTCTTGTGGAGAGGGTAATGGATGCAGGGGAGTGTGTAGAATCTATGCTACCACCGCTCCGTGGACTTTGAAAGGAAGTATGACTGGCAGATCACCATGGAGCCGTCAAGCCAGTCGAGACTATCTAGAATTTACTGATTGGAAACGGCGAGACCGTCAAGATCTTTACTTTCTCTCGAGACACCGAGAGAGACACCACTCTCCCTCGCGCAACTGGAGTAACGTCTGTCTCTCCAGAAATATACCGCGAGTGGCTTCCCGAGTCCCTCGAATACCATGAGAGCAAGGTATAGTGATCGAATGGAATCACATGCTTTCTTGGTATTCAGCCGTGGGTCCTCGAGTGGCTCTCATGCTGTTTTGCGAGGGCGAGAGCGGACCGACCCAAGAACTCGAGAGACTAGAGGAACCTGGCCTTGCCGAGGAGGAGATGGGTTATATTTTAGGGCCTAATATAAAGGGAAGGTGTACCTGAAGGGCGCGTAGACCGGCAAGGTGGATTACTAGCTAATAAAATTGGCCGAATGGTCTTTCCATCTCTTGATGCTAGTGAGGCCTTCGTAATTGCCTAGTTCGAATTTCGAAGCATGTGAAGTGCACTGCGCACTCTAAAACTATTTCTTCTTCTTCTCCTCCTCTGGCACCCATCCCGATCTATCCTCAATCTCTCCGACTCTTCGACATTCGCCATCAAAATCATCCATTCTGATCACAATTCCATCGAAACCAATACCTCTACATTTCTACGGAATCATGTCGCACCATCAAGCAGGTGAGGGCAGCCTCCCAACGCCCCCTTCGTCGGAAAACTCTCGTTCTCGGAGGTCACAGGCCTCGTCATCTGGAGGTAGTGCCCTCGGAACGTTTGGCATCTCGTCGGTTCGATTTCGCGTGGGCGCTCCCCCCCTCCGACCCCTTCCCTTGGAGACAACGTTCGACCGCCAGACGTCCGAGATAAACAAGGAATTCGGAATGTTCATGGTGACAGAGGCCGATCGAATACTGGAAAAGCACGGTATCGACCCAAACGACATAGAAGCCGATGTTGACATTGACTTCGTCGTACGCCATGTACCAGGAATGCCATCCACCTCTCAACCAACGCTCATGATCGAAGCACCATGGCGGGAAGACTCTGAAGACACCTGGCCCAGAGTGGTTCGCGAGTTGAAAGAGTCTATCGATAATCGTGTCCAAGCTTCCGGTTCTACTATCGATATCGCCGTGGAGATGTTGGCGCCCGAGTTAACCCGAGCCAAGTATCTCGACGTCGTGGAACACATCCCTCAGCTCAAGGAAGCTTGGCCTGATATTCAAGACCAGGTATATGAAATCCTAGAGTCGTTCGATTCAACAAGTGGGGATATAACGGCGATCGGACTTTTTCGCCTGGGCTATTCTGAGTATTCAAACAATAACCCGATCACCATCTACATCTCCATGGATTACAACTCGCCTGAAATCAGCTGGCCCCCGGTCATCCGTCAAATCGAAACATATCTCGAGGGCCTTGATCTCGGCAATCTTCGCCACAAGCTCACCGTCCATATGGAACATAATGTTGTGGAAGAATATGGATTCGAACTCCACGAGCCAATCGAACCCGCCGGATATCTGGTCATTGACGAAAACTACAAGACGACGGTCGATCTTGGAGACGACATTAGCGCTGCAACCTACCTTACCCGAAACGATGGTAAGGTGTGTAATCCCGCCTTGGGGACAGTGGGATGCTACCTGGAAATTCTCCCTCGCGATTCCTCTACATGGGAGCGTGTTGTCCTCACAAACTATCACGTGGTCAGGCCATGCTTCCAAGGATTTGAGATCGAGACCGCCCTTCCTAGCCAAAGACACCATGAGGGAGACTCCGAGGTCCCGGGCGGTGCTTCTGTCGACCAGCACGCTGCCTCTTCATCTATAGCAATCCCAGACGATGATTCCCAACTGTGGCATACGGATTGGCATGGCTTTGGTCCCGACATTGCGCCCCAGCCACTGCATATTGAGTCGCCGTCTCGACCAAAGCATAACGCGACTGTTCGTGCTTTGAAAAACGCAATGGAGAGTGATCTTCCGTTACCACCCGAACTCATAGGCCTCGACACGCAGCATGGGGGACCCGATCTTGACTTGGTCGATGCCGAGCTTAAATCTAAGCTGGAGTTCTTCGACACTGGAAAGCATGTCTTTGGTTCGCTTCTCTATGGGTCGGGGTTTAACCGCCGATCGCAACGTAACCAGCGCCTGGACTGGGCGCTGATTCGGGTTCCCGCAGAACGACAAGGAACGAATGACCTTCCCAGCTTACCATCTTGGAACAAGGCCTATGCAAGCCGGAACCACCATCCCGTACAAGTGGGGTGTTCTACAAATCTTCGGCCACAAGGACAAGCCTCTCTCTGGAAGATGGAAGTCGGGGATAAGGCGTTTAAGGTGGGCGCTCGTACGAAACAGACGGCCGGGCGTTACAGCGAGTTCAAATTGAAGTGTAAAATCAAACACGATCGGCATATGCAGACCATTCCGTCGTCAGAGTTTGTTTTTGTTGGCTACACCGGCTCATCGGGAAGCACATTTGCTGACTGTGGTGATTCTGGAGCAGTGGTTTTCAATGCTTTTGGCCAACTGATTGGGCTTGTGTTTACTGGACAGAGCCCTCAGAGGGCTAACAAAGGATACGCGCTTGTAACACCTATTGAGGATGTGTTTGAGGACATCAAAGCTATGTCTAAGGGGGAGATCGTGGATGTTCGGGTTGCGCAGTAGCAAGGAAGGGCTTAACCCATGGTTGGATGTTTATCTTGTTCATTACCACTCAATGCGGATGAGGTATTAACGACAATACGAGGAGTTTTATTGGCGATAAGGCATTCATTTGGAGCTCGGGATATGTTTCAAGATAGCTCTGGTGTAGTCCACCCAATCCACTCACTCGCTTTGAATTCCCAGTCAGCATCAGTAGCGAAGACATCTGTTTCGCCAGATCCTCCCAGGAGAAACTTGTTCATATATGCTGCCACAATTGAATTTTGGGAAGATGGCATCGAGCAGTGGCTCGTTCCATGCGCAACCTGAGAGATGCCAAAGTGATCCTTGACACCGAGGGCCTCGTACACGGTATGAGCAGCCATTGAACATCCATACGAGCTCCATGGGCCCAAGTAATCAATGCCACTATTCTCAATGACCAAGAGACCTCGGGGAGCGACCAGTGCCATGAGCTGGTGGTGATCATGGGGTAGTGTTGCGATCTCCTTGACATAGTTTTGGAATACGGGCGCGAACCATTGATCTCCAGTAACAATCTGAGGCCCGTCCTCGACATTGATACCCCGACTCTTCATGTCAGCCGCGAGACGCCAGCATCCAGGACCGCCAGAGCCACCCTCCTGCGGTAGCGTAAGCGCGATCCTGTCATCGAAAGCTCCGGCCATCAGGGCCCCCTTGCCGTTACGAGAGCAACCCGTGACGCCAATCTTTGTCGGGTCGATCTTGGTCGCCTCGGCACCTAGAGACTCGAGGGCGTCAAGGATCCGACTCACACCCCAAGCCCACGCCATGAGGCCACCGATCTCCGTCGGGTACAGCTGGTAGAAGAGGCCCCTGCCCCCTGGATCGGTGGCGGCGATTTGTTCGTTGTTGTATGTGATGACGGCGACGGTGTTGGGGATGGGGATGGAGGAGCCGCCGAGGGCGATCACGGCGGGGAAAGGGCCCGAGCCGGAGGGAAGTCGGATGGATGCCGAGAAGGAGATAGACTTGCCATTGTCGGTGATGTCGATCTTGATGGTATTGCCTGAGAGCGTGGCTTTGAACTCTTCGGGCTTGGGCGGCTTAGTTCCGAGCTCGTACTTCTCGATTACGGCGCGGATTTCGGCTCGACGACAAGCCCAGTCATCTTTCGTTTCAACAGCGGAGCCATCGAAGAATTCGAATGGATTGGGAAGTTGAGTGACGGGCTCAAATGCATCTGGGACTTGGACCGCCTCGCAGTTGGCTGGAGCAGCCTTCTCTTGGGCCAAGACTTGCGCCGGGCCTAGAGCAGCTAGAATATAGACGAGCTTCGAAAACATTTTTTTTGAAATTTTGCTTAAATTCAGAACGTTGAACAGGGTAGGATAGCAATCTTGGAGATCAGGACTTAGAGAAAACCGCCACTGAACTAGTCACAAGTGTGCGTCTATCATTCACCTGATTTTTAATCGTACCCCGGCACTCTTAGATCATGGACTGTATTATATTCGCGAACGTCCCGGGTTATTATAGTGAATTAATCTGTGGCGGATCCGGAAAATTTACTGTCGGTTAAGATGGTCCATCCGCACCACTGGGATCGAATCGATGACCGGACGAACCTGCGGGGGAACGGGGTAAAGGGGTCCGCGTGCTAGTTGCTGGGCATTCCGTCAGGTGGGATTAAGTGTAGAAATGAGGGCCTTTGAAGTTCTCGTGTTATGTTAGAGGCGGGGCTTGATGTGGTGTGTGAAGGCGAGCCACATTTTCACCTTTGCGGATGATATCGAGGAGATGCGGCAAGCATGCTTCAGGACTCATAGGCGCTCCAATACCGACTGGGTGTGTAAATTCGGATAAACGTCTGTACCAGGTGTAGGCTGATGTCAAAAGGAACGCGAAACTCATATCTGGTAAGACCATGAAGACTAACCCCATAAAGAACCCGCTCTTAGATCTGAAAAAGAAAGAAATAAGGGATACACCCTTGAGCTTGCCGGCGTGGAACAGCATATTTCCGTACCAAGTCACCTTTACACATATTATTCCAGCGCAAGAACCCGCAACACACGTCCATATTCACTCATGCGTATGATCCGCACCATCTCACTATAATAGAATGTTATCTAGTCAACGTAAAGATTGGTAGGTTAAAGCAGCTCGGATGGTACTTATCACATGGCAGGCACCTATAACTCCAACTCGAGTGCCCTGAAGCGATCTAGTGTTAGGCTGAGTTTGGATTGAAACATTAAATATGAAAGAAGATGCAATTGTATCAATAAACTATGACTTAATGCTCAGCATTAGTGACTCTATTAAAACATGCTATACAAGAAATGTGGGGAACCGTCGCGCCTATGCTATTGAAGAGCTTTCTCCTGCTTTTGCTCTCGGATCAAATGCCTTGGGCCGCCTTTCCACCCCGAGAAGCCCGTCCGTGTCCTCCTTGACGTAGGCGACAAACTTCTCCGTTACCTGTGCGCACCATGGGTCTATGTAGTTGGTCCAAGCAATAGCAGCCGCATAGTTGAGCGGGAGCCATATTACGAAGCAAATGAGAAGTCTTAGCCCACCCACAGGCTCGAAATTAGTCGGTACCGTCTCGCCTTCGTCATTAACGTGGTCGGCGGGGACGCTGAAGCCAAAAAGCATCCAGCATAGCACAGTTCGAAGGATTGGCCCGTGGAGGAGGTAGACGGCAAACGACTGCTTCCCTAACCACAAGAAATATTTGTTGCTCAGCAAGCTTTGCAGAGACAGACTAAAGTGTATGCCAAGGGAGATGAGGTGCAACCCCAACGTGGTGCTGAAGCGAGCGTAATCTGAGCCGGGGTAAAGAACAGAGTCGAGTAGGATACGCAGGTTATTGGACCATGCAGTCCACTCTGTATTATATTCGGGAAGAGAGGCGATGGCAAAGCCGGCAGCCATGCATAGGACGGAGATGACGCGGCAAAGGATGGGTCGAGCGGTAAGGATGTTATTTGCAAAGGGGAGGTTTTGAAAGTCGGCGAGGAAGACACCCCAGAAGAACTGCATACCAAAAGGGGCTGTTATCTCCTGTTAGCAGGGAACGCGAGCTCCGAGCGCCAGGTGCACACGACATACCATCGTTGTCCAGGTAATAATACCACCACATAGTCATGGCAGCCAGCATCCTGTATGCTGGGCGCAGACAAGTCGTAACTATCATGAAAATGTATACTAACATGCTGCCTTTAAGCAGCGGCATGAGGGTCCATTGATTTGGGTCGTAGGAGTTGTAGTTCTCCGTCCATGTCTTGATAATGTTGATCCAGAGATCGTTCAAACTCTGCCAGAGGGTGGGAAGACTCGGCGGGCTCGTTCGAACAGTCCAATCGCTCCCGGAGTGTTTCGCAACATTAAAGGCGTTGAACTGGGCGACGAGCCATATGAGCAACGTGGCGACGGTGGTGGGGAGAACGAAACGCGGAACCCTGCGGATTGCGGATTTCGACAGCGATTTGAGGGCCGCCTCCCAGTTCCCCTGTCGACTGAGGCGGATGGGCTTCAGGGCGCACACGTAGCCCGTGACCATGCTGAAGATGGCCACGCCGATGCGGCCCTGGATGAGCACGCGGATAAGCGGCCATTGTAGAAAGCGAGTCGCGCCATTCTCGGACACGGCGGGGTTAAAGAGATCGGTATCGAAGGCGCGCGCAACGTGGGTGATGACGACGGAAAGGGAAGCCAGTCCCCTCAGGCCCTGGGAGTGTCAAGTCAGCCAAAGCGGAGGAGAAAGGAAATAAACAAATAAAGAGTAAGAAAAAAGCAGTGCAACGGGAGAAAAGGTGCCCATACATCAACCCATTTTACGTTTCCGTCCCTTTTAACCGACATCCTGGGACCATTGCTTGCCGTTGGCAGAAGGGCCGCAGAATGAGAGTATGGCAGCAAACGAACCGCATTAAAAAAAGGATGAGGCTCACAAAGGTTAAACTAATGGTTCCAGGACATCGGTCTTCAAACAAGGCAATCAGGGGCGTGGACGAAAAATTGTTTAAATACCATCCTGGTCGATCCTCGTGTTCGGCGTCAAGATGCCAAGGCAGATAGCCAGGAGGCTGTGGCCCTACGGGTCTCAACGTCGCGTGCCGTCCGGTCCGGTGCAGCCATGATCGGCATCTTGGCGCCTTGCTCGTCCCTTGACGTCAGCAAGCAGGGACGGACAAGAGGACCTATCATCCTAGCCGCCTTGCCAACGTGCTCGAGAAGGGTGGGTCCTCACAGCGGTTCCCTGGCACAGCGCAATAGCTGCAAGGATTGTGATTCGAAAGATACGACTCCCTGCAGTAAAAGTAAAATCTTGGCGCGCGAAATCTTAGACAACATTTATATTAACTTGACACCTGACCTAGATCGTATCGAAGAAGCAGAAACCCTGTTGTGGACATACGTAAAGGGCTCCATACAAATTCTAGCGCCTGTGATTGAGTTTCTTTGCAATTTCGTCGCGTTCGTTGTCGGAAAGCCGTTTATCCGAGTCAGGACTCAGGAGAGTATTTCTTGGGATTATGCACCGCCGCGCGTCTAAGAGAATGGATCGCAAGGTTGGGAAGTTCTGCCGGGCCATTTGCTAGGAGACTGTTCATTTTCTCTTCAAGAAGTTATAGGTTCAAATGCGTTAGGGGATATCATGCAAGCCGGAGTGGTTGAAGAGCGCCAATGATTTGATGAGGATCTTCGTGTCTTGGGAATGTGGCCACGTACGCTTGGTATCCGCCAGTATTGGACCAACTCCCCCTGTACACTTCGCAAACAGTATCTGATAGAGCGCCAGTCCGACCTGCTCATCATTTGGTAGCACAACTTCCAACTCACAGTGCATCACCCCGTGATCATGCAAGACTGTTAGTGTGGGCATCTCGAGGACTATCATCGGAAAATCAATTCTTCACTGTTACCGCTGTATGGTCGATATCCGACACCTCGCCCAACAGTGCTGCCATACTCAGATTTGGGATAGGACTGCATGCTGATACACCACTTGAGTAGGGTCTGTTATTATAACGGGCACAGATGTGCTCCAGCGTATTCTTCATCCTATGATTTTGTAGTAAAAATGAGGCGGACCAACTCCCACACATCCCACCGGACGGATCAACTGATAATTCAAGTCTGGGTGATCCAGAGCCAATCAGGCCTCCTTTGTAAATTCTGCACACCTCAACGGCCGTAGGACTTTCGGAAAGCAGTTAAAAGGAGGGCGGATCTACCGCACCCGCTCAGTATACTACCGATCACATCGGATCAGAGATTTGCGCAACCATGCCCGGGAGTTCAAAGGGATCCTCCCGCCGCAGGAAAACCCGCCGGCCGAATATTTTGACGTTGTGGTTCATGTAAAATCGAAAGATGATAAACCATGGACAAGGTTCAGGATTCGCCGGGACAACCTCTATCTGGTTGAGGACAAGACCAGCGAGCACAGATGGTACATATTCCGAAACGGAGACCGTCACCTTTTCCCTGACCAAGCCGACACCTTGAACTTTGATGGCAGTTTCACAAGCTTGATGACTGTCGCACGTCGATGGCAGATATCCGATGTTCGCCTTGGGAAACAGGCATTGCGAAAGGCCGCGCTCACTCTATCTTCGTCCCCAGAGATCAACACTGACAATAAAGATATAGCCCAGGCGTTGATCCTTGTCGTTATAATGATCTGCGAAGCCATGAGGTTCCACCTCATCCGCGACCACATTGCTGAGTCCTACGACAGTGCGTGTAAGATGACGGAGCAAATGGTCGGTTGTTTGAAGAGCTGGCAGGATCTTTCCGTGGCTATCCAAAACGAAATGGACCCGGATAAATGGCGAACCCAGTTTGGGCATTTGGGCATAGAGAACGTTTCTGAAGCAACTCGCATGGCCGCTTTGATGTGGAATGCAAGGGGGCAGGTCTCTAAAGATTGAGAATGAGGCTGTACAGGATGTGGCAGGGAGGATGATTCGAATTTCAATCATGTTCATCTCTAAACTTTAGGCTCACAAGATTCATTAAATGATACGAAAGGCTATCTTCTGCCGCCTTTAGCCTCGGCTAGCTTTTCGAAGTGGCACTTCAACGCCTATGCTGCGACATAATACTCCCAAATTATAGAATGATTTGGGAGGTCAGACTATATCGTCTCCGGCAGCCGGGCCTGAGCAAAGGCCGAGATAAAACAGCACATGCATTGTCACTGCAGGTGTGAGCTGAAATGGAAAACCCCCATTACGTGGCAGCGAGGCGAGAACTCCAGATTGTTGCTGGCCAATTATTCTAGCAGCCCTGCCAGACTTCGAGTGCCACGTCACAGGCTTCCTCTCGAAATCTAGCTGCATTGACTCCTGGCTGGTCTATTCTACCGTTTGCTCGTAGTACTTATTCACGGATTCCATGGCGGTGGTGGCGGTGGCTGGAACGAAGACTGCTTAAAAATATCGAAAGGAATATATAAAACGACACACATCTAACTAAGCTCGTTCCCAGCCTTTCCCTCGCGACAACCAGCGGGTAGGAGAGAGAGAGTCAGAATCACAGCCAATAGTACATCCACCAAGGACAGCAATGACAAATGGCCATATCCGTAGTGTAAGTTCAATAAGGTGGTCAACAAAGACGGGGAGGGGATCGTCTTTCAAGAGCCGGGCGAGCGCAATGCCCAGTCCGGTTGTGGCCCCAACCGCGATATAGAAATTCATTGATACCACAGTTTGGGAAGCCTAATCGTCCATGTTAACGTCAATCCCGGCGAAGTCCTTTCTTTTGCAACCAAAGATATTGGAACTCTTAACTTACATCACGGTAAGGCTCATCGGTGCTCTTGTTAACCAAAAACACAACCGGATAAGCGACGACGATGGAGATCCAAGCTAGGACGGCAAAAACCAGTCCCAGGATTTCCCTCAAGTCCTCAGCGTCTTCCATTTTCACGTTGTCGTTGCTCCTCCAATCGGCAGATGCAACACAATCTATTCCGGGAATGAAGTGCGCCAAGGCAAGACCGGCAAGCACTATGCTGGTGCCCCAGGCCATGTAGCGGAGTAGCTGGTCCTGCGACTGGGTCTGGTACCTCGTGGAACGCTTGATGCACATCGCAAGCTCTACTAGGACGGAGACGAAAGTCGCCACCGCAAATTCGAAGACGAACGTGGAGATTAGCTCCACTGCGTAATCGGCTTGATGGATGCCTTCCGCCCTGGAAGCGTAATATGCGCCTAATTTAGTCGCCAGGGAAGCAAGAACAAGAGTCAACGCACTAAAGAAATAAGAGTTAGGAGGGAGCAACGCGCAGAGAGCTAGGTCGTGTCAGAGAAACACACAATATCCAAAACAGGCCGACGGCCTTCATCAGTGCCTTTGCTGGCCTAAGCTGTGCGTTCTGGGGAGGCGTCCGCATGGCCGACACCACCACTGCGACGAGCCATATTATCGTTAAGAGGAGTAAAATGGCCTCTGCCCAAATAACCGCATCTGGCCCAGCTCGGCTCCTGATCCGCCGTCGAAACAAAGCCTTTTCCGACGCCAGGTTTCCGTCCATCAGGTGCCGCTCCATAAAACGCGGTTGGTGGTCGTAGAACGAGCGTAGGTCGTGAGCTGGACACGTTCAGCGTGTAGGTATGGATGGGTCGAATTTTCCGTCGGGGAGAATGAGGGATTCTGCGAGACAGTTGAATAAAATGTAAAAGGAGATGGGCGATGATCTTAAATCGCGTGATCGCGAACCAGTGAAGATTATCTTGGAACTCAGCCCCCGCGACAAGCCAGGGGTTGCTTGATTTAATCCAGTTCGCATCCTGCTGTGCCACAGGCGCAGCTGTCAGGGTCGGAGCGATGGTACTCCGTTTCTTGGCGGTTGAACAAGGATCACGGCCGAGCCAGCCAACGGCTGACATTATTTTTGAGTTACTTGGTACATATCCACATAAGCGAGAAAGCGGTGAGGCACGGCAGAAACGAGTAAAATTAGGCGCTATCGTCGGGTAAACAAGTCCACTGGCACTGGCAATGCGACTGCACAGGACAGTCGTAGTAAAATTGGAGTTCTGTCCTGATTACCTTGGTACAAAGCTTCGCACAACTCTTCAACTTAACACCCAGCTCAAGTATCACCTTGAATGTGGTGTAACAGCCTCAGCAACTTGTTAAGATGGCTGCGAGAGCTGTGATCGGAATACCCGAACTACTGCGGGAGATTGCATCCCACGTGCGTTACCTCTGAGAATACAATCAGGCTAGACCTGCTGATCTATTTACCAGATATACGCGCCTGCATCTTCGAGCCAGCTCTGCCTAGTTAATCATGCTTTCAAAGCCGCCTTTACACCTCAGCTTTATCGCTGCCTAAGCTGGGATGCGAGGAATATCAAGTTTCTCACTGATCCCGACCGGCGTCGCTACTTACTTAAGGATAACAAGCTGGCCTATACCAAGGTTTTTATCATCGCACGGTCCGGAGTGGAAGCGCTACGCTCTGCTTGGAAAAGTGAGAATCCACGTAGGGAAGCGCGTTGGAGGCACTATGACCATTGGCATTTTACTGGCCTAGAGATTGTATGGTCTCTGCTGAACGATGCAATTGTCGAAATCTGTCAACATACCCATGGGCTACAAACCTTTGCGTAAGTGTACTGATAGAAGAGTGGTCGGACAATAGGCACATACTCACCTACAACTTTTCACTTGCTAGTTCCCAGGACATAGAGATATGCTGCGACAGTTTAGCTGCGCTGTCTTCTATCCCGTCGCTGCGTAACATCTCGATTGAATTCCACGAAGACGGTGGACAAATCTTGAACGTTGACACGGACGCGACAGAGCAATCTCTGAACAAATTTCGTCATCCAGAAGAGCAATTTACATTTGCCGGCTTGCGAAAACTATCACTACTGGTTATTTGGGGGGATATTAGAGCCTGGAGGTGTCAAATCCTCAAAACCATCCTCAATTCTCCAGACCTGGAATTTCTCGCACTATCATTATCAACATCAGCCCTATATGATCCCGAGGACGAAACCGTTGGAGCAGGACCTCCTGATCTATCGCTTGAAACGGACATGTTCCAATGGCTGAGTCGAGAGTATGCAACAGCCATAGGTCGTCCGTTACAGTTTAAATCTTCGCAATTCCACTACGGGAAGATTCCTAATGCTATTGTAGTAGAAGGTTGGGCAAATCCTAATGGATTGGACGTGGTCTACATCTGGAATGAGGACAATGGCCCATTTCTCAAAGGCTTAGAGGCTTTTCCTATGTTAGATATCGGGCCGCAACTGGAAGGCCCAATCGACGGGCTATAATTTGCAGGCGCGGGAATAGTCTGGTAATACAAGAGAAAACCGGGTTGAGGACGCACACGGCGTCCAGCTTTCCGTGATCACGAGCAGGGGCATGCAACCTCAATCACTCTTCCGATGGCTGCAAGTCTCAACCCTTTCAGTAGCTAACGGACGGGAACAAGTCATTTCACGAAACCCGTTATGAATTTCGATCACTTCTCCGTACGTTAATCACAGTCTCTCTCTCTCTCCCTTTTTTTTTTTTTTCCCCTTTTTTTTTTCCTTTTTTTTTCCTTATTTTTTATGAATCATAAGCATGACGGGGTTTGTAAAAACCACCTGCAGTTGACTCCAAATCATTTAGATAAACTCAGACCGGGATTGTGGCTTCTATTGGAGATCTAGCGGCAATCCACTTTTGAGCTGTGTGAATGGGAGGTTGTGTTTAAGTGCTTAAGGACTAGCATCATGACTATCATTAAGTAGAGAGATGGAATGGTAGCTAGATATTATGGTAGGGACAGTAGTTGAATAACCTATAATGTTCTCTGTCCTCGAGAAGCCTTCCTGCTTCTCATTACCTCATAGCGGACGGAGATATGTACTCCTTAATCTGTCCACAGAGATCTCGGGCCAGCCATGCTCCGTCACACCCGTGGCGTCACAAACCGCCACAATAAAGCTAGTGCGTCAAGGTAACCTCGTCGTCGACTTTACCAAAGCTCCTCGAGCTAGGCTCATCATACGATCGTGCCTCGTTTGATGGCACCGACTTTGGCGAGTCGATTCGAACTTCCACGTCAAATCTTCGACAGATTCCGCCCTGCATCTTCCCCAGTTCTTCATCCGTCCGCCGTAGCTCAATGCTGGCGCCCTGAAAATACTCGGGGTCCATATCGTCATTGCGGTTTCCGGTAATCTGGGCAGTGTGCGAGCGGTGGGGCCCGGAGTATGCAAGGGAGCTGAAGTCTGCATTATGCCGAACCGCCGCCAACCGTGTGATAAGTGAGGCCATGCTCATTTCGATGTTGAGTTTCACCATGTAGGCGACAGGGTGGAATTGTACGAAGACGACTTGATTCTTAAGGGACATGAGGCCGATGAGCATTACCTTTGAGCACGTTAGCGCTAGTCCTCGCTGAGGTTTTCGGAGCAAGGCCCTTACATCCATGCAAATAGAGAGCACCATTAGCTTTGCGTTGAAGCCGACCAGGGGCTTGTATTTTGCCAAGCCATGCTGGCTCACGAGTCGAACCTTGACGATTCTCAAGAAATACCAGTTGAGACCCGCATCGACTAGCAAGATGAGCACCTTGGATATACGATCCCAATATTTATTGATCTCCACGAAGCTACAACGAATTAGTCAGGATGGAGTGGGAGAGAGTATTAGGAAAGGGGGCTAAATTTATACTGACGTTGGGCTCACAGGTGGGACCATATGAGACGGAATGAAGATGCAGAAAACAGCAATGTTTATAAGTGTGATGACCAAAGCGGTCCCCCATTTCACAATCTGGACGGTTTTCTGGCTCTCTGCAATAATCGAAATCCGGTTTATGATAATTTGCATCAACAACTGGATTTCGAAGACCCAGAAAAAGAGGATAAAGAACAACACTGGGACCCTATCGAGTTGTTAGCGTCGGGTTCGCAGAGACGGCACCGTGGAACGTACGTCGGCCCCAAGACTCCGTCCAGAAACAGCCAACCGATGATGCCGATGGCGAGATTAGCGACAATCTCTCCCCATACCATGTAGATATAGGCGCTACGGGTGGGGTTTCGATTCCTGCGCGTCTGCTTGATGGCCTCCCATACCGTCAGGAATCCGAAACCGAGGGTGAACCCGGCAGCTAACGAGGCAAGTTGGTAATCGGTCTTTGATGCCATCACTGATGTCAAACGAATATTGGTGGGCATGCGCAGAGGTTGTCACAAAGTGGTTGGTAGCTGGCTTATTTGCCAGATATCATGGTAGTCTCCAAGGGGAGAAATAATAATAGTCTACAAGTAAGTCAATCTTCACATGCTTAAGCAATCCACTGATGCAGGGTCCAGCTAGCGCCAATGCATTATCCACATCCAGACAGCCTCACTATCCGCTTGGAGGTATGGGTTGGCCCTGTTGGGAGATACACCGATCAAAATGGTGTCCAGCACGGACGTGTTCCCCTGTCGTCCCCGAAGTTTCACCACTGAGGTGTACTACAATCCCTGTCTTCGTCGTCGTGGTTGATGCCAATCGAGAGGCGGGGTAGCGTGATATTTCCCCACGAACCTGGATTTACCTGGGGGAGGGCGGTCTAAGCGGCATTGTCAAGGAGACACTAGGCTGCATTTGGCATGAGGAGGATAGGAGGTCTGAATGACACGACATGACATATACATAGAGGAGGACACAATGAAACTGCATTTGGACCAGTCACAGCATCTAAATCACTGAGGCAGATTGTGGTGTGCAAAGCGAAGTTCCGCCCATACGAGGTCCATGCCAACCACCTACACCTCACAGGATCAGCAGAGGCTTGACCCCTTTTGACAACCTCTTTTCTGTAATTGTGATACACTCTGTGCCTTAGGGTCGTTTGGTTGTGGCGTTCTCCATGCTCATTCCAGACATCCCCGATAGTTCGTCTGTGCTCAGTAAGGTTAGTCTCCGCTCGGCCCTCATTATCCACTCGGCTAGGCAAGGCAGCATAAGCGGACATCGAAGAGCCGGATTAGGGTAAAGAACGGAAAGGGAATATGGTGCCACCCGAATCAGGAGCTCCTGGTTATCCTGAACCGTCAATTGCCGCCGTCGACAAGCTTGGTGTCAGAAGAGTCTCGTTGGCTTGAGTGGTTCCAGGATAAGCCAACGGTGCAGACATTATTGCAGAACCTATCGGACGCTTAACCGATGAGCTAGAGAATGACGCGATCAGTCCAAGGCAAATAAAGCTTATCAAATGCTGGGCCTCGGTGAGCTGACAGTTGGAAAACGATACACCTGTCTACCATGCCAACGAGTCGACCCACGAGACCACGATGCTGGGACCCCGGATCACCTCCAGACCGACCCCTGGGCGCCTGCGGTCAGTGTCTTCGAAGTAACTGTGCATGAAGGACACCAGTACTGCAGCGCAGGGTGTCGGAAATGCGTGCGTGGGCCATACAAAATCACGCCTCTCATAGCAAGAGAAACGGCGATCGGCAGACCCAGACCTCGTCCGAAAATGGCCTGTAATTTTGTTGTTTCGAGCCATTATGTAACTACAACCTGGAAGTGGCTAGGAAGCCATGGAATTGAGGCGCTTGCCTCTCCTGATTCTTCTTTCTCCCTCAGGATTTATCTTTCTGGCCAATGGCCGCCACCTCTTGGTGACCTTTAGCCTAGTGGATCCCTGCTGATCGGGTCTCCTGTTCCTTTAACCATGCAGACCTTGGCATGTGCCTAGATGCAAGAAGTGGTGTGGTGGCTAGGGAGGCTAGAACGGCCATGTTCGAAAACGTGGAGAATCCCTGGCTGTCCGGCTTGGCACTGGCAGCCAAGAACAAATAAGCTCGGCGCCTGAGGGTACTAGCTTGCAGCGATGTAGCCCCACTCGGGCCTATTATCCACTTTGGGTTGGCCTTACGCCCGACACTAACTCCTTGCGTGTCATATCATATTGCTTGGCGCACAGAGCTTTCAACAAGTGGAGGAGGCCCTGCGCTCGAAGCCATGAACTATTAAGGAGCATGCCCCCTTCGCCTCGTCTAGGTGATACTGCCTCTGTGCTTGCATATGAGCAGTCCCCGACTGAGTTAGTCGTGTGAACAAGGAACTCCTGGCCACCATCATGGCTTCCTTTCGCGCGACCTTCTTGTTTCTTCAAGCCATTCTCAGCCTAGCCTACGGGCAGGACACATCCTCTACAGGCTTGGAGGCCTACCCAAACTGTGCGGTAAGCCAGCAAGAAAGAAATTGTGCGTCTGAGAGACAACCCCCTACTGACTACGATGTTTCTTAGTTGGAATGCATCGTCACCGCCTTCGGGGGAGGATCCTGTGCTCCCACGAACCAGACTTGCATCTGTACCAATGAACAGCTTCAGAACAACATCACGGCCTGCGTGACTGAATCCTGTCCGATAATTGAAGCTTTATGTAATCTTGCCTCCTTCTAAGTCTATCAAGCGCTGTGGAATGACGGACCTGAGAGAATAATAGCAACCAAGAACATCTCCGCTACCCGCTGCGGCCTCCCTGTCCGAAATCGAAGCGGGAAGCATGTTTCCACCTCAGTTAGCATGTTCATCTTCGCCGCGGTGTTTGTTGGCCTTCGATTTGGATACAAAGTCTTCGCTAAGATAGAATTTGGCATGAACGACTGGCTCGTCCTCGCTTCCATCGTTGCTACGACGCCTGCTATCTTCGTTAACGTCTTTGGAACGGCATCCAGCGGTCTTGGCAAAGATATCTGGACGCTACCCCCGGATAAAATCACCGATACTATCAAGTACTTCTGGGTTGCTACCATCCTGTACTTTCTAGACACAGCACTGACCAAGCTCTCCATCATCTCCTTCTATATCCACATCTTCCCGTCGGCCAGAGTCCGGCGCTTACTCTGGGGGACGTTCGCCGTCACTAGCGCCTGGGGATTCGCCTTTGTCGTTGGATCCATCGTCCAGTGCCAACCGATAAGCTATTTCTGGACTCACTGGGACGGCCTGCATAAGGGGCACTGCGCCTCCCCTGACGGTATTGGCTGGTCCCACGCGATAATGAATATTATCTTTGATCTATGGATCCTGGCTATTCCTCTCTCGCAGCTGCGGAAGATGAAACTACACTGGAAGAAGAAGGTCGGGATTGCTATCATGTTCTTCCTGGGAACCTTGTAAGTGAACTTCTCGCTCAGCAAACTATTAGCTAACACGAACTCTAGTGTGACGGTTGTGAGCATCGTGCGACTTCCCTCGCTTGCTTACTTTACGTCAACAACAAACGTCACCATGAACTTTTACGACCTCTCCCTGTGGTCGACAGTGGAGGTCTGCCTCGGTATTGTGTGCGCCTGCCTCCCAACTATACGGTTACTCCTTGTTAGGGTGTTTCCCATCCTGGGCAGGACAAATCGCCAGAGGAGCTCGTACGTGTTTATGGCCAACAAAACCGGCCTACACTATCGAGATCATCCGGGGGCAGGGAAGTCTGCGGACGAGGTGCCAATCTCATATCCCGCGCCAAGTTTCACTCCCATCACTTTTTACCGCGAAGATAGCGTGAATGATGATACTAGGCTAGTCAGGTTGGAAAATCTTGATGCAGAGAGCAGGATGCGTTGATTTGCCACGCTCGGAGGGAGTAATTGACTTTGGATTTGGAGTTGGCCGTCTTATACCCATGCATTAATAATAAAGGAAGTGATGGGCCGTATATGCCCTTTCATCTTCCCCAGGATATCTCCATGCTATTACTATCCATCTTTCCAACCCTGTGTCTGGACTATCCTCGGCATTTTTGGGCACTGGGGTCTCATATTTGGTGTTACTATGATGGCGTTTATCCGGGTGCTTCTCCAATAGAAATTTCATCACGAGCCCAAGTTGAGGCTGGCCATTGAGTCTACGGGCTTGAGTAACCCTAATACATCCCTCACGTTACTACCTCGTCTTCGTATTCTCCATTGCCCCCTTTCTGTCTCCAGCTACGTCCAATGCGGGACCGGATACGCCTACACCAGGGACCGCCGTTCCAATAAGGTCCCAACTCCCCCCCCTTGTGACCGCCGGACCGATGAAACTATTTGCCACGCACTCTTAGACAGGCTACCGTCGTTAGTGGTTGGGTCGAGTTGGATTTGTGTTTTAACACTGCGCATGAGTGGGGTGTCAGCGTCAGGGGTTTCCCATACGGGAGCAATAGCCGCTGGGTTTTTCTTGAAGTAGGTGAATAAGATTAGCAGCACTCTTACTGGTGCCTACCCTCACCCCTGACCCAGATGCGGGGTTACTTGGGGAACTTCTCCCAGTTGACAACCGGACCAAGAAAGGTCAGATTGGCAGCACGATACTTGACCAGAACAGCTCACAATTGGCTCCCATGCCGCAAGATGCATATGCTGTGTCGAATCTGCAATCCAAACAGGGTACCGGATTAAGCCAGGACCAGCGAGCCTCGACGGAGGCTGCAGATCCGGCTGTCCAATCCACTTAAGAACAGGGACCAGATACGGCGAATCCTCCATCTGAGCCGGCTCAGCAGGGAGGGTCTCGACGAAGTATAGTAATAGCACATGACATACTCAAAGGGCGGGGGACAAGAGCTACCAGGCTTTAGCAATTGCATTCAATTTATAAGGTTCGTGCTTGTGAGCCTACAAAACTCGATGTCGCCGTGCGACTACCTGGTGGGAAGGGTGGGAGCCACTGGTGGGAGAGAGTGGGGGAGAACCCACCGGTGGAGGGGATGAGCCACGGTTCCAATTAAAGATGCTGTACTTTGATCATACTCCAGGATATTCTATGCTACCATAATATTGGTACAAGAGAATCTTTTAAGGAGATTAGCAACCTCGGAGATTCCTTCTTGCGGCTTGCTTCTCTAATCGCCGAGCGTACGGCCTATCATCGACTTTTATCGCCATTGCAATGTACTCCTGAAACGTGTTCGGTTAGTCTCTCATGCAGTGTATATCTTTGACATCGTCCTTTAGTCCCTCATAAAAATGTGCCATAAGGGCCTTATCATCCCAACCGAGCGGCAAAGCTATCTGTCTGAACTGTCTAGCATAGTCCGAGGCAAATGCTCTCTGACGAAGTTCCCTAAGCTTGCGAAAGGAAGCCATCCTCTGGTTTTGGGCAGTGTTGGCGCTGATAATAGAAGTTTCATAGCCCCTGTGGAATTTCCTGGAGCCGTCTGCCGAAATCTCCGATGGCTTTGCTGCTGCACTTAGCCAACTGATTCGACGCCGGGCGAAGTCTTCTTGTGTTTGGTCGTGGCCACAGGTTAGGACGGTTGAGGGATTATATCGGCGGATGCTTTGCTAAATGAGAAGTTGTAAGAAGATTCAGAACTACTATAGGGTCAGAACTACTATAGGGTCTAAGGATTGATTTCTATGGTACATCTCCGGGGTTTTGGGATGTGTAGTCGGCGCAGATATTATCAAGGTAAACTGTATCTTCGACGATCTGGCGGCCACTTCCGATACGCTGCCAGATCATAGCCAGCATTTGGCCGATACCCTATCTTCAAGCATGACATTATCCCAAGCTTGTCATGAACTATGACTTTTCCACTGCCTGATCCCATGTTTTACCTGACTTGCATCAAGGGACAGTCTGGGCAGTGGACTGACACAATGCGATGAAGTAACCCTGACATCATATAATCGGGTCTTCTTAAAGTTTCTCGGGGTCTATAAGAGCAAGTAAAGTTCACTGTCCCCCTTTGGCCCGATTTATTGCAGTCTTTCATTGCAGTCCTGTTCCAAGGAATCGACGAATCATCCATTTTATTGTCCACCCGACCAAGAAAATCAAGATGTGCGCCAGCAGAAACCCCGAGTCACTTACCAATGAGGGAGAGTTCCACGCTCGAGTTCCTCCATCCAAGCCCATGATGAAGGGAGGTGTAAGTGAGAATCTTTCCGGTTAACCCCCCGCCCGAGAAGGGAAAAAAAAAAAGAAAGAACCTAGAAGAAGACGCGGAGCCACCGGGCTGATACCTGCGTTAGCATGCTCCCGGCGTTCATCTCGGCAAGGATGCCGTCCCCGAATTCTCCGCAGAGACATACCCCCCTGGCACTGCACCTCGAGAGAACACCTACCTGCCGAATCCATACGATGAGTCCGGACGTCGACCTTCACACCCGGAAATGGAGAAACCTACTCGCAAAACCTCGGAGACCGCTCAAGGCGGTGCCAGCGCAGAAAGTCACCGGGGTAAGGGACAGCCCGGCCAGGGCATGACGTCGAAGGGCTCTCAGGGCGGCCATTAGGTCGTGGGAGCCAACAGGACTGATCCCATGGGAGGAAAGCGATTCAACAGAAGCGTTCCTTGCATCGGCGAGAGAGTAAAATAAAGATAGCGTCCTCCAAGCATCGGAATGAGTTCCAGAGTCTGGGGGTGGGGTTCCTCATGACTATTAAACAATAAGCTAGCAACTTATTGCTTCTATTTAGAATAAAATATTGCAGCCGTCTTCGGAATTCACAACTTCTCTCTCCTTGCTTAACCTCAGTTTATGTTACGTACCTACCACTTAGGTCCCCATGTCGTTACGAAGTAGACAATATCCAACCTATGTATTCGATTGTCGTAGCTGACCCCCTCGATTCGTCTTTGTGTGACATTGACTTGCTGGCTATTATCCTCCAGCGGAATACCCACGAATCATGAAATTGCCACAAAAAAAAAAAAAAAAAAAAAAAAAAAAAAAAACGTCGATCCTGCTCATTTTTGGTGTCAACTTTCGGGAAGCGCGGGCCCCGAACTTCGCGCTCCCGGGTCCCTGAAATGGTCAAAGCTCTCGTCCGCAACCAGGGAGAGCAGCAAACTCAGCATGATACGATCCGGAGCTGACAGTCCCGAGCCAGGCGAGGATTATTGGTTGGCTCAGCTACCCGGTGCGGGGCAAATCAACAGATAGGCTCTCCAATCATAAGCCTAATTGGACTCAACTCAATTGGTTATGATGGGAGCCGGAAGGGACGGACAATGGACTCATGGAGATCGGGAATGTCCACGATCCAGCATCAACCTCTTCTCTCCTTGCCCGCATGCAGAAGGATTGCAAATGAAGAACCCCTATTATGTCCTTTTCCATCAATTGATAAGCATTATTTAGTCGGCCCGGTGCCAACCTCGAACCTTTCCCCTCCAGCTCTCTTCTTCGCTTCCAAGTTCCCCAAGAACATACCGCTTCGTTTTATCGGACACAACACAAAGAGCGAAATCCCGACTTGAGCTCCAATCATCAGCAGAAATGGAATCTCCAGTAGTCGAGAGCGTTGAGCACCCCTATCACCCGCCCAACGCGGAACTGCCAAACTACCTCGCCAACTCGCTCTCGGTGCCGGCGCTTCTCACACTCTTCGCCCTGGGCGCCGGTGCCATCCTTTCAACGACCTATCTCATAGTTACCAAGGCTAGGCCCAGAATTACGAGACCAGATGCGTTGGTAGCTATGTGGTTTGGCCTTTGTGGCTTTATTCATCTTTTCTTCGAAGGTTACTATGCTCTCCCCCGTGCATCGTAGTATCTAAAACGAGCAGCAAATAAACTTACGTTTAATGCTCTTCCTAGGGTACTTCGCCTACAACAACGCTACTATGCCTTCTCGAACCGACCTCTTCGGCCAGCTCTGGAAAGAATACGCCCTATCCGACGTTCGATACCTCACCCGCGACCCCTTCCTCGTCTGCATGGAATCGGTAACCGCTCTCTGCTGGGGTCCCCTCTCGTATCTTACCGTCGCATTCATTGCCATGGATCACCCTGCGAGGCACGTTCTGCAGCTCATCATCAGCCTTGGCCAGATGTACGGGGATATCCTTTATTACTCGACTGTCTGGTTCGAGGTTGTCCACAAGGGCGCCATCTTCTGCCGGCCTGAGCGGTATTATTTCTGGGCATACTTTTTCCTGATGAATGCGTTTTGGATCGTGATTCCCTTTGGCATTGTTGTCCAGAGCGCCTTTTCAATCACCAATGCGTTCAGGACGGCGCAGAGATATGGAGCCGTTTCCGGAAAGAAGAATCAATGAATTGCTGATCCCTGGCTGGGAAAAAGAGGCCCACAACTATAGGATAAAGAAGATTAGATCGTCGGTAATTGTGTATACATCTCCCTACCTGCCTCTATGGACTAATTGGGGTTGATAACTAAGAATTTTAACTCGTACTCCACCTTCCGAACTGGACGTTATGCCAATGTGCGTCAGCTTTACCAAACGAGCTGCGATTCGATCTCTCTCTCGCCGAAGCGGAGCAACGTCGACTTTTAGCTGTAAGAAATCAATCATATTCCTAATTGCCCAGGTAGTAGTATTATTATATGAAGATAGGCTCTCCACCTCTGCTTGACCAACCCGCCATTGAGGCCCTGCGGATTCTCGTGATTCTTATGGGCAACTTATCACGACGAGGATGTTGCCGAGACCGCGAGGGGAGCAGGGTAGGTAGGTCCCAGGGCGACTGGATCTAACAGCCCTTGTGTTCCAGGCCCGTTCCCCTGGGCAACATTTTCTGACGACTTTCGATGGAAAAATAATATTGAAGATGTCAACATTCGCATCCCCGACCTTAAGTTAACCCCCCGGAATCACGTCAACGAGAACGGACTTGGTTGAGTTTGTATAATATACGTCAACTTCTTCGCCTAGTATTCCACTTGCTCTTCCTGCTAGGATGCAACTGATTTAGCCGTCTCTTTATACAAGCTAAAGAGGGTATGTTGAAAGGAACCAAGAAGACCAACACCACCAACGGCGGTTGGTTATTTTGGAACCGAGTACTTTGGTCATTTTCCTTTCTATCGGGACTATCTCATGCAAAAGATAATCATGCTCGTTACCCAGCCATATTTGGACCGATTCAAGCTGAGGAAGAATGGCCCGCCATTCGTGGTAAATCCTCGGTCAAACACACAAGCCTTGAGATCTGTTGAAACTTGGGAGCTCTCCCGAGGGATTCGCTGGCCTCCTTTTCGCCAGTGTAGCTACAGGTTCTCGGTGCTCTGGTTCAGTCAGAGCTACACATGGATTAGCCTCTTCAAACCGGTCGACAAATACACAGAGGCAGACGAAACAACAGGAAAGGAAGAAAGTAAAGACTGTTCAAAGTCACCGGTCGCTTCTCAAGATGGTTTATGGCACAGCAATCGTCTTAGAATACGGATTTTGATTTTGTGCCTGTGGCCGTGGTCGTCATCCAGCTGGTAAGCGCTAAGCTCGATTAGGAAATAACTATGGCCAAGACTTTTATTTTCCGATCAACAAATGAAATGACGTTCTCCACTTGTTTGCCGAAGCACACACTGCGACACTGCGTAGGCAGAACATCACGAATCCTGTCCATCCAGTTTTACAAAGATGTGGGCAGGTCCTCCCCCCAGAATACTTCCTTTTACCTATTTTGGTCTATTCCCTTCTTCCTTGCTGTTTACCGAGTTAGCAGATCTAACGAATCTTCCCCCTCTCTCCAGTCACGACGCATGTCTCTTTTTTAAATCCCAATGTCGTTGGCGCCAAGTCCATCCAATGGCCCCAGCAAGAGATGGCAATGCTGGGAGTGCCAGCGGCGGCGTCTCGTCTGTGATTCCCAGCGCCCCGTATGCAACAAGTGCAAGACTGCCGGAATCACCTGCCCGGGATACGACGACAAGAAGCCCCTGACTTGGCTGGCTCCGGGTAAAGTGCTGGCTCGCAATAGACGCAAGAAGAATGCTGCAGGCAACCCGTCGTCGTCAGGGCAGGAGGTTATCATCAAGGGTGTTACCCAAGTGAAGTCACTCACTCTTATACGAATGACAGCACCTAATCTCCCCAGTACGGCGGCAGTTGCGAGAGCTTATCCAGTGCCTACTAAGATCTTACGAACGGACCTCTGTGACGTCGTTGAGGCGGCGAGCTTCTGTAAGTTGACGTGTACTGGAACACCCGTCCTCCTGATACTTTGTATAATGGTCTGGTGCTTTATGTCCAATACATTCTAGTCCTAATATGGCATCTCGGTAGATTCATCATACGTAATCCCCAGAACCCTCGATGCTCTCCTTGTCCAGGATCTTCCTTTTCTTGTCACTGAAATTGAGATGAAGAACTTACCTCCTCTCACACTGCATGGAATCGTCTGCATTTCCCTCGGGTTCCGCATACACAGTCTCGCACGAGGTGTGAATCCTGATACGGTACAACACCTTTGGTCGCGACTCTATCACCACCGAGGAGCTGCTATCCGTATCCTCAATCAGGATATTTCCGGAGAAGATACTCGGGCCAGCAATGCTACAATCAGCGGGCTCGTGGTGTTCCTGGTTCAGGAGGTTAGAGTCAATAATTAATTCCCCCGCTCTCCGCCCAAATTAGGGTAGCTAAGCAGTCGTACATGTATGCTGACACTCCGACAGCTGCAACAGTCCATCGACCCCAACTGGAAGTACCATTTCGAAGGCGCAATGGAACTCACGAAACTACGAGGCGGCATGCTAGAGATCTGCGCCGAGACTCCATGCCTTAAGCCAGTTTTGACCCTCCTGATGATGTAACTATGCTCGTACCTCCATGTTCTTTCCCCCAGACTAACCAAACGTCGGCTGTATAGGATCGGTGTCTTTGGAAACACGACGAGCCCAGCCGAAGGCCAGATCGCACCCGAACCTCACTTCCAAATGATTGACGAAGTTGCACAGATCTTTGAAACAGGCGGCCTCACACCAATTGTCTGCCCAAAACATATATTCTTCAGCATAATACGGATAAACAACCTACGATCCCAGGCCGCCAAAGGGGTCTTGCCCAGGAACTCGTCCCGATCGACAGCCGAAGCACTTCTCCGAGACATCGAGTCGTTCTCCCCATCACAATGGGCCGAGACTAAGGATTCATACGTTGAGGAATGGACCCTGCTCGGCACCATTTTCCAAACCTCTGCTGCTCTGTACTGCATATGCTCTCTCCAGAGCGTTGCCGTGCTCCCTGCTACTATCGGGATGGAAACAATAAAGGCCAGCTACCGAGCCCGCCACCTCCAACTTCTCGAAGAGGGAATGAATAACCGGCGGGTGACACAGACCTTGCTGTGGCCGCTTGTCGTTGCCGGGGTAGTTGCGGTGGGGAGCGGCGCGTCGCTGAAGACGCGGGCGTTTGTTGAGCATTCTTTGGTGGCGTTGAGTAAGGAAATCGGGTCTTTTTCGCCTCGCATGGCAGTGGTAACTCTGGCTAAATTTTGGAAGTCTGGGGATACGAGGTGGGATGAGTGCTTTGATCGCCCGTATGGGTTTCTTTTGTAGGGATGTGGGGGTGGCTTTTGGGGGACTGAGAGCTCAAACTGTACTTATTATCGCTGTTACCCATCTCAACATCATTAACCTACTTGCGGCAGGCAAATATACCTCTCCATGTATAGTTAGATGAAATTGCATACATCTCACCTACTTATAGATCATTCCGATGCAGGCTGGCACATGGCTTGGTGGTTCAGCCTCAAAGACCACGAGCTTGGAAGCATTCTCTGAGTGGGACAACGAATTAAAGAAGAAGAAAAATGAAGAATGAAGACGCGATCGGACCACCGATGACTCGGTCTTGTTCGAGAGGAACGGTTTGCTCTTCTCTCTTGAATCAACTCTCTCATCTTAATAACCACGACCGGTGTCATCGGGCTGTGCCAATTCTCCTAAGCTACCACCCATTCTACCTCCTAAAGAGTTGATACCCACCCATAGATATATGCCCCCGATCTGGTACCAACTTCTCTTAACTATCGTATCTCACGCAAAGGTCTCTAAGGGGGGCTAGGGATATGGAGTATCCGTGCCTAGCCAGATTCAATGAACTATAATGCATAACAAGGTGGTGTTCTAATAGTGATCCGCGGACTCAATCCGAAACCTCCTCAATAATAACCCTGTTCTCCAACCCCGTATGGTCCGTAGTAGAGAGCTCATCCAGCCTACCAGACTCATCCAATGCCGCAAAAGCTTCCTCCACATCTGTGTCCCAGTATGAGAAGTCCTCAGGAGTACCGTACTCATAATCGAAGAATTCCAATACTTGCTGGAGCAACTCTGGCCGTTCCCGAGGAACAAACTCTTTATTGGATTCCGAGGCAGCAGTCCCCGCTCCATCCGATTCCGCCCCCACACCGCCCTGTGAGACTGCGCTGTCCCTGTCATGTGTGATCGACGTGGATGCGGAGCCCTCAGTTTCAGCCTGAGCCGGCGATACTGGAAGATCATCACGAAAATGGCGCCGAATCACCTCGGAGAAGTCTAGCCCGTCGTAGCCTTGTCTTTTTAAAAGCGTGCCTTGTACGAATATCTCCATTTCATCGCCGGGCGGTTGCCAGGGTCTTTTGTGGGACCAGAGATCAGGTAGGATTTGCCTTACTTTGTACCACCACCAGGTATTATGAGCCATCAGAGTTCCTCTGACATAAAATAACCATGAGTCTGCCCCCTCGTGCACACAGCCACATTCCACTCGGGACACGTATTCGCTGTCCGCCTCGGGTTCGGGCCATCGTGATCGTGTGTGGCGATAAACCTCCATGAGTAGATTCAACTGCGCGTTGAGTTCCGCATCCTCTTCGCGTATCCTCTCGTTCTCCGCTTCGTTGCGAGTGCTCAGACCCCATGAACAGCAGGTATGGGCCATACCCAAGCGGTTGAAGAGCTCTAGCCGCACAAATGCCTCGAGACATGCAGCGTACTCGGCATCGTCTGGCTCAAAGTGGCACTGCTCCGCCCAGAAGAGAGTCCGGTCCTCTCTATGCCCGTGACACCAGCCATTCAGAGTGAACATGTCTTGTCGAAGGAGATGATGGAGGGCGAGGCACCCGTTGGCGGAGCAGAAACAGAGGCACTCATCTGCTTGTGTGGGTGAGCATAGCCCCGATGCGTACTGGACCAAGTTCTTCATAGCCGGGCGTCCAGATCTGTCCCTAAACAAATCTTCTGATAAGCAAGCAATGGACTTTGCCACCCTCACTAATAAGTTGTCATATGGCTCGTCTTTCCCAAACGTTGGCGAGGCGCCCCTCTTCAGGAGCCACATACAGACGATTACCCAGTCGTCATCATTCTCTGAACGGCTCAAGAGGAACTCATCAAGGGGTGTACGCATCTGGCGCAAAGCATCCCTGTTGTCTATATCGAGGAAGTTGGACTCGTAGAGTTGATAAAGAGAGGGCATGACCGTCAAGTACAGCTTGTCGCTGTAATCTCTATAAGTCCTCGCAATCGAGCCGTACATTGAACCGGGTGGGCCGGGGAAGAGTCGTGGTTCCAGTGGTACAGACCTCTCTTTGAGAAGGTCATAAACCGGTCTAGCCTTGGCGTCCAGGGTCCGCTCGTCCTCGATACCGAGCGAGGACAAGTCATCCTGGGACAGATAACGGTGCGCAATGTTTGCTAAAGCTTCCCGCCTCTGCCGTAGCGCGCCGGCGAGAATGAAATAGCTTCTGTAGTAGGCTAGCATTGTTCGGGTGAATTGACAGAGTTCGCTCTCATCGCCAAATAGGGGCACGTTGAATTCATTGCACAAAATCTCAAGGGATCCGTATTCCCGCATTTGGGCCGCCAGCTCGATTGCGGCCGCGATGCTTCCCGTCCAAACAGTGGCTAAAACCTTGAGACCATCGGCCCAGCCAATGGCTAGATCCAGCGCATTGATGGGCAGGGATCCGAAGGCCTCGACTGACCAGCTGCGCAACTCGAGCGCCCGCTGGAGATGCCCCAGGTTTCTATTGAGGATGATATTGGACAGAGCTCCTTCGAAAAAATCTGGAGAATTCACCACCGTGGTTTCGTCAGGGAAGCGAGCGATGCAAAGTGGAGGGAAGGGGGGTCGATCGGCTTACACTTCAAGAGCCAGGAGTCTCGGCGTAACGCTGCCACTATAGACGACCTGACATTCGGATCTAGGCCTTTTTTCACAACATCCTCGACCAGCTCCGCGTACTCGCCGCCCTTCGCCAAATTGACGTCCATCTCAGGCTCAATTGCGCAAAATGTAGATAGTCGCCCAAAGAAAGAATAATCCTTGAGTTCCTCGCTAAATAACCTGAGGCAATCTTGCGCGGCAGTCGATACGGACCAGTCCCTTAGGTTTTTGTCAGCCCGGAACCCGAACCTCAATACTGCAGATGTGTGGTTTGGGACTTACCGGTCTTTTGGCGTCGTATGGACCTCCCCAAAGCCCAACATAATATCGTAGTGGTACCGCCGGTGTCCGTACTCCGCAGCCGAACTTGTATCGACGGCACACTGCTGGGCGGCTAAGAGTAGTGCGTCAATCTCCTCTATGATGTGCGTGTATACCGAGGCGAACAAGCCGATCAGGATAATCATTTCCTAAATCATAGAATCCGACATTATCAGCATCGACGCCATTGAGAGGGTCAAAGATACCTTACATGAAGCACCGTCTGTCCATGTTCATCCTTGTCGCTGATGGATCCGAGCCTTTTGGACTGCATCTCGACCAGCTTTTCGTGTAACTTGCGCAGCTCGAACTTAACGCGGCTGACATCCCATTCATACCCACAGAACAATGAGCCAGTGGACTTGTCTGTCCACATATACCCGCATCTTCTCAGAGGCTTTTTGCCTATTGCGCAACGCTCGGGAAGGCCGTCAAAGAGCTGGAAAATGGGGGATTCCGATCTTCTAACCGTTGAATAGACCTTGAGGGGAGGCTCCATGTGAAAGCCACCGCCGTGTATTGTCGCACCAAAGACAACTTCGACCGTTTTGTTGAGAAACGGGAGTAACTGGAACGAGAATTGATGCTTCCATGACCAAGGCCCCGGCTGACGCGCCGAGCAGTTCGAATCATGGCGCTTCTTTGCGTGGTACCGAAACGATACGGGGCCCCGTCTGGCAGATTTTTGCTTTACTTCGGTGCGACAAGAGCATCGCGCAATTCTGGCTGGAACAGTGGGTGACTTGTGCCATGGGCCAATCTCATCGTAGGCTTCATGGATGAGGCTCGGGGAGCGGATGAGCTCATTTCGTATGAGGAGAGCTAGATCCCTCTTGTCCGCATCTGAGAGACGCACCGCGAGATTCGTAGTTTCGTCAGCCAGGCTCGATTTTCTCCCGGTGATGACAGGCAGGATATCATCCCGCAATGCCACCATGTCGTATGACGTTAAATCAGAGGATGCCTGCCAGGCTGTATCGGTGTGCGTTGTAGACGCCATGTTTAGTGGCAAAGACCGCTCGGTGTCGCATACCGGATCAACTTCACTCGGCCCGGCAGTGCATGTCTCATGCTTTCCGTCGGTGGCGGGAGATTCGATGTCTGGTTGATCAGTGTTCGAAACAGCGGTTTGCAGCTCGAGACTGTCATCGCCACTCGTTTCAAGTCCGGTTGTCTGGAGGACCAGTGTCGACTGGAGGCTCCGTATAGCTTCCGACACCGTCTGGGAGAGGCCGCTTGATACAGTATCGGTTATCTGATCTATGTTCGGCTTGCCCCTACGGGGAATATAAAAAGAAGGAAAAAAAAGAGTAACCTTACACAAGACCTGCTTGGAGATGAAGACTACTAATTTGCAGTTCTCTCATCACTCGACCATTCAAGCGCTGGACCCTCTCCAGCTTTTCCTCAATTTCCTTCTCCCTCTTTATCGACACAATACTCCTCCATATTCTCTTACCCCGGCCCGCAGTGACCGTGGGGTCGGCCAAAAAGGGCTCCATTGTCGTTTGCAGGACTAGGGTCGCGTCGTAGGCATCGCGAAGAGCCTCGTATAAGGCCTGGTGTTGAACCGAAGAGAGGCATTGGCGCAGGTTGGATGCGGGGTTCAAGAGTTCTTGGCGGAGGTGGAGGGTCGAGGGAACGGATTTTTCGACGTCAAGTAAAAGCTCCGTGAGGCGTGCTGGGGTTTCTTTGAAACTTTTCAAGAGACCAATGCCGCGGAGAGCCCCAATGGCGGCGACACCACTCAGCTGGACGGAAGCGGCCGCGACACCGAGTGCGCTGACTGGATCCATTTTTGCTCTTGAAGGATGAGATGATCGCGCTCCGCACTCTTGTTGTGCGAACGGGCTGCAGGTCTGCTTTATCGGGTTCTGGCCGGGAGGAGGGAGCCTTAACCCTGCACAATGGTGCACAGCCCATGGTTATGCCTCCATCGCCGAATCAAGTGCGCCCTCCGACGCCACAGCGGTCAGCCCCGGAAATTATTCCGCCTCCAAGCTGGCACGGGTCGCCGCCAAGCCTCGAAGAGAAAGCGGCGTTGGTTACGAGCCCAGGTCTGGATTCTTATGAGCCAACATCTGGACGCAAAAAAACCGCCATCCTATTAAGCAGTAACTCGAGCGCTGGGGGGGCGTTGACGGGAATGCTCGAGGGTAGGATAAGCTTCGAGTTCACAAACCATTCCACACGACTCGCTGGCTGTGGGGATAAATGGTGATGATAATAAGACCACGGCTAAGCAAATGCACTTCGACGAACCGTGCCCGCGCGGGGCAGGGGGTCAACGGGACGGCCGTCTTGCGCATGCCGATATGGAAGTACGATGTCTCGCCACACTTCGCAGGATTTACCTCCCCCGTCTATATCATCTCGCCGCTGCGCGTGTACAAAGTTGGCTCCCATCTCCCCCAAGGCTACCCTGTCGACTAATAACAGTGACACGCGGCTTCTCAGGCAACGACGAGCTAAATAGGGATGTAGTTTACTTGTTATTTGGCTGAAAAAGTAGCCGGATAGCAGTGTGGGCTGTCCTAAAACTGGGCATCGAGCTTGTTTTTATCGTTTTTATACTTTGTAGATATGGTAACTAAGGCCAGAGCGGCGTAAAGCAGTGACCTCCCTTGCTCACCCTGCTCACCCCGACTGGAGCAGGAGCTGCTCGGTTCCGCAAGAGGGAGTGGAAATATCCGATGGCTCGATTGAGGACGTGTATAGGCCGATAATGGCTGCTTGGTTCCGTCGGCTTTAATAGTAATTACAACTAAATAACCTCGTGAATTACAGATAGCCGGGTAGCCTTCAACAAACGGGCCTGATCCGCAATACTTGAACTAGAACGCCAGCCTCATATAGGCAGCAATCTCTTTGAGCTCTAATCACGTAGTTGCTTCAGGTTTCTGACCGTAAACAATGCGCCTGCATGCCTGTTAGTAACTTTCGAGAAGAATGGAAAGAGTCAACACGTACAACTCGGTATATGCATGGATTCTTGGGTCCGTCATATTTTTCCGTGCCTCAACAAGGTAAAGCTGCGACTCTTCATAACTCCACTACTCGAGAATCAGCCTTAATCCAGGTATTTAATTCCAAATACACCAAATGGGATCGAGGGGAAAGGTGGAAAGCGAAACGTACCCCCAAAACGTCAACGAACGACCGGAGGGCGAACCCTTCCATCCCCTCGAGAGAAAAGTAACGACACCACTGACCCCAGCTTTTGAGCCGCTTATCTTTGGGCCATGGTCCAAGCGGTACCTTGATGATGCGTTGTGTGACGTTGATGAAGCCGGCTTCTGTGATAGCCGGGTAGGCGGATTCGGCGGCTCGGAACGTAATGCCTAGTTTGTCGCCGATGTCGTCAAAGAGGCCAGTCCACCTCTGAATGGCGGAACCTTCCGGAATAGAACCATCTTCCGAACGCATAACGCTCGATAGCTCAACTTGTTCGACCCAGCCGCCGGGTTTAATGTGCCTAATCATGTCGAATGAGCAATAACCGACCTCGGTGTTTGCGTGAGAGGGGAATGAGGTTTCCAGGTACGTCGGCTAAAATCTTACTTGAATGCTGTTTTGTGAAATTCAGTCCAGTTTGGTACGGTGCCCAACATGTTTCGGATGTGGACGAAATCGAAGTGGCCCTCGGGATACGTCCAAGGTTTATTGATGTCATCTACCTCGAAGCGGAGGTTTGGAGGCACGAAAGTTGGTTGAATTGGAGACAAGTCGATACCAGTAACGGTACAAGCGGGATTCTCGTCGGCGAATTCGCTGGTGAAACTTGGTGAGTATTTACCTTCGGATTCTAAGCGGAACGCCCTCTCTCATCTTACATGGCCCAGGAACCGATACCGCAACCGACATCGAGGGCGGTCTAGACATTGTTGTTAGAAAAGAACTCTTGCTCCACATGGCCATTTTCAGTAACTTGATTAACACGATTGTAAGCCGTACCTTGGGATCTGACAGCGGTGCTTGATGGAGTTTCCCTTCTAGGATAAACTTGTGCATCTCATGCCTTTCGAAGTTAGGTCTCTAACAAGCCCAGTTAATAGAGTATGAACCTAGACATACAGGAGATCTTCGGCTGCCTGTTGCTTCTCATCATTTGGTCCCCTACAACAGATGTCAGAATCATTTGTGGTCAAACGAAGCCTACGGCAGGCCCCAGCTTTCTTACCAATACTTCGTGTCTTCAGCGGCAGTATATCGCCTACCATGTTCCCACTTGTATTCCCTGAATGAAGTCCGCAGGGAAGTGGTGTCCGACACAAGTCTACAAATCTCTCAGTTAATTTAATGCCGTCCCGGGCTGTTACCAAAGGACCCTTACGATGCAGCATAAGCTGAGTCGTCATCGTTGAATGCAGCGTCCTATCCGCACAGTAAGTATCGCTCAGTCATACCCCAAGATAGCCTCTAGTCGAGACATACAACTTCGATGCGTGTGTTGGCGTCCTCGGCTCCAGGAGGACTGGATGCAGCAGCTTCTTGGTTGGCCATGATGACAAGAGAGCGTGTCGGTATCTACTCAAGAGATTGGAAGGAGGGAGAATACAGAAGAAGTCGAGACGAGATTTACCAGGTAAAGAGTAGGGACTGGAGCACTTTTGCACAAAGGGAGACTCGCAGATATGCCCTGGATGTCCGAGGTACGTTTCGGAAGCAATTGACCAATTTAAGGCACTTCCCAGATTAGAATTGTTGGTCGTAGATAGACCAATCCCGTCCTCGGCTGGCTGCGCGGTGATTCCTCGTACCCCATCTTGGCTGCATCTCTGCGTGGGAACCCACCAAAGCTGATGCGGGTTGTAGTACGTTTACTGCGGACGGCGGGAGGAATCATACCATTATTTGTCCTCAAACTTTGAGCTTCGCGGTGTAGAAGTGGAGCGTATTTGCGAAGCATCCCGTCCCGTTCACGTTCGATGCATGCTGGTGGGTGATGATGCGATATGGAAAACCTTCTGGCTACAGTAGCAGCATCCGTAGATACCACCAGTTCATTCGTGGCTCTCAAGTATACTCCATATTACTCTCGCTAATACGCAAGACCTGAAACGCCACCGACCTGCCCTGTTCAGCACCTACCATCGGGTTGGTGGAGACACAAATATCAAATCTGCCAAGCTGCTTTTCGCGTTGGCCCGGTGGGCGGAAATTGTGGTGCATGGCTACTACGTGGTGTCACATTTTTCACATTCTGGAACCGGAGCCCTTAATCTTGTGTGCATTTTCCTAAATGCATGGGCGTATTGGCAATGCATGTTGGTTCACGGAAATGTGATGTGACTGATGCAAGGTCTTGCCGAAGGTGTCTTAATCCAAAAAAAAAAAAAAAAAAGGCTCAAGTATCTGTGACTAGAATCCACCGGACCCGGAATATCTCCCCAGCAATTTGTAGCAACGCCAGCAAATCTGGAGTCTTGGAGCATCGAAGTTGTGTCCTTGAATTCCTCGTGTAACGGAAGTGACTTGAGACTTCCGCCTCAAGGCTCTCATCGAACATCGAAACGTTACACAATGGAGACCTGCTCAATCGTACGAGTCCCATTATTGAGAAGAATACACATTTGTAAAAGGATTAGGATATGGGAGGCACACAAAAGAGATGCATTGTGAGAATTTTGTGTCCATAAAGCCTCGAGCATAACAAGGACAGGCGACTTGGCATGAACCCTGCTCCATCCCGGTGTGACGTCAACACCCCTTGCATCGCGATCGAATTAGTCGCACGTACACACCATCAAGCCTTCTATTATTATTCTTTGAATTAAAAAAGGATAACAAAAGTCGTATTGGGTCCAAGTTCCAACGATGAAGCGAGTCCCGAGTTACCAGCTGCCAAATCAGACCCTTCCCGCAATGATGCCTCGTCCATGCTCAAATTAAAATTGGGCAGAGGCCTTACGACAAGCCCCTCCGAGAAAAGCGATAGATTCAAGGTTGAACATCTGCGTGTCCAACCCCCCGTCCACAGCCTTTCAACAAGAGAGAGCGAGACATGGGGAGGCCAACGGCGATGTGATTCTCATTTGTAGCTGACCTCGGCCTTTCCCGAATTGATGTTCTAGTCATGTGATGAGACTAAAAAGCCCCCACCATGGTGGGGCTTTCTTATCTTATCGTGTTAAACTTTTTTGGCGGGGTCAATCGAAGGGCGAAAAAAAAAAAAAAAAATCGAAGCAGGTGAAAAAACGAGGGGCGTCGCCAGAATAGAATTGAGCAACAGTACTCAGATACAAGCCAAGTACACCTAGAGAGACAATGACTCAAATCTCCAGGAGAATAGCGAAGGCACCAGATGTTGATGGTTTAGGTTCCCCTAGAATCATATAATTTGTATTATTTCCCTCTATTTAGATACGGAAGAACTAGTGTATTCTGAGGCCAAGTGTTAGTTAGATACTTACATTCACAGTCGGCTTCCTTAGTAAACTTTGTACCCGTGCCCCGCATGAGGAAAAGGGAAAAATAAAAAGAAAGAAAGAAAAAACCAGCTCGAGCTGGAGGAAAATTTCCTTCCTCGCTTTAGTTAGATAGTCCCTACCAAACACAGCTACATACTTGACAACTCTTGCCATAGAAATCCATCTCGACCCCATCCAATCTCTCTTTCTATTCTTAATTCTATTGTATATTCCTTGGCTCGAGGATACCATCATAATGTCCGCCGACATCGAGCAGGCCGAGGCGCCTCACCAGACTTTCGACGTAAGTTTTGATGAGAGACCGCCACTCCTTTTATAGACCGCCAATTCTCTCGATTCCGATGAAAATGGATGAGATTGCTAATATATATACCTTTTAGACTGTGCTGGTCGTCGATTTCGGCAGGTCAGTCCTTTTCCCTGGGCATTGGTGAATACATGGGGAGCCCCTTGCACTCGTCGCATGGGGTTATCTCGATATTCACGATCCGTGTGTCACGAGCTGCATTCTATGCCATGCCTAGGCCGTCTTTCTATTCTCTATCCTCGCAAAGGCTGACGTGCGTGCTTTTCCCAGCCAGTACACCCACCTCATCACCAGGCGTCTGAGAGAGTTGAACATCTATTCAGAGATGCTGCCTTGCACGTAGGTCCTTTTTCTCGTTCTCTGTGTGAGGCTATTGTCCTTACTTTCTCCTAGGATGAAGGCGAAGGACTTGAAGTTCCGCCCCAAGGGCATCATTCTATCTGGCGGTGAGTCTCTTCAATGTCACAGGACACACCTAGCCCGATCGCAAAAAGCTTGGTTGAGGTCAATATCCAAGGCCGTGACTAACGAAAATGACAGGACCCGCCAGCGTTTATGAAGAGGATGCTCCTCGTAAGTAGCCGGCCTCCTTCCCCGATAGCAGCAGAAAGGGGCCTTACTTTCGAACCCATGTACTCACCAATGTCTAGATGCCGACCCCGAGCTCTTTGAATTGGGAGTGCCGTTGCTAGGTAAGAAGATTCTGTCTCCACAGACGGAAGGCTCGTTTACTTATATATCCAAGGTATCTGCCAGGGCCTTCAACAAATCGCGTGGCGTCTCTCGCCGCACAATGTTATTGCCGGAGAGAAGCGTGAGTTTGGCAAGGCATCGATTGTGCCTCAGCGCCACAACACCCCCGTCGACAGGCTCTTCGACGGTGTAGAAGGAGACGTTTGGTTGGTTCGGCCCCTGCCGTACTTGAGAATTGGACTAACAGTAAATAGGATGAGCCATGGCGATAAGTTGAGCGAACTCCCCGCCGGATTCTGCACCATCGCCGCCACCTCGAACTCTCCTTATGCTGGAATTGCCCACGAAAAGGACCCCGTGTTTGGAATTCAGTTCCACCCCGAAGTCACGTTCGTTTCTCGCTTTCTTTCTCTCTAACCCCACCCTATGTCCTTCATCTCAGTTGATATCGAAACGATACTGACCGTTCGCCATCGTTCAGCCATACTCCTTGTGGAAAGCGACTGCTCCGCAACTTCGCGGTTGATATTTGCGGTTGCAAGGCCAACTGGACTATGTCCAACTTTATTGACCAGGAGATTACCCGCATCCGAAACCTTGTTGGAGAGAGGGGTCAGGTTTTGGGCGCCGTCGTACGTTTCACCTGCCAGTGGTATTATTGCTTGTCATGTGGGGTCTAACTGCTAGAATCACAGTCCGGCGGAGTTGACAGCACCGTCGCCGCTAAGCTCATGAAGGAGGCCATTGGTGACCGATTGTGGGTATCTATTCCAACAGCAGGGATTGCTCAGGCAAACTAATTCTCGTTCGCCATATAGCCATGCCGTCCTTGTGGACCACGGCCTTATGAGGCTCAACGAATGCGCCGAAGTTAAGGAGACGATCGGCAAGCACCTCGGCATCGACCTTACTGTGGTCGATGCATCGGAGAGATTTATGGCCGGTCTTGCTGGAGTTACCGACCCTGAAAAGAAGAGGAAGTTCATTGGCAACACTTTGTGAGTAGATCACAGTCTCTAGCCCATGATGCAAGACGCCGTCCGCCAGGGAATGGGTCCCTAATTAATGGCATACTGACTCCTTTTACAGCATCGACGTGTTCGAGGAGGCCGCTATTAAAATCGAAAAGGTGAGCTCGTAGCGTCCGATGGACGAAAATATATTTGCTTGCGCTTCTAGGGACCATACTCACCTGTACTCAAAGGACGCTCAAAATACCCCCAATGCTGGGAAGGTTGAGTGGTTCCTTCAAGGTGTGTCTTTTTCCGTTCTTTATATTTGCTTGACATTATGCTTGGTCAAGGAAGGCCTCGATTCAGCCTTACTTAGCGGATATCAGAGATTCCACTTTCTAACAGTCATGGCGATCAGGTACGCTCTACCCTGACGTGATCGAGTCTATCTCGTACAGGGGCCCCTCAGTCACCATCAAGAGTACGTATTCCCATCCTTGCCTCGAAGATCACTGTTACTAACCATTCAACCAGCTCACCACAACGTCGGTGGTTTGCCCAAGAGGATGATGGAGGGTCAGGGGTTGAAGCTCATTGAGCCTCTCAGAGAGCTATTCAAGTACGTTGATTCTCAAGACTGCAAATGAAATACTGACTGACTGTTTCCAAACAGGGACGAGGTGCGCGAGCTTGGGCGTCAGCTCGGTATCAATGAACAGCTCGTCATGAGGCATCCTTTCCCCGGCCCCGGTATCGCCATCCGAATTCTGGGTGATATCACCCCTGACCGAGTCAGGATCGCCAGACACGCCGACCATGTAAGTTTTTGAATCGTCTGCGGAGTGGAGACAGAGAAGACTAACTTGGCAACTCAAAGATCTTCATCAGCATGATCAGGGAAGCGGGTCTTTATAACAAAATTAGCCAGGCATATGCTGGACTGTAAGTTGACTACCTATATCCCTAAAAGCCATATTGAACGGCGAAGTGCTAACAGTTCTTTCTACAGTGATACTAACAAGGTCGTCGGCGTTATGGTAAGTGTCATGTCCCGTGCCAGCCCTCACGCTTTCACTCCAACAATATCCGTGGCTAACGCAGATGAAATTAAACAGGGTGATAACCGTGTCGAGGGCTACATTATTATCCTTCGCGCCGTCGTAACGATCGATTTCATGACTGCCGAGGCGTTCAAATTCGATATGGACCTCCTGATGCAGATCTCGACCCGCATTGTCAACGAAGTCAACGGCGTCAGCTGTGTAGTATACAACACGACTTCGAAGCCCCCTGCCACCATTGAGCTCCAGTAAATTTGCGAAGAATTCTAGATAAATGCAGTCGCCGAATAGAACAATTCATTCCTCTTCGAGCCCTGAGGCGATAATGAGTACCGTAGTGTATATTTCTTTTGTGAACTAGGTGACCGCAACGCATAACGCTCCGCTTGGACATTCCTAGGCGATATTTATGTATTAACAAACTTCCGTTCCATTATCGTATTCGCCCATTGAAGACTGTGTCGACTCAATTACTGGCCACGATATTAACGAGATTGCGCTATGCACGATCGGCGCTTGTGCCAGTCATTCTACCCGATAATCCTCCTCTCCACCTCTCAATATATCGCCGCCACCAAGCCATTTCAAGCGTCACTGCTGAGACTTCCTCTCATTCTCAATGGCAGTCTGAAACAGGCCATAATTAAGCGGAAACCTCTCTCCCATCCAAATGGCCCTCTCGGAGTGGTCCCTCAGTGCAGCCTCGTTCTCAGACTCGCCCTCACCTGGCAGCATATTCGGGTGGATAAGAGCGGAAAGCGGGCCGCGCCAAACGGCTAACCAAGAGACGAACGCTCCGAACTGGGCTGGCGTAAACACGTTCACCTCGAACATAGCCACGGGGTGAGGTCCGACTGGTTTGTCCCAGAATCGGTAGATTCTCAGCTCGGGAACTTGGGTATAATAGTTAGCGCGTGAACTGGGCAGACGAAGGTTGGGCATATCTCGAAAGGCGCAAGCCTACGTCATTCCACTTACACTCTCGCCTGATCCGCTCCCACAGTTCAAATGCGTACTTGGCCTGCTCCTTGTCATTTTGGAAATAATATATGTGAATGTCGCTAAAAGAACGAGTCAGCTAGATTCTTCAAACAACATCAATAAAAAAACAGGCTGTCATCCCTCGGCTCCAGGAGATATGACTTACAAACCACCGCGGCGACCCTGGTCCAAAGGGTCAATGAAGCGCTCGTATGCTATGCTGCGGCCCTCACGTGCCGGATTGACTAGACTCTTGCCGTCTTCGTTCTTCTCCTCCGACAGCGGGGGAGCATTCTCAAAACCTGCCAGCGGCGAGGGATAAGTATACTTTACTGTGGGAGCCATTCTGATGGTGCTCGATGCCGCTATAGTCCGGCGACTGTGTGGCTTTCAATATTAAACCATCTTGCGAGAAGTGGGGACGAGACGCCGAGTTCGCAACCACGAAAAGATATATGGATGTGGTGTGTCGGCGTACTTCGGGTATCCATGACGTGATTTATCAGCTTCTGTGGATCCTTCCATTGTCGGCATCCAGCATTAGAAACCAAACCTACGCCGTTCAGGTTAGTGTTAATAATCGTTTCTTTCTTTTTTTTTTTTTTTTTTTTTTTTTTTTTTTCTTCGCCAGGTAAGCAATAAACTGGCCGACGAAGTAAAAGCTCGTGGGGGCGGGGTGCATCAAGGTAACTCCTTGTTGCAAGCACTTGGAAACAGACTGCACAGGTATCAATTGATATATATTTTCAGTGCTGGGATCCCGGTCTGCGTTGATATCCACTGTCGTGCTAATAAATGAAATAGTAACTCGCGCGTGCTAACGAGATGCGAAAGAAAATAGCTAGTTATAAGGGGGTATATAATATCTTGGAAGAGATCGGATGAAACTAAAGTCACGCGGGAGGTATAAACTTCGCGGTCAAATGAACTCTAGTAGCCAAATCGTCGCCAACTTAGAAGGTAAGTGATTAAGAACGAAATGTTGAGCTGCTCTGGGGTGGGCGAGATAACAACATTCGCACATCGGCTACAAGATTTTGTTTACGGCCAAAGAAACCAGGTGCGGTGTAGTTCCCGACTATCGCCGTAGTTTGTTACTTTCGCCTATGCCTATTCCCACGTTCAACTCTGCGGGCAGAAACATCGGCGCTGGCGCATAGCATGTCCATGTGCAGCCTAGACATACTGCTGACCTTCAGTATTATAGTGTTGGAGACAACTTATTAGATATATTGTTAAAATATGGAAATACGTAGAGAAAATCGAACATCACAGAAGCAAAACACAGCATCATTACCTTCGTCCGGCCACATGGAACAACCGACGTACTGACACTATCAACGGCCGGCTATAGAGTGGCGGCAAGACGTTGACTCATCTCCTTTCGAAGACAGTCTACTCGAATGTGGTCGTATCCTAGGACGCATAACACGGCCGTCCTTGCGAAAGGGAGGCGCATAACTCTCTTTTGACGAGGCGAAAAGCTGCATCGATGCGATGTGTGCATGATGTCAGAATGATCCTCCTCAGAATGATTCTGGGTATCCCGAGCACCCTAAACATAAACGCCTTTCCGACCGAAGCATAGCAAAGATAGAAAACCCTCGCCTCAATCAGCAACAGCTCGAGCTCCAAGGCAATGAGAGACACTTGCACCGATCATTCCTCAAGTAGGTCAAACCACTCCGGAATCTCCTTGATGAGACTCCACATGTACTTCTCCAACCTGACCGCGCACTTGTTGTATACCGTTGTCGCGTCGTTATACTGCTTGCAATTACTAAAAACCAATTTGAGATCGTTGACAAGGTCTCTGGGAGTAGCGTACAAATCATGCTCCAATCTCTCTTCCATAGTCGATAGATCCATGGGTGATGTAATCACGTTGTAATAATCAGGAACTTCATCTTTGTTGACCGGGTGGAGGAAGGGCCATGCTTTATCGTGATTCTGGATTTGATAAAGGAAACGCCGAAGTTCGTTGAAATGAGGTCCGTGGCGTGGTTGTCGTGCCAATTCGTCCATATCCGGAGACCACCCCGTTGCTCGAATAGCTGGGATAGAGAGTGGATCGATAGGGATGACAACGCCACTAGTCCACTGCTGAGGCGGTTGGTGAACGATGTGACTTTTGCTCAAGGCACGAATTTTGGCTCGTACGGTTTCCTTCTGCTTGAGAAGCATACGGCCGACCTCGAGGTAACGTATTCGGGGTACCATGGAGCATTGCATGAGCGTCCCCCCTTCGTAATCCTTAATATACCCCATCCAGACAGACTTCTCGAGGGTGATCTCCTTGGTAAAGCCCTGTTTTTGAAAATACCCGGTGGCATAGTTATCGGCGTAAGTTAGAAAATGCATCACTGGCGAGGTAGCCTTGACATAGTCCTTCAAATGCGCCATGAGATGCGCCCCGTATCCCTTCACTTGTTGATCAGATGAGACGGCGCAGAAAACGATTTCTGCAAACTTGCGGTCTCGGAATTCTCGGAATGATATTCCGCCAATGACCTCTAGTGGCATTCTTATAATGGCGATGGACAGATGAGTGCGATCGTAGACGAGACGCGCAATGTAATCTTTGGGCATTTTTGGAAGTTGCTTTTGGAACAGGCACTTGAGACCCGTAAGGATAATCGAACTCTCTCTGGTGCCATCATTGTTGACAACTCGGAATTGGATCTCGCCTTTTCGTTCTTCCACAACTGCGGGCTTCAGAACAGTTAGAATATTTCTGACGCTTAAGGGTCTACTTCGTAGCTAGCGTGAGCGTGCCTTGTCTGGGAACGGAACTCTCTTGAGGGCTGGAGCTGGAGGTTGAACCTCTGGTTCTGTCAACCCGTCATGAGAACTTTTGATTCTTTTGATATTTGACGCGGTCTCCAGTTCTTGGGAAGCAGCGCGCTTCATGACTCGGAGATTCTGCCCGTGGTCGACTGGAAGTGGTTGTGACTTTGCTGTGGCCATTTTCGTCGTGACAGTGATAGGTAGCATTCAAACTAGTGCAGGCTAGCCCCGAGTCCCATGGGATTATCGTCGGGCTTAACCTTAAAAGGTTGGAGATGCGAAGTGGACTACGAAGTAGTCCCACCCTAAATATTCTGCCCTCGCACCAATTCCAATCATTATCACGTGATGATATTTCCGACCCCCTGAGAGCTGCCAGCACTCTTAATGATTCAATGTAGGGAATTGACCCTCTGGTGTTTCGGCTGCAGCTTAAATCGTTCAGCCTCTCATTCCAAAGCAACGTGGAACTCACTACAACCTTACCGATGCAGCAGTAATGCCAATAAAACAATTCCCAGTTTTGCTAAGAGCACGTTCTCATAGTTCTCGACCAACAAGCTGCAAATTGCGAAATGCATTGGCGACCCCGCGCTGTTAGACGGCAACGATATAATTTTGCTACACGTCCCACGGGGCTCGTCAAGGCGTTGGCGCTGGGGAATTGGGCTCTGGCGGTCCTCTGGAGAGAGTGTCTGGTCTGGCTTGCGTCTTGGTCACTGAGGGTACTGAAGCTGGCTTGGATTCGCTAGTCCCGCATCCTACTTTCCTCGATAGCATCAATTAATCGCAAATGGTCGACTTCGCATTTCCAATATTGCTGGTCTTTAACATTGCGTGGCGTTTCTTCGGGGGCGCATTCTGACATAGCGCGAGACATTGTTCAGAGCGTGTGCGAAAAATCGGTAATGGACATTCGTTTGAGAGATAGTAACCTCTTTGATGTCCACGTCGTGGGCGTAGTGCTTCGCTTGGTTGGCCCAATATTCCTTAAAGATTCGCTCTTGGTGAACGTCCACCTCCGACGGCGAAAAGCAACCTCGCAGCATCCTCGCCGCCCAATCGTAGGTCCCAGTGACACACATTGCGAGTGAGGTCCGGGGCCTACTAAATCTCTCTCGTTTTGCACCTCTTGCAACCTCCGAGAGAGCTCACTGACCCGATCTTCACCGTCGAGAGGGTAGGTGATTTGGTAAGACGGAAAATTCATCCTTCTTATTTCATCAGGGGTCGTGGAAAAGGTCGTGCAAGGAGTGGTTATGCAGCTATTCTCTATTATCTGGCAATCGGTCCAGCAACTGGCAACAGCTTCTATTTTTGAACTCAATCCATGCAAGGGACGCTAGTACGCCCAAAGGGCCAATTCACCGATGTGTAAAATGGGCTATTTCTTCTAAATTTTAGTTGGTATTTGTGACTCCGGAGTTTCTCTTATGCGGGGACTCGCTGAATGCGGTGTCGTGGACTCATGATAGTTCGATGTTTTCATGACCCCAGGGTTAGGCAGCGAGAGTTATATCCACAAGTAATGAAACGTTACGAGGGCCCGCCTAGTCCGGCTTGATGCGAGGTTATTTCCATTTTCCGTGTCTGGATTGAGGAAGGATGTTGCCCGAGGCATTACACCGCCCCTCACGATTTAATCCATTTTGTCCCCTCGCGGCTAGCACGGCAGGGGCTGAACACTATTGATCCCACGATGCGACCCTAAAACACAGTTCTCCAGGCAGAGTCCAGGCAACGAAAACGTCACTCGCGGGATTGACATATAAGGGGGTTCCTCCTCCCCGCCCTCCTCCCCGGCGCCAGAAAGATGCCCGACTATTACAAATAGCAAACCTAAAGCCTAGCACGATGGAACAAGCAAGGTTGCCGTTCGAATATTCACGTCTTCCTTTGCACAGCAGGGAAATTCGGATCTTCAGGCTCTTGCCAGCCAGAGCAGGCGAAGAAGACAATATCAGTGGCGAAATTTTCACTATCAATCTTGATGGCTCTCACCGCTTCACAGCTCTGTCATATGCATGGGGCGATAATCGACATGTGGTCAATATTGAGACCAATGGAGGACTTCTTCCAATCACATTGTCTCTGAAGACCGCCCTTCAGGGACTCCGAGAGGCCGAACCTCTAGACCTGTGGATTGACCAAATTTGCATCAACCAGGACGATGACGACGAGAAAGCCCACCAAATTCCCCTCATGAAGGACATTTACACGCTCTCGACGCAAACCATTGCCTGGCTTGGCCCTGGTTCAACGGAACAAGCCATAGCATATCTGGAGAGAGTAGGGCGGCAGTTCTCTAGTTTTGGGATTAGAGTAATGACGAAAAAGCTTCAAGAGCAGCTTTTGTCGGACGAAGACGTAGAGAGTGGGGGATTGATAACGATCCCCGAATCACTGCGCGAGACGAAAAGGAAGATCAAAGAAATGATTGAGGCGGAGGGTGAGTGGCACGAGATAGCAGCCTTAGCCGAGCTGGAGGAGTTTTTCAACGTCCCGTATTTCAAACGTGGGTGGATCAAGCAAGAGGTCGCCTTGCCGCCGAAGCTACTCGTTAAGCGCGGAAATTCTTCAATCGACGGCGACATTCTCTACTGCGGCCTGCTCTTCCATACACTCCACTGGCAACGTGACATGAGAGGCCTCAAGGATATCATCCGGGGCCCTATGACGCTAGAGATCGGCAAGAAAATCCAGACACTTCTCGCGGACAGACCGGGACGGGACGCGGCGAATACCAGTATGGTTGCCAGGGCTAAGTTGCACAATCCCGAGGGTGAGCCTCCTGTGACTTTGGGGCAGCTTCTTCGCAGATTTCGCCTCAATTCCTCCTACACGAGCGGCGGAGGTGGTGAAGAAGCTACTCTCTTTTCGGATCATAAGGATTACATCTACGGCTTCCTGGGGCTGGCAAGTGATGCCGAGACGCTTGCCATTCCCATCCAAACTAGTAGGTCGGTGTCGCCAGAGAAGGTGTACATCGACGCTACTAAACGTATCATCGAAGCCGGTGACGTGGAATTCATTTTCTTAGCCCACCGCCCCCAGCCACACCCGAATCTCCCGTCTTGGGTCCCCGACTTCCGATCGGTTTGTGAAGTGCCCCATCTTACCTACGGAACCATCATCTCTTCCCAGCCGTTTTCGGCAAGCTCCGGCCGTTCCCAGTCGACCAGACCACATGCTCTAAGTGATGCCGACCCCGACGTTTTAGCTCTCGAGGGCATCCCGATCGACGTCGTTGGTGCTACCGGCGAGGCATGGCCGATCGAGGCTGACGGCGAACGGAAACTCCGCAACAGCGCAATCTCTCAACACACTACACAGCTTCTCATATCAGAGGCCATAGAAATTATGAAACGCACGCCAAATCACCCTCTCTGGGCCACGGAAGAGCAAAGGCGGCGATGGGAGGAAGCAAGCTGGCGCATCCCCATCGCCGACCAAGAATACGTTGGCAACACGCCCTGGCATAGTCAGAGAGCGACGGCCGAAAGGTCAAAAGTTGGGGCCGAGCAACTAGCTGAAGTGGTAGTGCGGCATCGTCGGATATTCGTTAACGGCGAATCACCCGATGTGGTTATTCCACTCACCGAGGACGAGGAAAGGAGTCTTGCTGGATTGGAAGGAGCTGAACTGTCAGCGCGTCGGACCGAACTGTGGATGAAGAAAATCCGCCCTCAAGGTGAATTGTGCAATAATTACGCCTCAGCACTGTCTGTCTCGGCGGTTCGACGCGGATACCGGGGTGTAGAGGGGTTTGTGGGAATCGGTCCGTTGGAATTGCAGGATGGAGACATCATATGTGTGCTTTTCGGAGCTACGGTCCCCGTCGCATTGAGACCTTTGCATAATGGTTTTTATTCATACATTGGAGACCTGTACTGCCACGGCATCATGGACGGCGAGGCCTTGACATGGGGAAAAGAGGCACAATGGTTCAACCTTCGCTAGAAGTCAATGAATAGACCGAGAAACGCACCTCAGCTAACCTAGCTAGGATCTTGGGTCGGAGGATGTCTGACGGCTCCTTTGTTGTACCAGTTCTAGGGCCTATCCAAGAACCAGTGAACAGAGGCATGTTGGGACATTTTAAACTTGAATCGCACATGCAACATGGAATCGTCTAATTTATTTGGTATCAATGAACTATGTAACGAAAATCGTAACGAAACTATGAAAGCCACAATCATACATCCCGCAGTTCCAGCCCTCTACACTTTAGATTTAAGTGGAGGTTCTGAATCAGACCGGTTGATCGACACACCGTCGCTTTGCGCCGGGAGAGAGTTCATCATCATGGCATCTTCAGGCTCCTCGGGCAACGTCAAGTTGAGAATCATGCAAATGAAAGCAGTGACGACGAACCCGGACTCCATAACAATCTCGATAGCGTCCATAAATCCACGGAGGCTAGTGTTGGGTCCGTGGTAGGTGAAGACCGTGTCGAAGTAGGTAGGCACCAACGTAGCTCCAAAACCGATCGTAAGACCAGCCGTCAGGATAAACCGGTTCCTCCTGGTAAAAGGAACACTGCGCGCGATGACAGCCATACCAGAGACGGCCACGGAGCAAAAGAGGAAGGTAGTCATGCCTCCTAGAACCGAAGACGGAATGGCGACGAGCGCGGCGGCAAATTTGGCGAAGATGCCCATGACGATGAGGAAGAAGCAGCAGCAGTAGCCGGCGGTGCGATTAGCGCATCGAGTAAGGGCGATAACGCCGTTATTCTGGGCGAACGTGCTCATGGGTGTGATGGTCATCAGGGCGGCGAGGAGACCGTTGAGGCCGTCAGCGAGGACACCACCTTGAACTCTAGTCTCGTAGATGGGCCCCGAGACTTCCACTCGGGAAACATCGCAGGAGGCTGTGATGTCGCCAATGGCTTCGCAGGCGACGATAATAAAGACGGAGAGGATGGGAAGGACGAGAGGGCCGTAGACGGTGAGCTTGAAGGTGTGCACCCATATGAAGGAGGCCACGGGAGCGCTGTCGATTCCGGACCGGTCGAAGTATCCGGTGGCAGCGGCGATAATACAGCCGACGAGAAGACCTATGACAACGCTGCAACTCTTCATGATGGGCTGTTAAGAAAGTGGGAGAGGTTAGCGGTATTCCGATATGTTCACGGTTGGAATACATCAGCTTTAAAACTTACCGAACCGAACCGTTCGCAAAGGATGATCGTGACGAAGACGGAGAACCCGAGACCTAGGTATTCTGCAGATCCCCAGGGAAGGGCGTGAGGAGCATTGATGTTGGGGCACGAGGCAAAAAAGTCGCTCGTTGGCTGGAAACAAGGCCCAGAACCACCACCCCAGTTCTTGAAACCGCTCTCGACAAGGTGGATACCAATGAGCATAATAGTAGGGCCTTCAAATTGTCAGAGATATGGCAGACCGATGGGTTCAATAGAATGCTGAGCCTTACCAGTGACAATTGGCGGTACAACCTTGAGAAGGATCTTAGGAGGGATGAAGGCGATCAAAATTTCAAGGAGAGCGCAGCATGCTGCGGTGCCCAGCAGTGCGCCGTATCCCTTGGGACATGAGAGACGGAGACCATTGTCGTCTGTCGGACAGAAACCGTTTTTATACATTTGATCAAAGGCACTATAGGAATCATGGTTAGTAAATTCAATTCACTCCCTCGACACATATTAGCTCGAGGAGATACACTAACCCTTGAGCGACAGGGATAATGGTGAATGATATCCCTACTACGGATATCAAACCCGTTCCAAGATAGTACGGTGTCTTGTAAATGTGGAATCTTGTGATTTGAATCATAGAAAGAGTGCCGGAGACGATCAAGGCCGTGGAAACAAGGTACTGCTGCAGCTCTGGGGGGAAGTTGACGCCGCCTGCACCTCCGAGTATAATTGGCGGTGTGATAACTCCCGCAAGCATAGCAAGCGCATGTTGGAATCCAAGAAGAAGAGCGAGGAGGAGTGGCATGCGGTCATTGAGGCCGAAGAACGGAGAGCCCTGCTCAGGCTTCTTCATGAACGGGAGGTTCGGCCTAAAGAGGAACGCATAGTCGTAAGTGCCGATTAGGCCATCTTTCGTGAAGAAGAGGTGTCTTGCGCCGGCGAGAAATCTCCCGAGTGATCGTCGCTTTTCAGTTGGTGGGATAATCTGCGATGGGCCCTGATCTTCGTCCATGGCGAATTAGGTGGTTCCAGTAAACTCCAGACTAAGTTTGGAGTTTGCTACCCAATCAAAAGTGATATATATGGGAATAGGCGATCGATCGGTTCCTGAGCTCTTGGAGGCTGTCAAGTTCGAGGTGGCGGACAGGCGGGATATAAAAGCTCCCTTGACGAAACTTTTTCCGTTTTCTCGGCGACAATGTGATTTGTGACGTACCAGGAGGTGAAACCGTTTCCCAAAAGGTAGTACATGGTTAGATAGTAAAGGCTAACCCTGTCAGGCACGCTGATTGGACCTAAGTGGAATCAATAGTATCACATCCAAGGGTCACTAAGTTTGATGGTGGGGACGATTCGGGCCCATGTCCACCACCCTTGCCTCCCGTCCACCCCGTACATGAATGCTGCAGCCATCCTGAGATAAAGATTACGAAGGATATATGGAGGCGGCGGGCTCCGATGAAGATAAGATAGCAAGTGCCCGAACCGAGATAAACAGGAATGGGGAGAGATCGGGCAGGATTCGTGTGGTTGTGCGCATTCACATTCACATCGGATCCTTGGAATCGGAATTGTCCTCCCTTGGGTGGGTTGAGCGAGGCAGAGAAGAGGGAAGCCGCCGAATCTGAATACGAAGTACGGCCATGTCCTTGAGAAGGGTTTGTAGTCCAGGAGCAGCAGTGATCGCCTCCCCCTTGTTTCCCCGCTGTTTGGTTTCGTGTTGTGGTATTAGCTTAACCTTTTTTCTAGTGCGTTTGGTGCGTTGGTTGACAAGAGTGCACGATCCGTTCCTAGGGAATCGGCATTGAATGCCATGTAAACAAGCCACACTATCCTCTTCATTATACTTCGTAGCCCAAATTTGAAGGTATTTCGAGATGGAAGCCGAATTTTTGCATGGTTTCACTGCGCATTCGATCTATTCCTTCATGATGGCAGGAATGGCTGTCGTCCCTAATTGACTCTGCTGCATGTCGATCGCCACTGAAAATTTGCCACCCAGCCCGGTTCTCTTGCACACCGAATCTGATTTGATGTTGGAGGATGATGGGTGACCGCGTATCTGAGGGAAAAACACGCGTCGAAATAGATACAGAGAGAGGCCGCAGGATATATTATTGACAGCCATTTATAATATGCATTTCCAATGCAAGAGCAGTCGTCCGTGGTCAATGACGTCGCGACTTGGTTGACGAGCCATTGATCCTAGATGTACAGTTCTAGGAAACCCCTTATACTTGAGGATGTATGTGCTGAATTTCCATATGTTCATTATGTTTATCGGACTGCACCGCTTCCAAAACAGCATCGAGAATAATTTCTGCTCCATCGGGAGAGTAGTCCGCATTCCTAAAAGCGACGGCGACAAGTCCGGAAGAGGAATCAGCCATAGTAATAAGATCGATTATATCATGCTCTAATGACTCGAGGTTATATCTGCGCCTGGAATAGGAAAGTTTGATTTTACGGTTCGGGTTAGTGAGCGAGCTCGTGTGGCACCAACAACGAGGAGCTGGATTTGAGATGGGGATAATAATCCGATATTGATAAGGGTCATTCTTGGCTGATAAGGTCTGGGTCATGGCCCCTGTTCAGGTATCAATTGCACCAGTCCCGATCCAGAAGCCCGTTTTCCAGGCTCCACAGCGTCAGACCTAGAAGAGGTAGAACTCCGCTCCATGATCCGTTTGCCTCGATAGGACGCACTCACGTAGCATGCCGTAGGCAGATTGATATCTGGTATCAACGCATCCATCCCAATATCTTGGGCCCCTCCACACCGAACAATGTGGGGGCGGGGCCTCGGCTCGAGGCGACACATTGACGGGAGATAACGATGCATCGCACCCGGAGACTTGGGCTGGCGGATCCAGCAGTGGTGCGGGCGAATGCAGATAATGGTCAAAATATTGCATAATTATTGCATCGGACTCAGCCGTCCCTTCTCGCTGGCATCCATTGCGACCCTTCAGTATCACTACTTCCCAATGTATGTAGGTAGCACTTGCTCGGGTCCGAGAGATAGCTGTCATCCGATCTGGCATGTTCCTCTGTACAGCTGTTTCCACTAGAGCTGAAAGTTGGGCGACACGTCGTATTCCTGGAATAACACTGCTTCCATAATAAGTTAATTTATGACCGTATGAAGATATCTCGGCTGTACACCGGGAGCCCATCAGCTCATCCCCAATGCAAGATAGATCCTACCTACATCATGCTTCCGATGAAAACTGCACCCAGGGAGCTTTAATAGAAGGTTAAGAAACCTGCTTCCTAGATGCTAGAGCCAGACTTAGCACGGGCTCAACATTGGTAAACGTATTTTCATGCCCAAATAGAGCCAGGGGACAGACAGGTGTCTCTCTGGACTTCACCAAGCGCGCGCTTTAACCGCGCAATCGTGGAAGAAGGTGATCCATCGCTGGATTTCTTCTAGCGCCCCGTCATCGCATCGCGTATATATAGGCCTGCGGGATGCCTGCTTCCAGTACTTGGGCCTGTGACAATGCAAGTAGACCATGGCGCGCCGCTTCGCGCAGACAGCAAGAAAAAAGGTACCGTCTAGTTGTCCGTTGTGCAGCTTCGGCTTGCCTACGAAGTAAACAGGAGTGATGGTTCCCGCTCGGAACTTGCACTTCTTAAATGCTTGTTGAAGTCGGTATTTTCGGGGATCTTTCCAATAACAGCTTCAAATCGGAGCTGTTACGTAAGGCTAGCCCTGTTCATGCAATGTAAATTTTAAGCCCTCAGTGCTCACTGACTTCTTCGTTGAACATCGGTTCTCGAATTTACCAAGTTGTAATATCGAACTTCGCCTTCTACCTAATCATGGACCAAGACGCTGATGTCGTCTCTGAAGCACATCCGTGGATCATCCGACAATGCGGTGTTTGCGCCGAGTTCATTGAGACGAATCGGCGAACGATAATTTGTAACACTAGCCACCCAACGGCCCGTTGGGTCTGAGAGAGGACTGACTTGAGATGCAATAGTTTATACCAAAGATGGTTCGATGAACTACATTGGTCCAGTCGAATTCAGCTACCCGAATGATACGAGTCGCGCCGAGCTTGAAGGCGACGGCTTTCATGTCTCCGGTGATCATGCTTATTGCCGTTGTCCTGCCGCCGTAGACTGCGTGCTGCTACACCCTTCATGCTACGGAGTCTTTCTTCGGAGTTCGGCAATTGATAAATTCGAGGCCACGAAACGCCTCTGGGTAATCGCCACATGGAAGCACCCGTGGAAGTTGAGCCCGCCGCTCTACCTACCACGCAAGAACCTGGACCGAGATGCACTTCAAGTTGTGGCGGCCAGATGTGGCATTTCCCAGCTTGCCGCATTACCCTCGGAAATAGTTCAGATCATCCGCGCAAATTCTGAGCCCTACGATTGTGACCAGTGCTCGTTTTGGAACGTCGTGGCGGCAGTGAGCTTGGCGAATCAGGTCTCCGTGAAAGAAGACAGTGAGCCTCTCCAGACTGTTCGCCTGAGCAGAATCCTCTCATGGGAGCGTGGCGGGAAGCTTCAGCGCATTGGAATTGAATCACGATCGCAATATAAGGCCGTGAGGGTGACCATTGATGGGGATGGCATAAGTAGAGTTGAGGCACTTCCTGAGGTGCCCTTGTATTCAGGGGAGTGCTACGACACACTTTCCTTCGCCGTGCTGAGCATCGAGGCTGCAGAGTCGGTCGTGGCTCACGCAATGGTATTTGATATCCTCCCGAATGACCATCCCAGTTTATTCGTATCTTATTCTTCGTCTAGCATGGTCGTCTCCGCCTCCAGTTCGCCGATCCTTCCAATCATCCAACAGTATGGAACACTCCCGCACCTCCTGACCTCCTCCAGTGCAAACCATTTGCGCCCTGGTCCCTCCCTTCCCCAGTCGCTTTCGCCATCGAACTGAACAAGATCGCGGGGATGTCATTCTTTTTCGACCACGACCGCGTCGTTGATGTCCATCCCCACTACAACTCACACTCTGGAGCTGCGCCAGCTTTCCACCGCGCTTGTAACCTGTTTAGTCATGCCAATCCTGTCTGGACGTATCTGCCTATCGCAAAACGCGACAAAGTTCTGTTTATGGGATTTAGGAACTTTGAGTTTATTAATGACAGGGCTTTCCAGATTCTTGTCAGGACACAGTTGGTGGGCGACATTGTCCTTGGTGTATTCGAAAATCCCTCCTTGAACCTTACCACTTCGCACATTGGAACCATAATGCCCGAGACACTTGTCTGCTGTAGATCTAGGGACTGGCCCAGATGGAACTTTGGAACATATCACAATGCACCTGAGAGAAATGAGGCCTCTAATCTATTTCCGGACGCCGAAGACTTGACCGGTGAACTCGCCAGACCATTTCTAAGACACTGCCCTGAAGATGTCATTCTCCGCAACTGGGCGCACTTTTACTCGGAGGCCCCCCTGAAGAACGTCTCGTCTGCAGTCGTGTTTTATCATAGGCACAGCGGATTCTGTCGAGGAATCATCCTCCATTATGATAACGGAGGTTCCCGCGGGCTTGGGGAGTGTCGCGTGGACTTAGACCCCGTGAAGACGTTTACTCGGCCACTGAGGCTTTGGATATTAGAAGACACAGTAATTACTCGGGGCATCCACGCTTACCGGCGTGTAGAGGTCGAGTTTACGCGTGATGCAGAGGACTCCCAGAAGGGCAAAATTTGGCGTTCCTACCCAATGGAAGGAGTCTTGAGGTTCTGGTATTCTACGGGGGAGTCGGCTTGCCGTGTTCATGTAGAAAGATCTTAATCAGGCCATGTTTAGATTTTCTAAGCTGCAATTATGAAAGGGAAAAGGAATTTTGCAAACCCGCACAACCCGAGCCACACCCGCAGACCCATGTTGACCATCACAAAGTTGGAGATGCCGCGCACAAAACATCCAAATTTCATATATTGAGCTCACCATCCAATGGCTGATAAATGGTATATATATTCTTCCCTCCTAAGTTTGGGTCAACTAGCAATCGTCCATCTTACAACGCTAAAGCATTTCATATCCTTTTCCTAGATTAAAACAAACTGCTTTCGACCTTACGCTTCCTTCGTGGGCGCTTGATTAGCAGCCGCTCCATTCTTCTCGTTATCCGATCCAGCGTCTCTATCCGACGTTACGGCGTCACTCTGCACGGCGACTGATGTAAGGGGAGGGGTATCCTCTCTCCAGAAATCCTTTTTGCCACTGAAAAGCCTCCGAGTCCAAGGCGGGAAGAAGCCACCAGGAATCCGGTAGGTCCAGCCATCACGCTCATCATAGTTGAGGGGTACGATACGGCCTCCGGAGATCACCTTGATGATCCAAACAGTGGTGTTCAACACAATGTAGGTGCAAATGCCGCCGATAAGGCCATCGGCGATCGAGTACGTGAAAGGCATGAGGGCGATGGTCACAAAGGCGGGGACTCCATCACCCAGGTACTTCCAGTTGATCTCGGTGACTACGCCGACCATCATGGATCCGACGAGGATAAGAACGCAGCCGGTAGCCCAGGGAGGGATGGAGGCGAAAATGGGAGCGAAGAAAATGGAGATGAAGAAGCAGATTCCGGTCATCATGGCAGTGAGACCCGTCTTTCCACCTTCGGAGATACCAGCACCGGATTCGACGAAGGCCGTGACTGGGGGGACACCGAGGACGGAACCGATGGAAATGCTCAAGGCATCGACCATGTAAGCAAGGGTGGAGCCCTCGAAATCCTGGGTGACGGGGTCAATCAAGTTGGCAAAACGGGCCATACCGTAGAGAGTACCGGTGCAATCGAGAATATCGACGTAGAGGAAGGTGATGAGAGCGAGACCGAACTGACCGCCGTATCCGGAGATGTTCCATTCCTGGACGTTTAGAATCTTGGAGATTTTATGGAAATCGACAACCTGCTTAAAGAAGTCGAAGGCGTCATTGCCAACGGCGGTGTACGGGAAATACGTGACGGGAGTCGTCCTAGGCCACGAGATGATGCTAACAAGAATAATGCCAGCGATAACCGCTCCCTTAACGCGGTAGATCATCAAGACGGTCGTAAAGATACCACCGCAGAAGATTCCGACCCACATAGCGGGATATCGCATCTTGTCCCAGCTCGGACAAGTTCCATCCTCGAGACGGTTCCCCGGGGAGCAGCCGGCAAGTTCGACCGGAGTCGCCGAAGCGCCGACGATGAGGGCGATTCCCTCGCTGTAAGTGAGGCCGATCAGGGTAAGGAACAGACCGATACCGGCACTGGTAGCGAGCTTGATGGGGCGCGGAATGGCCCGCGCAAGCCACTGCCGCATGCCAAGAAGGGCAAGACCGAAGAAGATGAAGCCCTCGATGAAGATGGCGGTTAGAGCGACCTGGAAAGGTACAGGCCCCGATCCGTGAAAGCCGACTGGGTCGCTCAAAGGTTAGCGAGTGTGTGACATGGCGCACATGGCGCAAGAGCCCCGGCGGGATGTGACTAACCGACGGTGTAAGTGAAGTAGGCATTGAGACCTGGCGAGATGTAAGCGTCAGCTTATTGCTTTTTCAAACCGCTCATCACTCAAGGAAACGCCACCAGAGCGGAGTCGTTTATTTCTCTATCACACCGCCCGAACACTAGCGGTGACGAGAGTTTGCAGAGAAGGGGAAAAGCAAGCTCAAAAAGAAAAGAAAAAAAAAGTTATCTGAGACAGGTAGGACGACATACCCATTCCAGGAGCCAAGCCAACAGGCCTAGAGTTTTACCGACTGGTTAGACATGATTACTTTCAGAGGGAAATAGAAAATAAGAATTGAGACTCACAGATTGGCAAAAAGGCCCATGCAAAACGTCGCAAGAGAAGAAATGGCCGCGGTCGCTGTCACGGCATCTCGCTTAACGGCCTGAGTACACATCAGGTACTCCTCATTCTTCGCGCAAATAGGATCGTCCGCGCCGCCGTTGCAAACACAGGGGCCGCCACTATCCGCGACGATCGACGCATTAACGGCGATAATGTAAGCCATGGCGAAGAAGCAAGCCAGGCCTGCGCGGAGCTCGGTGAAGAAGAACGAGCCCTTTCGTTCCTTCGGCTACATGATGAAAGGACAATGAGTCAATAGTTCTTTTGCGTTTGACGCAGCGCTGACGACGGTGGTAAAAATTCTCCCTTCACATGGAGGAGGGGATGGGCTCTGTGTGTGTGAGAGAGAAGGAACGTACATGACCCGAGCCTTCGAGCCGAAACCAGCGGCCCACCGGGCTCGCGGCGACCTTGTGATTGATGTTTTGTATGAAACCCATATCTTCGGGAGGAAGTAACGTCGGGCAATAAAGATGAGTTCGAGAACTGCTCGAGGAAGGAGGGGAGCTAGGAGGGAAGCTCCCTTGCGGGCCGTGATGTATATATGAAGTATGAGCCCTAGAAAAAAAGAAGAAAAAAAATATTCTGCATCATACCCACCCACCCCAGTCCCCAGGTCGCAGGTCGCGCGTGCGGAATGGGTTGACGGGAAGATTAGTGGGGGGCGTGCAAGAGAGATAGCGACGAACACTACGCTGCACTAGTTATCTCGCCGAGGTTCATTGGCTCAGACTCGAGCTGGTCTCCATAAGCCGGGGCTACATTCGTCTTTGGGTAACTTCGGAGGTGGGTATGGATCTGGTTAGAGTTGAATTCATCTGCAAAGGATCCCGAAAGCGGGCCCTTTGACAATGACAGCCCATAGAGTCTACGTAGGAACTGAATCACCGAACGATTAATCAACTATTACGGTAGACTATGAAGAGCTCTATTCCAAGATAAGAACTAGTGCCAAGATGAGGCCAACGGAAAGCTCGCCGCATTTCGCATGCGTTCGATTCGACTATTCGACTGCTGCATGTCATTGAAATATTTCATGCGGGATGATCTACTCAGGAAGGAATAGTGGATGTTGGCTGAAAGGGTAAGTGATTCAGTGATAAGACGAAACAGGGTAGATGAGCGAGAGAAAAAAAAGATGCCCTCCGTCAAATGTGGCACATCGCCGGTTTCCTATCTTGTTGCGTGCGTCCAGTGGCTTGAGATAAAGGCAAGTAAGAGACGGATATCGGCATGTTCCTACGCCAATATATCTGAGAGCTGGGAGCTGGGCCCCCATGTTCAGTCCTCCCTCCACATCTCAGACCGAGGGTGGAAACCTGTTATCTCTGATGATGTTACTGGCCCTGCAAGCAAAGAACTTGAGAATGCGGGTAGAGCGAAATGTGGCGCATCAGCGAGGGTCACATTGGCTGGAAATTGCGGGAAGGGGTTGAAAATTGTGCGTGTGGGGTCACTTTTCCTGCATGAAAATCCAGCATCCTTTTGAGATTACGAAGCACTTCGCATGCAACCCCTGCCTCATAGAATAACCCCGATAGGCATTAATTCATACTAACGGGGATACAACATCAGCGAAGAACATGAATGATGATGCTTCTAAAAACGGCGCAGTTGGAAACAAGCCACCTCCCCAGTAACTGGCTGGATTCAGTCTGGGCCGGGATTGCAGCGGGCGTTAGTCGCAGTAGCGCCTTGTGTAGACATTGACGAAAAAGCATGACGTGCGCTTTCCCAAGGACAGAGCAGATTCACTTGGTCTCGTGTCTGCCGTAGTGTTGGACAAAGATAGAATCACCAAGTCGTCCAATTGTTGCATGAGAGCGTGTATGCTCATAAACAAACATTGACCCGAGAACCTTGAGATCCGTTTGTGGGCAGTCTCATGAATCATCCTGCACCATTAAGTTGCATTGCATTCACCCCACGGGTCTACATTTCTTGGAGTTCTCTATCTTCGATGCGTATTGCTCGACTAAGTAGGTCGCCTTGAATATTCAGAGTTAAAAACAACCTCAGCTTATCTTTGTGGCTACCAAAGTGTATGAGAAGCTAAGAAAGAAGCTCCATCTGCTGACTTGGGGCCAAGGCAAGATCGTCACAAACACAAACCTTCGAGAGAGCTTGAGTAGAATATGAGCTATTTAGGGCAGTCTAATATTTCAGTAATGAATAGTTCGAGCTCCTTCATCTAGCTTGGCTCCTCGTTGTTTATGGGAAAGATTAAACTAAGTATTAGCTCAGGGCACTCGAAACGTAATGTTACTCTGATATCTTGTGCGTAAATGTGTTACCCATCGCATTCGTTGTTCTACTACTCATTCGTTTGCTCGAAGTGGCAGCCCGGAAGGACTTATAAACGCCAAGTCCACTCTTTCTTTTTGCAGCATGACCGAGTAAGCCCCCATGAATCGGGAATTCCCCGACGAGCTGTGCGTCATGATAACATGAGGAGCTAGATATGCCCATGAGATTTAAACTAGAGTTACTTCCCCAACTGAGTCCCGAAAACGAGGCGTAGTGGAAGGTTGATGGGTGCGTTGTCGTGAATAACGCCGAGAAATGTATCTTCTAGCACCTACATCATCAGCGAGGCCCGTCTCTGCACTCGAGCTGATATCATGACGACTGCGTCTGATGTGGTGTATGTAGATAATACAGTGGTAAAGATGAAGTCCATAATTGGAACATGCCCTTTTAGGTCTTCTTTTCAATATACGCGCTCCTGTGGATGTACACCGGGTATTAGAAACACTATTCTCCTGAGCCATGTTGCACCTAAAGCACACAGTATATATGTCACCCTTGCTGAACACTTTGATCGAGGTACTTATATTATTATGGACAGCTGGCCAAGTCAAATCATCACCATCAGCCATTCCAGAAAAGTCGACGTGAATGGTGCCTGCGCACGGGAGCCTCTCCGCTGATGCGGCGAGTAGTGTATCGTGAGGTTTGCCGAAGTTACCCGCAGCTGATTGTCGATCTCATGCTTCTTCTCATCGGGGTCGTGGTTCCATTCCCACTCCCGAGGTGAGGCTGAAAGAGGGGCCTTGAACACTGTTCCGAGCCAGTTCATCAACAGTCGAGAAGGATAAGGCGGAGAATACGAGATAATTTACCAGGTAGTTGGCCGAGAACCTTTGCATTGCCGTGAACAAGACTGAGTTTCCCAACAAGACTGAGTTTCCCTCCCTTAACCCCAAGTGCCCCGATCGCAGCCGCTTCGCCCTCCCCGCGGATCACGGATGCGCCCGAGTGGACGAGCCTCCCTAAGCTGGCCGCCGCCCCGAGCTCAAATCTCGCAGTCACCGATCTTCTGCTTTCCTAAGAGTAAGGCCACCCGGCTTGATAAGGGCGCTCGAATTCTTACTTACGAGGCTCCGTCTGCCGTCATGTGGCAGTCTACGGGCCGGATCAAGCAACCAAATCACCATGGCCTGAGAGGATAGTATTACAGGATGGGTTTGAGAACGGGCTTGTGCAGCAGCTAGCTAATAATCCGGACAGAGTAAGTATTTCAAGTTTATCGATGAACTTACAGGTGAGGCTGCACTTCCGGTTTGAAGCCCTTTTGATAAGAAAGCCGTAGTTTCGACGGTGGTCCCTAGAATCAAGATATATAATAATATTAGCATAGATGAGGTTGAAATTTGAGATGAGTTGAAAACTACTATATTGCGGCTTGCTGTTACTAAGAAAAGCAGAAGAACCCTCGCATATTACTGCTTTGCAGGCCCTGGCTTGGTTCGGGTCTATCCCTATTTCGCCATGACCTTTCCATTATGAGTTCGACTATGATATCTCCCCGTCACTTGTTGACAGCTCTTAGATCTTATTGGTAAGAACAGGCTAAAGCAAATGGAAAGGTAACGGAATGTCACCAGTACCCGGAACATTGGTGGCTTTCATGCTGCACGAGGCGAAAAAGATGAAATGGCGCAATATTAAGTATAAGCCTAGGGCTCTACTCTATGCTCGGATTCGTAAGTACAAATAAGGATCACAAGTGTAGGATCCATAGACTAATTTATCTTTCATATAACCATGAATTACTCTAGAGATATCACCCTGGAGTTGAGGTGTGTTGCATTCCTCCTCCACGGCCATTCCCGCCAACGTGGAATTGATATAGCGACGACCGGGGGATTTCCATGTCAGGACGCCTATTTATAGTTCAGGCGCGAACCATACTTGCAGATGCACATTTGAACGCATGTATTGACCTCTGGATAATGTTAACCTTCTCGCTTCGACTACTGAGGGGATGCAGAGATGGGACGTCCCTTTCGTTTGGTGCGGAATTAAAGTTTTAGCTGAACTGAGGTGGCAGGCTGGAAACGGTCTATCTGTCGTTTACCCGGGATGATGAGCGAAAGACGGGATCAACTGATGGTGAAAATGGCATGAATATATACAAACAGATGATGCTATTGGAATTAACCAGATTGGGCCGATTCATCAGGGACGGACATCCAGCCATTAGAGTTAGAGGCGAGGGCGGGACGTATATTAGCTTGAATGTAGTGGCTATTTATGGTGCCTCCCACAGAGGTTTCTGACCATAGTTGAGGCTACCACTCAACCATGGCAAAGGGCAGAGGGACAGAAGTATGGAAGGCGGTCTTGAAGTCGGTCCTCTGCACACAGCATTTATGCGCCCGAAGAGATTGCAGCCCGCTCATTATCCGTTTGTAGAAGTGAAAACGCGTGAAAATCTCCATATTAGATAGAGCTCGCGGCGCAAGAGCCTGTACTTGATTCTGACTGTTGCGCAACCAGCCCAACGGCACTTCGAACCCAGTTCAAGACAGACCAAATCTATTTATTGGAGGAAGTGGATTGTATGCTAAAATAGGAACGAAAAACCATTTAACCTCGGGCATCGCCTAGATAACCCGGGCATAGTAGACTCGTACCAGGTTACCGGCACTATCAATGCTTAATATACGCCCTGCAGGGGGCTCTCGGCTCGCCGTGATGAGTGGCACTCGCCATTTTTCTTTGTGAATGCCTGTGAATGTAGAGTATTTAAGTATCCACGTCAGTCACTTGACGTCGGCAAGATCTCCATTGCTCATCCGACCTCGACCCTTCCTGCTCTCTCTCCAGAATCACTTGATACCCTTCAATTGGACCCTGTGTTACTGACCAACTAAGTTGTTGACCCTTCCTCACTCGAGAGAGAATCAGCCACGCATCATCCTTCGATACACGCAGACACTCACGCCATTATGGCCAAGTTCTTCAAGCTATCCTTCCTTGCCGCCCTTTTAGCGTGGGCACCAACCCAGACGATGGCTCAGGGTATTCGAGGCACAGCGACATTCACCGGTCGTGACCATACGGGTGGGACCTGTTCGCTCGCCAACTATACGCTCCCGGCCGGTATCTCAGGGACAGGCATTGGACCTTCTAATTGGGCTCAGGCCGGAAAGTGTGGTTCGTGTATCCAGGTCAATGGACCACGAGGGAGCACCAAGGTCATGGTATGTATCGAGTTCCTCGCACTTCTGGGATGGAGAGAGGACCAACCGAGCACTTGCTTATCGGAAACAGATTGTGGACAGCTGCCCATCGTGCCTCGAGAATCGCTTGAATCTTTTCGAAGACGCGTTCAAGCAAATCGCGGACCCCGTCGATGGTATCGTCGATGTAACGTTCGATGTGGTGTCCTGTGGCCTCAGCAGCCCTTTAATAGTCCGGAGCAAGATCGGAACCTCGAGGTGGTTGTAAGTTATATATCCAATATCCCCACGAGTATTAGTCCCTCTCTTAACATCACGTCTGGTTCCGTCAGCTTCTCGCTGCAAGTGTTGAACTGCAACTACCCCATCACCGAGCTCGAAGTCAGCACCGACGGCGCGCAGACGTGGGAGCCGACAGTCCGACAGGAGTATAACTACTTCGAGAGAGACGATAAGACCGGCTTCGGGAAGGACGAGGTGATTGTGAGGGTGTCGTGCGCAAATGGGAACCAAGTGATCATTCCGAACGTAACTATGGATGAGAGGGAGATTCTGGCACCGGTGAACTGTTAATCGGAGGAAGAAAATCCTGGAGGGAATAACGATGTTGGTAAAACATTAATTACGCTAATACACACATCCCATTCATGACCATCTCTGGGTGTCTCGCGGTGTCGCGGCAGAGGCTGATGTTAGTGGATTCGGGACTCTGCTTATTAACTCCATCCCCGAGTCGGAAACGTCTTCCATCGTCCACGTCGGAAGAACAAAGATATTCGTTACGTGTGATATTGTCAAGTCCCATCCCGCTTCTTCGATCGCCTCCCTTCGCCGAAGCAGAAGTGGGAGGCCCGCGACGCGTCCATTCAATCGATGGCAATGCTAAACCCGTCGTGACAATGGAGCTTGGCAAAATTGTATGGATTCCATCTTGGCATAAGATGGCGTCGGAAGGAAGAGACACTTGGTCCGGTCCAGGACTCCACGTAAAACAGCCGGCGGTTGAGGTTGCACTTGCACGTGTCGTCGGGCGTCAAGGCAACATGTCAATGTATGCGGCCCTAAACTCTTCGAGCTGCTCGGCATTCGCTTCGACTTGGAACGACGATATCTTATTCGTTTGTGGTTGAAACGGGCGTTCGCCTGGTCAACAATTGCAGCTCTATGCCCGGTCACGTTGCGACAACAAGGGTGGAGAGAAGAGTTGAGACAAAAGTGTTTAATGAAAGTGCTTGAGATCTTCATCCATGCCCTCTGAACCAAAAGAGAACAAAGCGAGTGGAGATTTACCTTGGAACGGAGACACAAGGCTAAAAAGTTCTTGTATCAAAATGGGAGACTGGTCGGGTACATCCGAGGCCCCCGAAGCCCGTTGACAGAAAAAAATTACACAGAGATAAGGCCCTTGTCGACTTTTCTTGGCATGCTACCGACGGCACATAGACCGGATCAGAGTCTAAAGATAGAAAAGTGATCTCCAAGAGCATTGCGAAGATCCAATTGATAGATAATGCGGCGATCTTGACATACGAAGCAAGAAGTCAGAGCTGTCCATCTAGATCGTGAAAGGGAGCCCTTCAAAGGAAATTCCAGATCCGATCCATCATGTGCCAGAGACGATAAGCTAGTTTTAATTCGAAGAAAATTAAGGTTGACGGGAGGTAAGGTTATTTCCCCATTGACCAGCATCACCGAACTCACCCCTGAGATGTCACAGCTGTATCCTGAATAGGCTTCAGCAGGAACACAACGAGGTCGAAGCGTAGGCCACCTGTCGCAACTATCAATCATATCAATCAGGAAAAAGGTAGAAGAAGAAAAAATAGTAACGGTGCTGGCGGGCGTAAAACCTCACAGCCACACACTGAAATGCTCGCTGTCATTGGCCTCGGTGCCTTGTGCTGTTTCACCCCTTTGTTTCGAATCCCACCCCTATCACCAAGCCTGGGCGTTCGGCCCAGACGCGAGCCCTGACAATTTTCCGGGGACTTGTGACCTTCGGAAGCCTGCAGAACCAGTGCCGCTGCTTCACTCGATCTGCATCTATATATGGGCATCCGCATTGATCCCACCAAAACGAAGCTGTGGGACCGCACCCGGGCACTGGTTCGTCGCGTTGGCCGCCCCGCGACTCGAAGGCCCGAGACGGCGCTACTCCCTCACATACACTTCACAAAGAGCCCCTTTCCCCTTTCTCCTTGACCCCGGTGCTCCACCGGGCGGGGGCGCCACGGTGTCTATCCTATGATCGCTTAGGATTTTCCAGCATGTCTGTGTTGTAGCTATTTTTGGGCAGCCCATGAGACGGAACTGATCTCGTGGGAATCTAATCTCTGTGGAGTGCATCCTCCACACCTCGCATATATTTTGGCCACCACCCGAAAAGATCGTGGTTGAGCTTAAATTTATCCATTCTCACCTTTTATTGCCTCGTCTTTTGCTTTCTTGTTTCCTCAATTTTTTTTTTCTAAGTTTGTTTGTTCTTTGGAGGCGTTCGTTCTGGCCGGTCCAAACTCTATTATTCTTTGTGTGAATCTTTTTCTCCATTGGCCCGGTGCCTTTTGATTTCCTTTCTTTCCTCTTTTTCGAAATAACTGGCGGTGCTCTCTAAACGCACAACCTCTTCTCTCGCGCCAGTTCTCAAGGTCCTCTCAGCCCTATCCCACGTTTGCCTCTTAAGTCTCTAGCCAAGGATCGCCAAGATGTACTCTTCGCTAGCCACCCTTGCGTGGGCCGTCTTCTCGGCATCCCAAGCCATGGCCTCGTGCGCCCATGGTACCCATCTCCACCGCCGTGCGGAGGGCGCCGTCGAGGTCAGCAACTTTGGATATATCGGCTTGACTGTATGTGTTACATGCACCCCAAGACATACCCAAGACTGGTTCGTGGAAACGACTAACAACAGCACGTAGGGCCCTACCAACTGGGTCGCCATTGATTCTGCCAATATCCTGTGCGCCACTGGTACCCGCCAGTCCCCCATCGACATGACCGAAGGCCAATTCCAGCTCGTGCCCGCCAGCGCTATCGGTCTGCAAATCCCCGACTTCACCGAAGGCACCGAGTTCGAAAACCTCGGCACCACGGTAGAGGTCGTCGCCAAGGGTGGTACCATGGCCGTCAACGGTGTTCAGTTCAATCTCCAACAGTTCCACTTCCACCTTCCAAGCGAGCACCTCGACAACGGTACAAGCCGCGCCATGGAGATGCACATGGTCTGGGAGTCGGCTCAGGGTCAGATTGCCGTCGTTGGTGTTTATATCGACGTCGAGAACGCGAACGGTGGTGCTGTCGCCGCTCCCCCTGCTGCTAACGAGACTGCCGCCGCTGAGAAGCGTTCTGCTAAGATGGACCCTCGATATAAACGGGAGGCCGAGCCGAAGGTCGCCAAGCGTGCTACGACTACTCTCCTCGAGACCGTCTTCTCATCTGTCGGCGCTATTACTCAACCTGGTACCAAGACTGAGACCGAACCTCTTGTCATGTCCGAGATTGTCGACATTATCAACGCTGGTGATCTTCAAAAGTGAGTCTTGTCTTGTCGACTTTAAAAACCGGCTAGCTCTTGATATGCTAACATCACTTCAGCTATTCCGGCTCTCTCACTACTCCCCCCTGTAGCGAGGGCGTCACCTGGTTTGTCTCGACCCAGAGTCTCCAGATCTCCGCCGAAAACTTTGCACGCGTCCGGGACGTCATCGGCTTCAACGCCCGCTTCCCCCAGAACTCTCTCGGTCAACCCAACCTTCTTGCCGTCAACGGCGCCATGATGTCCAGCCCTCAAGTGCAACTCGCCGCTCTCCGCCAGTCCCTCGGCGGACGCGTTGGATTCCAATGAAGGAGCTGTAGAAAAGAAAACCAAGAAGGTTGCAGAACCCGGCGCGTACTCTTGTGAAGTAATGTTTACGATGACGGGGGATTGTATTCGTGCGAGGCCTGGGATAACCACTTCCTCTCCCTAATTCTCATTTATTTTCACCCTCTTCTCCCTCCACTGCATAATAAAAAATTACAAAAAAAGTATAAAAAAGGAAAAAAACCTTGTATACTACTTGGTGTCGTTTCGGCGACTTCTCTGAGATATTACCGCAGTGGTTCTGGGATGTATATTAGACTTTTTGTATCAGCATATGACAGCATTATTAGGGGAACTAGATAGCATTAAAGACAAGGCAAGGAGCATTTCATAGCAGTCAGATATTTGGTAAATCTACCCAAGAGCCGATCATATTAGTCTGCAACCATTTAGTTTTGGAAGGAGTGAAGCCGGGTCGTGGAGTTGAAGGAACAAGAATAGAATACCGAGGTAGTTCTGAGCCTGGCAATGTCCCACAATGCAATGCTTCATCTCTCGGGGGACATAAAACGCCAAGACTTAAGCCGCACAGCCTAGACGCTTCAGGACCAAAGTGCATACCCCAGGTTCGAAAGTATCTTGTATCGTCGTCTGTGCTTGGAAGCGGTCTTCGAACTCTTGTCCGAGGTAAAAATTGGTGCCCAGTTACCATTTTTGGTGAAACGATGATCAACACAGTAATACCGTCTAGGTCAAGGCTCCCCAGATAATTTCGAGACGAAATTCCTTATCTCCAGCCTATGGCGATTCAGCGAGGACATCTTATTGCTCTTGGCAGAATAATAGGCTCTCGATCTTAGAGGCAACCAGCTGAAACATGAAGACCAAAGACTGCTTCAGACAGTTCTGGGTTCCAAGACCCTTCACTTTCCAGCTGGAGTGGCCTAATTATAGTTCAACCAATGGGAGAATATTATCACGTACATTGGCGGCGGTAAAGCAATGCCGAGTCCGTCATGTATTGCCTTTTCCTAACGGGGAGTCTCTCTATTCCGTACAGAAAGCTAGGGTGTCCACGCTATCGCTTGGATAGCACGCGTCGTTGCCCTTCTGTAACTGCCGGGGGTGTTGTATTATTCCACGCAGTGTCCATTGGACTATGTGACAAATATTTGTCGGGCGTCAGAAACCCTCGCGTCTCTTCGACGGGTCAACTCTGCTCACGTTACTGTCATAATACTTCCTGGGCAAGTACTCCGGACTCACGAGCAAGCGATGTGATGTAAACGTAAACTGGAGTGGAGTAACAGGTGAGTGAGATCCATTAACCAACTTGAGTTTCCGAGCCGTTTGGCCCATCCACTTCTCGGACTCCACATTCGAGGAAATGCAATGCGAAAGATGCTTGGAGCAGTCGTCGGGACTGATAACTCCTCCCATCTCATGAGTGTTTCCCGGATTTCCTGACTGCTGAATACCTACTATTAGCCTTTTGAGCTCGACTATGTACTCATCTCCTTCCCATACACGAGTCCTAAATCTAGACATCCAGAATGACAGGACCTAGGAGAGGCGCTGCCCAAGTCCTTGGATGCTCATCGAATAATCGTACGTGCCCTCTTTACTTTCCATCGGCCAGCCTTCACCCTCAATTCTTCAACCATCGAGTCTAGCCATCTTATTGATCATATATCCTTTAGGAATATTGGCCCCAATACCCAGAAACCTCGTCATTTCATGAATGAAATTCTTCAGTTGAACTGCCACCTCCTCGCCAGCGGCCTCGAACATCACCATACTACTTACGTCGCTAACCTAGAACGTCTAATACCATCGACTGCCCTAGCACCCGAAGAAACCCTTTTCTACTATTGTGGAAAGGGAAATACACATATGCTTCGGTGAAATGGCAATGATGTTAAGGAGAGAGTGTGGTTCTCGTCTGCGCATCCTTTGCCTCACCTAGATACATCTATTATCAAACTGGCCAGCCGTCTTGCTAATATTGGTATGTGGCACGCATCGCATACGTTCTAGGTTTTGGTCCCCAAATTCTCGAACCGATAGACCTGGTGTCTCCCGGAAAGCGCAACCCCAGAAATTGAATCCCTCCAACAGGGATTACTTCGAGAACGCTGTTCGCAGTTTTCCTTCCAAGGAATTTCGTTGCCACTTGCCTTCCACCAAGGTTGAGACATATCCTGCACCTTCATCCTACTCTACTTCATTGGCAAGGGCCGAGGAGACCGCGGCGAGCACCCGCCGCGCGCCAACCGCACTCCTGCTCTTCTTCTACTGTCTGTTCACAGCGTATCATTTGGGAATGTGGAAAACGTATCACAGCATACACATAATGAAACCTCGGAGAGACATAGGAGCTGGAACCGGTCGAGTGGTGTTGAGGAATTTCTCTTCAGTTTCCGTAGCCAATCCTTAGTCCAAGTCCCAACACGCTGGGATTCATGAGGTCAAGAGACAGAGGAAGAAGACTGACGCAAGGGGCCCAAGGCTTGTAATAGCTCTTCTAGGCCGCGGCAGCATAGAATGGCGCAATAAAACACTCCTTGATACACAATGCATTTCTCAGAGATCGGAGGCAATGATACTATTACTATCTGGAAAGAAGAACTTCATTGGCCTATGCCTTCAAATTTTGCTTTTTTAGCATGGGATAATAGCCCATGCGTCTTCTAAAACAGTCCATCGTATAGAAAAGGCGCGAAAGGTCGTCGATGGTATCTGAGGAACCTGCGGTGTTGCCGGGTCATCCCAAGCAACTGGCTCGAAATCGGGTTCGTTTAAAAGTGCAACAGGTTGATTATCATTGTTTCAGTGCTGAAATACCTTGCGGCTGATGTGCTGGAAACATCCCAGCAGTGGATAAAGTAGTGGTGGGTGAGATGCGTTGGACTGGCGTAAGAATATGGTTGTGCTGTGAGATACCAGCACCGGTAGCCCTCGTCATCGGGCTACGGGGACACGGACTCCTGGAAACCGGAAACGTAATGATCCCGATATCTTTCCCCTCCCCCAAATAAAGCACCATTGGTCGCACTAATGCTATCCCGTCATCGACGCGTCCTTGTCCTTTTCATCCGCGGCGCGCACCCATAGTACGTTATTGCACCTATATCCCCAGAGTCAGTTTCACGCCATAGACTCTACCAAACGATCAAAAACAACCTACCTGATAAGAACCGAGCCTAGTGTGCCCGTAGACTTGTCCGAAATGTACTCCTCCGCGCCATCCAACTGTAGATTCATGTAGCTGTCCACCGACACGAGGGTGCCCTTGTACTCCGTCTCACCCCACTTTAGACGCACGAAGATCGGCTTGTTGATGAGGCCTTGCAACATAGGCCGAGGGTTGACGGGGGCGAAACTCATTTTGACGGTTCTTGTGGCGGATGTAGTGAGGATTTGAAGATGGTTGAATGAGCTTTGAGATTTTGATGCCTGCACGAGGTCATCGCCCAAGTTTGGCTTTGGTGTGGCTGGTGACAATATTAAACACGTGACTATTTCTACCTTAGCCAGGCCACAATAGGCCACAATTTGCCTCCTTACTTATGTGGCGGTGCATTTCTTGCAACAATTGAAATCGCCATTGTCCAATCAAAATTCAATCCCCAGCTCTGTTGGCCAACTCATGCTCATTGAGCGGAAGGAGCCATCAACTTTGATCCTCGACTGCTGTGAGATGGTACACCTCAAGCTCAATGACATTTAAAAATCGAGGTACTTCCTAGTAATTCAAGGTAGCGCGCCCCTTGAATGCAGTCGAATAAGACCTGTTTGCCGGGAGAACTGCGAGACTTTGTGGACGCGAGGTGGTTCCCAACATTTCGGAGAAGAAGTCTTTTACGATTCGGAACTGAAAGAGTTGAGAGACATGAGCTCTACTCATCTTTTTCACTAGAAATTAGATTTCTCATTACTACCGCGGGTCTCGTACCAGAAACATGGGGAGCCATCTGCTCTCCCTTTTTCTCCTATGCCATCACCAGGCATGGTAAAACCTCCAGCAAACATGCTTGGTCTGGTGTCTAGAGCAAGGAAATGGAAATAGGAAGTAAACATGACAAAATATGTAACAGGGAAAGAAAACTGGGAAGGGAGTGAAAGAGCGAGAGAGCCGGGAAGGGGACTGTCTATGCATGAAGTGTCCATCAACCGTTACGGCCGCAGCTGTACATCTGGGCAGAATTGGTCGGCATGACACCAGCTCCTCGCTCCTCGATGAGGGTGGGTGTGAAAAAATTAAAGGAGAGAAAGGCAAGAAACACGAACGGAAGCGAACGAGGAGTAAAGGCGGAAAGAATTGAGAGAAAAAAACAGACTAGTTGTATAGATTGCGGCAAGAAAACAACAATATTTGACAAGAACAGAGATGGTGCGGTTTCCCCAAATATTCCTCCTCAGCTGTTTCCGATCAATGAACGAAGCGAGGCAGTAGACCACCGAAAAGACAATCTTTTAAGGATCCTTGCACTCGCCCCACTCCTCTTGACATCCAACAGGACGTAAACAGTTCAGATCTCCGTCACCGCAAAATCCATATCTTGAGCAACAGTTTCCGTACGTTGAGCCGATGCAGGTTACACCAAGGTTACCACCGCATTGGCCATCAGTGCTGACAGGCAGGCCGGGGTTAGCAGGTGGCTGGGCAGGAGTTTGGGGGGCTTCTGGAGTCTCTGGGGTGGCGGGGCTTTCGGGGGTTTCGGGGGTTTGAGGAGTCTCTGGGGTTGCGGGAGTCTCTGGGGTTGCCGGGGTTTCTGGGGGTTCGGGAGTCTCACCACCGCCCTCACACGTGCCGAACCTGGATTGGCATCCAGTACCGCAGTAATCGGCGCTGGACCCGCACCAAAAAAATTGGGAGCAGCATCCGCCGAAGGTCGAGCCGGTGCAGGTGGTCGTGTTGCCGCACATGCCGTTGGTGGTGACGGTCAGTTCGGTGGCGGGAGGCTGCGCGGGTGGTTCCGCGGGGGGCTGGGCAGGGGGCTCAGCGGGAGGGGTGCCCGGCGTCTCAGGAGGCTGCGCGGGGGGGGATGGCTCGGCGGGTGGAGCAGGAGCATCGCCGCAGCGGCCAAAATCAGGCTGGCACTTCGCAATCTCCGAACAGAAGATGTCGCCGTCACCGCAAAATCCGAACTGACTGCAGCAAAGGTTGTTGGGGCACGAGGCTCCACCGCCGCTGGCACCGCACTCGGCAGCTCCCTGTCGCTTCGCAAGTCCCATGTGGTATTCCTGCAGCTCACGTTCGGAGAGCAGGTGGTGTCCTGCGAGGAAGCCGGCGCCGTTGTGGACAGAGATGGCCGAGACGGTGGAGAAGCCCAGGGAGGCCACGACGGCCAGAGAGAGCGAAGTCCACCTCATTGCTGCGGGTCGTTTTGAGTCGAGACGAGACGAGAACGAACGAGACGCGTCTTGGATCGTTTTTATGCCCCCGATTCTATTCACACACACGCAGACGCACGGACGGACGCGAAAGGTGGATGAAAGCCAGGCTTCGAAACGAACTATTCACAAGAGTTGGCCACGTAAGAAAAAAAACCCCCCAAAAAAAAAAAAAAGAAAAGAAAAGAAAGAAAAGAAAAGTAAAGGGGAGGGGGAAAGGGCAAGGGGGAAGGGGGAGGACGGAAGTGGGAAAGCCTTTCGGCGACTAACACTGTAACACTGCTAGATGAGTAAAAGAGAGACGGGCAGGTCCAGACGCACTGCTTGAGAAAGGGAAAGAAAAAAAGCTTCCTGCACGCCAGATATAATGTCATGTAGAGGTTTTCTAGCCCGAGGGTAGGAATTACGTCGGGTAATAAGAACTAGAGCGGACGAGCTGCGTGGGTGGCGACCGAGACGGGAGAATGGGGAACGAAGGAAAATCTTCTCTCTCTCTCTTCCTCACTCCCTCCGATGCTAAGGCCGTCGGAACATGATATGACGTACCCGTAAGTGAAATGTTCGGGACATTAAACTATAAATGTCGGCTCATTTGGCCGCAAACAGGGTGCTTGTCTGGGTGGCATATCTTTTCATATGGACGCGCCATCGCTTCATTGTTCCACCGGACATCGGCGGCTTGCCTAGTGCTAAACAGCATATAATGCGCCATATTGTTCCCATTCAGGTAGATTGAAAGGCCATGGGGCTGGTAGGCAAAGGTTGTAGGAGCCAGAGATCGTATAAGCCAGGCCAGATTGGCAGCAGCCGTGAGAGCGAGGAACGAGCGGTCGTCCGCAAAAGGAAAGCCCGTCTCGAGTTGAAAAGCCACACAAGGCCTAGCATTGATTGCTTATATATTGCGATGTGGAGGATGTGGTATCGAGAATCGACGTTCTAGTCAATATCTCGAAGCGGCTAAATATCTCCTGGGCCATCTAGCCGGGAATAGGAGCTTGGCAGAGAAATGCCGTTCATATCTTTTCGGAGTGGAGCATCCGCGAGTGAGCTTTCCGGCAGATGGAACGACCGACCGATTAGCAGAACGAGGACGTTGTGGCCTGTGAATGGGGTATAAAAAGAGAAAGAAAAAAATAATCCAAAGTGATGGATGGGGGTTTGTACCGTTGATAAGTTTCCGAATTGAAAATCATCTATTGATCAAAGCTTAAAACGCTGGATCAATTGGGATTTTGACAGTTCCCCGGCCGTACCGAGCAAAACAGGCCCTCGCTTGTTTCGAAGAGGGTCAACTTCAGCATCACGTAAACACTGAAGCAACTGGCAAGATTGCCCATTGCGGAAATAGCATTACCTAGGTTCCGCTCCGGTCAGAGGCACAATGTGAAAACGGTATTGACACGTCTTGGCTTACTGTCTTGGCTTACTGCTCGTAGAAGCAGCCCGGTGCCTTGCAGGAACGGGCCAAATAGCCGAACCTCTAGAAGGCTCACAGGCTATGGTCTGGCCCGTCGATTAATTTGCCGCCCCTCAACGAACGATGCTATGCCTGCGCTGCACCATTATTGACATCCCGATGCGAATTCTGAATCGGGATGTCGAGAATGTAAGGTGGAGGCGGAGTTGGGAGTACGAGGCGAGATGCCACAGATAGCAAAGATAAGCCAAGGTCTGGTTTCGGAGATCCAAATGTACCTTGTTTCTGCGGAAAATACGGGGAAAAGAGGAATATCCTAAAATGAAGTGGATTGGACGTTGACTGGTGGATTGGAAAATGTTCCATGTCTTGGGGAAGATCGGTGGGATCCAGCGGGGCGACGTTGAAGTTCGAGATCGAGATCAACGCTCTCGGTTCAGGTCCGTCGCTCCTTCCTTTGCCTGGAGACGCTGATTCATCCGCTGTCACGTTATTTCCCTTCGCCAAGTACCGCTGAAGCAAGCCTGCGACGAAGTACTTGATCATTACAATTGTATGCTCTCACCACCATCAATTGATCCGTGAGGGGCAGCAATAATAACACAGCCCAAGAGGGAAATGGTGGGCACACTCTCTTCATCGGCTGTACCTTAGCGACAGAAAGTCCCACGCTGCATGAGAAATGAGATGGAAGCATTCTATTTCGCGGGTAAGCTTCTTGCTGGGGGTCCGTCCAAGGATGACCCTTCTCCGCAGGCACAGCTGCTGCGCACCCCATCTACGGAGCCTTGATCCTTCGTTCCACTCCTGCCCCGCACTCTGCCGACGAACCGAGAGATCGACAAATCGATCTTCTGCCCCAACCCCGGCTCCTGCCTATCCCGGCAAGCTAGCCAACAGACGACAAGCCTTGACTTCATCTGTTTATATTCGGACTATTACGTCTAATTTTCCTCTTATAAGCATTCCAGGCTGCTCTCAGGTAACCGCAGTGAGCGGATTGGTGTATGCTCATGGACTCGGCTGCTCTCGGGAACGGCCTCACCATATTATGGAATATGGTTGACAGCCATCGGCTCGGGAGCCCTCACGGGTTAAATTTAGGAAGATGCGACCAACCGGTGCTCTCTGTTCCCTGACATATCCAGGTGGACTTGTACCCGTGGTCATCATATTGATGCTGCTTGAGTGGTGGTACCTTCTATCGAATAGTGACCACTACGCTCTTGTGAAGATGGCATGAACCCCAGACGAAGGAAGAGTGGGGAAGCACCTTCGAGAAGTCCTAATGTGACCTCGCGTAGAGGCCAGTTCTCCGTGTGGATTCGGTAATATGCACGCTTTCTGGTCGCCCCATGGGCCGCATACTGTAATATTCTGCGAGATAAGACAACCTTCAAGCACCTCGGTCTCGCGTAGCTACCGACCCAGAGATCTGGATTCGAGGGGCACGAACTACCCCTTGTCGAACGCAGCGGCATCCGACTGGCTAGTAACTCAGCAGGATATGAAGACCGTTCGAGTTCCATCACGTGTTCCGAGTTGGGGTGTCTTCATGGCGGAGGTTGGGCGG